TAAAATTCATGACATAAATGAAACAAAAGTCATAGAACTAGTTGAAGCAAATGGCCTTTCGTGCAGGTGCTGGAGGTCGGCGTGGCTGAGGGTCATGATAAGGTGGCCCCAGCTGGGCCCCTGTGCCGGTGCTCTCTCTTCACAACGTTCTCTTGGAGCTCAGATGTCAGTTCTTTGTCCTCTTCATGTCACACATTGGATTTTTGATTGACTTAATAATTAAATTGTTAGAAAGCATGGTTGCGTGCATCGGCCTTGTTCGGTATGGCAATGCTGCGTGGTGTGTGTATATATATATATATATATATATATATAGTATAGTATTTTTTTCTAAAAAAGCATAAAAAGTTGTGATACCTGTTTGATATATAAAAGTATATCATGAAAGTCACGGTCTTGTCTTGGGAGACTCTCGTCTTGGTCACAACTTGATCTTTATGTGGTCTTAACACGGTCAACTGGTAACTTCTGGATTTGAGGGCGCTGTTGACCATAAAACAAAGTCAGTATCTGTTTGAAACAAGTGCAAGTAGGATTCATTAAATGGAAAACATGTCTGGATTTGTATGGACTGCCTCCAGCTCTTCAATTCACTTTGTATATCGTATAAATACACTAGAAACTTATCTTAAAAGTGCTTAAAAAACTGCCTTTGTGGTGCTGTGAGGTCTCCTTAACCCACTATTTCATATTGAGTGTATATTTTAAGTTTTTGACGTAATCCAACACGATAAATATTCTCCAGGAGACAGTTATTTTTGTACATATTTATTGGAAATGCAGTCAAAATAAAAATCCATTTTTAGAGAGAAGACATGTTTGACAGTTCTTTTTCAGAAAAAGACAAGTAACATAAATTAGTTTAGCTTATACGTACATACTGTATGACATGCAATAAATAATACCTCACTACAAGTTTGACCGAAAGTACATTTGCTTCCATTTGTACAAAGCAGAACAGCAGCGCTGTAAACTGATATTGTCTTTTGAAATGCACAAAGGCTAGTGAAAAGAGCGGACTATCAATTGGTAATACAAAAATAGAACCAGGTAGCATTTCATACTCGAACACTAAAAGGACAGACAGACGGCAAACACAACTGTGTATTTCTTTTTGTGCATCCAGCCTCCTTGAAATACAGAACTTCATCTAAGCAGGAAGGCGTGAATTCTTTCTCTTTGCTCCTTTTCTTTTGTGACAGAAATAAACCTCTTCAACAAACTACAGGACAGGCCTTTGTGCATGTGTGGCATAGACTGACAGGGCATGCAGCTATCTCTGTGCAAATACTGAAAAAAGAGCGACATCTTTACAAAACATTATTCGTAAGAAAGAGGAGCAACTGAAACAGGCCCCGAGAACAGATTTGAGTGTGTGACCGATCTGTGGCTGGAAAGCACTGAGGACGTCTGGAGGAAATAGCTGCATGGAAGTAATAATGTGGAGTGTTACGTTTGCTGGGTCAGCATGAGTCTCCTACTCACAGTGAACCCCAGTGACCCCGGGGGGAATAAAACCTGCCCCTGGCAAACCACCTCGTCTGCTGGATTGAACGGATCGTTTGAGGACATTATGGGGGGGCCTCTGGCTTCCTCTCACCCTGAACTAAATGAGCCACAATGATAAAACGACCACTCATTTAAAAGGCAACAATGTCTTCACTGAACTCAGTAGGATATGAGTGTAGCTTTGTAAACATGAGAAATGACCTAACATACACAACTATTTACATGTACAAAATGAGTGGCAAGTCAAATCATGGTTATTTCGATCTCTCTTTCTCATCATTCAATAGCCTTTAAAGAAGCCTTCAGCCACCGAGGCTTCTTTAAAAGTCACCGTCAGACAGTTGACGGTGACGTCTGTGGAGATCACGTTCTTGGGATGCTGTGCTGCAGCGGGAGAACTCTGATCGCCCGGCGTCGTCACGGTGACTCTCTGATTGTCGCCCCTAGCTTCCTCCTTCGTCTCCTCAGTAGCGCCGCAGTCACCTGAGGTCTCGCTGCTCTTCTCGACGCTCACCATCACCGAGGTCATGTTGTCGGTCTGAGAAACACCGCTCCCTATCATGTGACCCTCCGACCCTGACTCCACACCCCCCCTCTCCTCCTCCTCCTCCTCCTCCTCCTCTCTGTCCCAATCCGAGCCGTCGCCCGCGGAAACCTCATCCTCCGGTATGGCCTCTGGCGCTGAGACACTGCCTTCTGATTGGTCGCTCGCAAACATCTGGTTCTGTATCGTTTCAGACGTCCCCCCGCCTGGTCTGTCTGCCCATGTTTGTGCACCTACCACTGTCAGGTCGGCGTCCGCCTTCTCCTCCAACTCCATCTCCAAGTCCTGTCGCTCCAGCAAGGGTGGGGAGCTGCACTCGGACCGACCTTGAAGTCCAGAAAAAAAAACGTTAAAAACTTAGTTCATTTGTAGAAGTCAAAGGTCACGACCAAGCTATTGCTCTTGGAGGGGAATGACTTGACAAACCAACCGTATAAACTGTCCTCACGTATCTCCTCGGTGGTGCTCTCAGATTCCTGCTTTTCTTCTTCGCTGGTGCCCCAGTCCTCCTCAATGGGCTCTGCTTTCTTCCTCAGTGGAAGGAGGGTTTTGTTGGTGGGGCCCCCCTGGCCTCGTTTGGACAGCCTCTGCTTGATCTTCCTCCTGGCGAGACGGCGGTACAGGCTTCCCCGCTCGCCCTGGTCCACATCCGTACTCATGGCGCGGGTGAGGGAGAGACGCAACCGGGGGGTCGGCTTCTCCGAGACCTTGTTTGCGCTGCGGAGGTCCATGGCGAAGATGTTCTGGGGGCAGAGCAAAGGTGAAGAGCAAAAGGTTAACACACAAAATGTGTTCGAGTACAAGTCTGTCATCAGAATGTATTTGATGGACAACTGTGACACACAAGTCCTTCATGGGAAGTCTTAAAATATGCATCTTGTAATATTCTATTGTATTATTCTGTCAAGAAATCCCATTAAAAGGACCAAACCCAACAATGAACTGATCCTACTGGCTATTGACTGTGCATCTAACGCCTGATTAGCCGAGTCTTTTGTGCCATGGAGCTGCAGAGGAGTCGTGCGTCCGTGTACGGCGTCCTTTGAGCTGATGTTGCCTGTTAACCTGCTCACAGCGATGATGCCGCCGTGCTGATATCTGTCATTAGCCATGTTATCTTGTTCATAAATCAGAGCGTAAGCTTAATAAATCGCATGAATGGACCCTGATGTTTAACTGGGTGAAACGCTCCTTGAGGAAGATGAACACTGTGGTTTATTTTGGGTCGTCCCACATACACTGCACAAAAAAGTGTAGTAGTCCGCTAAAAATAGTCTGCAACAACTTCAGCAGTTTGAGAGCGGTTTTAGTTTCCTTTCTTCCACACTCCTCGCTCCATTTCATTTCAGTCTATTAAAGCTCTCGTTATTGCCGAAACGCGTACGGGCGGCGTGTGCTGCAGGCAGCGCCACTCAGCTAATGAATACAGCTCATAAGTATGATGTCTCCTGAGCATCTGGATTTTACTCTGATGGTGTCAAGTTTTCTCATCGTGGGGCTTCAGACTTTAATGGTGTTGATCTTTATAGAGGAAACCTGACATCCCTGACTAAGAATCAGGGTGAAGACTTTCTGGAAGTAAAAATGCGCAAACGGCATTTATGACGGTGCGACTTCGTAAGACGAAGGAGAGAGGAGGTCAAAGTGTCGCTACCCGCAGGACGAGCCTCCTGGGTCGGAGTCCTTTCCGGCGGTAGGCCAGCGCTCTGATCTTCTCCTGACTGGAATAGAGAGAGAGAGAGAGAGGTAGAAACAGAGGGGCGAGAGAGGAGGAAAAAAACAGATTGTGAGCCGAGCAACTCAAAAGAAAAACACACAAAGTGCTTTGCAAGCATAAAGAAAAAAGTATACTCACTTCTCTTCATATGCCAGGACCAGGCGCGGGTCCAAAATGTTGTCCTCCGGTTCCCAAGTACTGTACCTGCCAACACGAATATTCATTCAAATAAGTCTGTCTATGTATCGATCTACCACTTCATCCGTGTGTCTGTCCACCTTCAGTGGTCATATCATTTTGAAAAGGCCATAAAGTTTGTACTGGAAGGATGAGGTCACTGCAGGATGACTCAAGGCTTACTCACTTTGGGGACCATCCCTGCCACTTCAGGAGATACTCCACGTTACCCTGAAGAATCACAAAGACAGAGAGAGAGGACGCTTAGAGGAGATGCAGCCCAACTCAGTAACACAATTTTAAACCTGGTTGGGTGTGATTCGGAGCGCTGCTGCTGGGGGGGGGAGAAAGGGGAGGCTCGGGGGAGGAGGGAGGGTCGCGGGCATTCTTCTCTCTTTTAAACTGGTGTTTTTTTTTCTTTTCTTTCTGTCAGATGACGTCAAGGACAGCGGGACAGCAGCGTCTTTTTTTTTTTTTTTCTTCCTCTGGCATCGCGGTGACGTAACCACACATGGCTCCGCCCCCCCCCCCGGTTTTCCAGAATGTACGAGCTCGCGGTAGAAGGCGCCTCGCCGGGGCTTTCGATAGGTGGGGCCACGGGGACACGTAAACAACGTGGTGTTGCGCAACGTTCAACCAGCGAGCGCTGGAACGACCATCACAGAAAAATGAGTATCATCCCCCGGGTTGGTCCGCACAAATACAGCCATGTACCGTCTTTATATAAAAACCCAACTTTATGTAACGGGACACGAGCGGCACGCCGCGCTAAGTCAGCTCTTGTTGCACAACAACCTGCGTGTGCGCACATGCTGCGTCAATAACAACAATGTGCCGCTCGCTTAGTCGAAATCTCCTCCACTGTAAAAAAAAAAAAACCCCAACACATCCTAAATAAAAATAAATAAATAATGTGGTCACCATAACGCATTCGGGGGACATTACGCAGCAGTTTCCCAGCGACACTCTTTAAGGTCTTAATCCACCGCGCACACTGTATCCGCGTCCCGGCTGTCAGGGAACACACCCCCTTTTCATAATACTACTACATCTGCCCAAATACTACTACATCTCCCCAAAGGTCCCCTTCAAAACGCGTTTACTGCAGCGGCATCTGCACAGGAAGGTTCCAGGACGAGACCCGGGCTGCGAAACACCGTTAAACTATGCGGTTCGTCTACAGCACGGATTAGTCCACGGGCAGAGTGCGCAGCCTGGTTTTGGTTAAACGCAATGCTCATCAGCATTGAACAAAACACACAGGTAAATAAGTTGCACAAGTTATATTAGTATATTAGAATATATTAGTAGTATTAGTATCACTCTCGTTCCTTTCTCACTCTCTTCTTGGTGATGGACTCCACGGCGAACACTTGGTCTCCCACTGAAGACAGCTCCATCACGCACGGTGCTCCACACGCTCCAAGGAAGACGCGGACTGTGTCCCTGCTGCTCTGCGGGAAGACAAGACAAACCAGCCTCGATCTAGAGGACGGAAAGACAAAGACAAAAACTTCTTCTTTTCCAGCTGGGTTTTTTGCTCCAGGTGAGAACACTTGCTCGGAAAGGCTGAGTCTCTGCGCTCCCCTCACTCCAAACTCTCCAGCTGCCTCCCCCACTTTTTAAAATCTGCGACACAACATCACAGCGCAGGACAACGGGCTCCTTTAAGAGGAGCGCGCCGCCTTTCCATTGCGTAGTGCGCGGCCTCGGCGTGCGTGCGCGGCCCCGTGAGCAAATTGGAGCAGAGTGCAGAGAAGGAGGAGGAGGGGGAGGGGCTGCGTCGGGGGGCGGGTCACCGCGTCAAGGTTACGTTGAAGTCAGGGGGGCGGGGGAGGTGGGGGGGGGCTTTATTTAAAATATCGCCATCAAACCAATTCAGAGGAAAGAGTCTCCTCAGGTTTCATTTCAAGGCCAAAGTATAAAAAGACTTTTAACTTCAGGAAGATCCAAGGTGACTCAACTTTTCATTTTATTAATTGTCAAACTTGTACAACAACTTTTAAAAGTGTGTTATTGGGAAATATGCTGATTTGGATAAATTCAGAATTAGAACCTCATTGTCACATCTGTATTCAGGTTAAATCTGGAGCCTGCGGCTGGTTAGCCTAGCTTAGCATGACGATTGCACTTGTTCCCTTATTTTTAGTGTTTATGCTAAACTAAGCTAACCATCAAGAGGTTGTGGCCTAACGTTTCCACCGGAAATCAAATACGATGATTGCCCAAAATGTCCAACTATTCCTTGGAGATATTAAAAAACAGAATCCCACATCAATCCAACCACAGCTTTAAGGACTATTCTGTTTGATCAACTCTGTGCTCTTTCAAAAGTAAACTACAGTAAAGTGAGTTTGTTCAGTGAAAGCACAAAACAGCTTGTGTAGTTTTATGTAACAGTGGTGAAGGCAGGAAAGATCAGAATCTGTAATGGAAATGAAAGCCTCGCTTCACTTTAATGGAGATGATCACCACTGCAGCCATGTTCGCTCTAAATATGGAACTACACAGCTGAAGACTACATTTTACATCCTGAACACTAAGGAGTTTCTCTGCAGAGAGCAGTACAAGAAATACTAGTGCAACACGGATAAAGATCTCAGTGAACATAATGACCGCTGAGATGTTGCGGCTAACATTTATCAGAGGACTGATTCTTAAAATCCCTGCCCAGTGGTTTGTTCACAGCCACTGATTGCACACACTAATCCACTAACCCATACCTGAAAGTGTACTGGTCCACCCCCCCCTCAGGTGGGGACAGCTCATAAAGGTAATTTGACTGCTGTGGAAAAAAGGAAAAAAGGCCCGGAGCTTGTCTCCCATTATTGTCTATTGAGGGTGGTGTGGATCAGTTTACAGTAAAACTCTCTGTGACTCCAAACACACACACACACACACACACACACACTTACATTGTCCACTTTCTCTCTGCACCTGGAACACTTGCATCACTTACGGGCATTGGGTGTCATGGCAACAGTGTCTAAGGCAACGGCAGAAAAGCTGCATGTTGATGATGATAAGACAAAAAGAAATTTGACGAGCAGATCATGGCTGAATATGCCTGCTTTGGTGACCTTTGACCTCCAAATCCCAAAGAAAGTCGAATAATAATCAATAATATTTTTACAGCGACATATAGAATCTGTGGTATTACAGTCAGTGAAGTAAAGCAATTTGAGATGGATTAAAGGCTTTAAACCAGAACAAAAAATCTATTTTTATGTGTGTGGCTGTAGAACTTTGATATAATTAGTGGCCACTAAGGACTACTTAAATTATCAATGAATCTTTTAATTATTGGATTTTGTAGACAACATGACAGTTAACATGACAGTTAACTTAGTTCCTAACATAAACAGACAAAAATTAGTTTATTTCTGTGAATTTTGCTAAAAAAAACGAGCAAATGATTAATGGAAGCAGTTGCAGCTTCATCACTTGTGAAGTGTACGGCCGCACACTCAGCAGCTTATTCACCTCACTGGTGTTGGAATCAAAGGGATTCAGTCCGTCACATTCAGAAGGAAGTTGGATCTGCAGAGACAGATCAAATAAACTGGTAAACATCCACATTCAAACGTCACACCTCCAGTTTTGTAATGCAGTTTAAGTTAAGAATTTCTCCCTTCAAGCCCAAAGCGAGATAACCTTGATGACATCACCATGAGATCATCAGGGTCGGACTACAGACGAAGGGACAAAGAAGACATTATACTAATGTTACTGGTACTCTTCATGCAGAGTAGACCGACTTAAAACAAGTGAAATAAATAAAATTGCCCCATATAAATTGATGCACACGCTCATGTGATCTTACTGTGCTTTAGTGTTTGACCCCTGGTTAGACCCCCCCAGGAGCGCGCTCCTCTACCGGGGCCCCTCTGAACGTGGATTACGGGATGGAAGCAGCACTTTTCCGGTAAGGAGGAGGTTATAGCAGCAGTTCAGAAAAGAAACACGTCGATCACGTGACTTGTTATTTGCCCGGATACTGCTGTATTCGAGCTGAGGATGGAGCGGCAAGAAAAACCCAACACGGCGGGCCGGATCAACGCGTTCACTCCCACCCACGTGTTATGACTCACGCGTGACTCACCAAACGTGACGGTAAGATCAGCGCCACTTCCCTGGAATAATAACAGGAGGAGAGAGGGGGGGAGAGAGAGAGGGGGGGAGGTTTACAGGCTCATACCGGGAATCCGCGCGTTTCTGCTCCAGGGCCCCTTTGCCCGGACGGGCTCGCAGTTCATTTATGTTCCGCCGTTACAGAGGTGCAACATCTGGGGAGATTAGACCATACCAGATGCAGCGGTGAAACGATAGAAAGCTGCCCGGCACCACGTGGGTCCGACGGGGTTCTGATCTGACAACATGTTTGATCACTGGGCAGGTTTTTATTGAATGGTTCCTTTCACTGACTCACAGCGTTTAGAGACTCTGCTCCACTACAGCCGGCAAGTGTTGTAGTATTACTCCACTACTGCTATTCGACAGCTGCAGTTACTGCAGAATACAATTCCACCGACTGCCATATATACTTATAAACTGCAGTTAATATTGCAGAAGTATGCTCAGCAACTAGAGTACAATGCTACTTAATCAGAAAGCTATACACTTTAAGGTATTATTTTGAACGCTTTGACTACTTGCAACATTGTTGTTCGGCTAATACTTATAGTATTTCTATGATCTATGATCGAATAAGCCCTTTTTTGAACACACAAAATGATTGTCACATTGGGTGTAACGGTTTGCTTTATAAAACCAGTTACATTTACTTTGTACAACAGACTGATGGTTTCTGGTCTGGTTTCTTTTCTAAGTTTAGGTGGTTTGAACACTCAAGATGAAACCGAAGCCGGTGGAACCAAGAGAAACACACCAAAGACCGAAACCAAAATGCAGAACATCAACCCTCGTCAACACTGTAAATATATAAATAACCACGTTACTGTATGTGTACGTTTATTAGCATTCAACAATATTAAAATAGAAATCCTTGGTAATGACAATCCTCAGACTGTACATGGAGAAAACAAGTTTGCACTCATCATTTTCACTACGTAAAGAATGTTTACTTGTTTTTTCTCCCAGAGAGCCCCTTGAACAAAATCAACAAATGTCTATATATATATATATATGTATATATATATATATATATACATATATATACACTTGAGGTTGAGAAAGTTGTGTGTCTGCAGCCTGCACGCGGAGCCACTTCTGTGGAAAGTCCTGCTGCAGCCGGTGTCTCGTGGACTCACAAAGCCTCTCCAGATGAAAACCACTCACCCGCACTCACGTTAAGAAAGTGTGCGCAAAGACGTTTTCTTAAAATGACACCTTTATTCATTAGAGTCAGCAGTGGTTCTGTATTCATAAATGTCTGTGGCATTCATAAATACTACACTATTTAGTGAAATACTGCACTAATAGTTAAAACCTTCATCCTGTGGATCTTGTGTTGGCGGAAATGTCTTATTCATTGTGCGGTCAAAGGGGTATCAATGTTCTCAAGTGATTTCCTAAAATGTTGTTGACACTAGAAGTTAACTGGACTCCCAAACCCCCCACAGAGACAAGCACACCTCAGAGCTGGCAGAAAATGAGTTGTAAACAGTAGGATTTTCTTTGCGCTTGAGTCATTGCCAGATTTTAGTCTTTAATCTTTTGGAACGGTTATCAAAATGAAATTTTACAGAGAGCATACGGGGTCTTGTTTTTGTCCATACCTACCAGAAGAAGAGGTACTTACAATCTGAGTTGCCATACATTCTATAAAATAAGACCCGACTCCACACCTAGAAGTCACTGACTTCACCAGCTGCACACAGTCTTCAAGCAGCGGTCACCGCTGCGGGCAGGTGACTCGGGTGTGTCCCGGCATGTGGCAGATGCCGCAGGAACGAGGTTTCTTGGCAGCTGGAGGTTTGTTGGGGGCGGCCTCTCCGGCGATCTTCCTTCCTTTCTTCGCCGCAGCTCCACCACCAAACACTGCGGACACGGGGAGCACATACAACATGAGGCGGGTGGAGGTTGCTCCATGGAAAGCAGAAGAGGATTCTGTGTACCGAGGGACTCGCGGCACCGCGTCAGTTTGGTGAGTGGATGCCTCAAAGTCTCAGTGGAAGTGTTAGTGAGTCAGTCATGAGACATTAAGTAGAGACACAAATGAGGAGGATTTTCTTTCCATCCCCCTCTGCTGTTTCATCTTTGTACATCGTTTCTGCTCTGCTCACATTAGGATGTTCTGGATCAACAGTGTTGACGAGCACAGAGAGCATGTTGAGCACCGGCTCATGGTGTCCATTATCTGACAGCCAGAAGAAGGGATTTAACCGCGACGAATCAAGGGAAAAGCACTTAATATGTCAGTAAGGTATCGTACATCTCAAAGTATTAAAGGTGTTCTTCCCTTTAATTTGACTGAGAATTTGCTTGTAGTGCAAGAGAAGGAGAAAATGTGTTGATTTGAATAATATCCCTATTTCTAAAAGTTCCCTTTGAAACCGCACAGCTGATAGCAGCTGAACAAAACATCTAATTTTGTGCTTTTACAGAGGACTATATTCCTCGATGCCACAAAAGGGGCTTCAATTATTTATTTCTAAGACTGCGATACTGATGGAGTTCAATGAGAGCGGAGGGATCATCACGAGCGGCTCATGAATGTCTGCAGACACTAGATCACTTTCTGCACCTGTAAGCAGAGATGTTTTAAAGTGGTGCCCCCCCCCCGTCACTGCTATACTCATGTTGGCATCGCTAAAAACAACAGCTCAGTCAAAGAGTATCGCATGTAGTGTAGTGTCTGTGAGTGAGCCTTGCCTGCTGGAGGTTCGTTCTCATCGGCCCACAGGAAGAAGCCACACTGCTGGTCTCTCGGTTTCCCGCAAGTGTGGAACGTCCGGCCCTTGTTTGGGCCGTCCTTCTGCACCGTGAGTGTCACCGTTGCCTCATTGCAGTTACACATTGTCTGTCCCGCCTGTCCTCCCGCACCCCCGTCCCGCCCTCTGCCTCCACCGGGGGTGTTGCTGGACACCACGGCGAACCTCGGGGGTGCTCGGCCCTGCGGATCCCCCTGCTGAGTCGGCTGATCCGCCCACAGGAAGAAGTTGCAGCTCCCGCCGTTGCATTTGTAGAACTGCCGACCTTGGTTGGGGCCGTCTTTGCGCACGGTCAGGAGGAGTGCATCCTGCCCACAGTTACACACTATGGGCATCGCTGCTGGTGCCCACACCTGCACCGCCCCCACCACCTGGAGGTCGTGGCTGCGGGGTCCAGGAGGGGACCGGGGGGAGGGAAGGTCGAGGATTTGAACTTGGGGGTCTTGGGGGCCTTGGAGCTGGTGGACGGGGATTGTCTCCTCTTCCTCCTCCCCCTCCTCCTCCTCTTCCTCCCCCTCCCCCACCACCTCCCCCTGGCCGAAGGTACTTCAGGTCCAGCACCTCTCTGAGCGTCTCGTCACAGCCGCCGATGCAGCCAACGAATTCTAGAGGCATCATGGGAGGAAGGCTGCCCCTGCGGAACTTCAACTTTAACCTGAAGGGATGTCGGACACGCAGGAAACAAATGCTAAAGAACTTCACTATTCACACATCAAATGTTCAAACCTCAGTATTCACACAAATGAAATGAAAGATTGAGTTTTTCAAATTGAAACGGTCCGAGCAATAAAAGTTGATACAGTTTTCACTGCAGTTGTTGTTCTGTTGAGTTTTGAAGGGATATTGATTAATTGTAAAAAAAAAAGTCGATCTATCTCTACTGAACACACACGATACACAGTATACAGGGAGTATAACGTGTATTCTGTGTACTTAGCATACTTAGTGCCAAGTAGAATCGGTTAAAAGTGGTGGAAGGAGCTTGCTTTTCAAAATGCGTGCATGACCCACAGAAGTTTAAACAATACAGCAGGTTGCTGTAGCGACCAGCGAGGAGGACGAGGGAGGAAAGAGTTTATTAATGCACACATCTGCCAGTAACAGTTACACAACACGCTGAAACTGCTACGAGAAATCTGATTAAAAAAAACCCTGTTGTCTTAGACTAAAGGCTGTAGTTCAACTTTGAGCTACATACCAGATTGGTTGCTATGGAAACAGATGCTGGTGTGGAGCACTTTGGCTCGATGGTAGCGAGGGTGCCCTATATTTGTGCTGAGCCGAGGCACGTGCTCAAGGGGTTTACGCCCACTTGTGTAAACGAGGATTTTGACAAGTTTTTCGCAGTGCTGAAGCCACTGAGAGCCTCATCTGCTGTTTGTTGTGTTTGCACAAGAGCAGCGCCTACTCCCAATTCATCTAACAAATGCACGCCGGGTGTTCAAGATAAACAAGGGAGCGGGCGACTTTCTTTTACTGTTTCTAAAATATTGATCATCCTTCGTGATCTTGCTCTATGAAAGGTGCTACGTGAGATAAAGTACTCACCAAATAGATCAACATTGTTACTTACGGAGGTGCTAAGCAAACGGTACATTAATACTTACATGTGAACAGGGTGCGGTTGACAGGTGGGACAGATGCTGTCGTCCCTGCTCACCTCCAGCACCGTGTCGGGGAACCACACCGCCGTCTTACAAGCTGGGTAACCCGAGCAGGACAGGTACTTACTGCAGCAGGACACACATATAGAACTCACTGGGATCCTCTTTTAACACACTTGCCTCATAATTCTCCAAAGCATACTTTACTGTCGTTACATTGTACTCCAACATTTCAGCCACACTTAAAACAAATAATAATAATTTTAATAAACTCTCTCACCCGTTTCCCTCCCTCTTCTTCTTCAGCACCATGTCCTGCCTGCAGTTGGGGCATTTCCTGACGGGCAGCGGCATCTCCATGTCCTGCTGCTCGGCTTCAGCGATTTCCTGAGCGGCCCCCAGATATTGTGACAGGGCTTCATCTAACCTGAGGCAACAGAAAATGACCTTTTAGCTGGATCACAACGAGGCGAGTCGGACTGATTTAAATCATGATACGGTTCCGCCCCTTTGGGTCAGAAATACGCAAATCTATTCCACGCTAAATTCATACCTGCAAACTCTGAAGGGTCGAAAAAGGTGATAGCGGGGCGGAACGTGAAAATGGATGACGCTTGGGAAATGTGTCAAGAGGCACAAGTGCATGTCATTTGGATCTGGAACTTTTTCGAAATAAATCATTTTTCAGAAAGAAAAGTCAAATGAAAAAAATAAAAGGTTATTTATTTTTTCTGGGATAATAGATTGTTGGTTGTTTAAGAAAATCAAGCTGTACTAAGCCTAATTTGGAGCTTCACATTGGTGCAAACCATGTTTGGGCTCCACATCCACGTCGTTAGATGAAGCATCAAGCTTTTATAAAGTCTTTTGATTGTTCTGACCAAAATACTAAACTGATCTGATTAGGATGGTAGATTTATCTGAAACACGTATGGTAATAATAATAATAATCCAGTGACCTTTGACGGTGACCTTTGGAGCAAAAGGAGGAAAAGTTGAAGGGAAATGAAGATCTCAACGCTGATTGGCCAAGACTCCACACGTCAAAGATGTTTTATTGTGAAGATCACAACATCACCTTTTCTCCTTGCCTCAATCTGCAGGATTTGATTTCAAAACAGCCGATAAAGAACAAGTTTGCATGTATGTAAATTGTGACTAACTTTTTGGCCTTCCTGACGGACTCGATGAAGACGGTCTTGTATTTTTGGATGTGGTTCTGCAGCACGCTCTGTTTGTCCTTCCTGCCCTCTGACACCAACTTGAGGTCAGCCTCCAGTTCAGCTCGCAGGTTTGGTTTGGACATCTCATATCCCATGGAGTTATAGCCTAAACAAGCACACACACGTTGTGATAGTAACATAGCTGAATGACAGGGGCAAAGGGCTAAGGCATGCTATGTATTAGGGTCCATTGCGACGGCTAAATACTGTGTGTGTTTGTGCGTGTGTGTGTGAACACACCCTCCACCAGTCCCATGCCGAGCTCTCCAGGCAGAAACCTCTGATCAGCTGTTAAGCCCACATACATGCGACTCTTGATGGTCTCGATGTGCTCTGCATGGGTCGCATCCGTGCCTGCAAGATACACAGTTAAAACGGTACAGTTACTACGGAACAGTCACTACGGTACAGTTACTACGGTACAGTTACTACGGTACAGTTACTACGGAACAGTCACTACGGTACAGTTACTACGGAACAGTCACTACGGAACAGTCACTACGGTACAGTTACTACGGTACAGTTTGTGACAAAGCTAAGAGCATTTCCGTGTTTACTTGACTGTAGAGTCCTTAAGTTGTTTGCTTTAACTGAAAAAGGGATTGATGGTGATGTGTAGTGGGGTCAGTTTGCATGATGACGTCTCGTTGCATTCGGCTGTGGCCGACTATTAGTGGGGGGCTTTATTTTACTTAAATACATTGAGTCATCGTCGGGTATTAAATTCACAATATTTTTAGTTAAATTTCCCAAAGTAGTTCATTGTAAAGTTCTAGTAACATTCAAATCAATATTGATATATTGTGATATATAATTTGGTACCTAGTTTCGTGTAAATCTGACAAAGGTAATGGGAGTTTGTTACATTCATTTGATCCATCAATGGATGACTTGTTAAAAACACAAAAATGAAAAGGAATTTGGTCTCATGTCTGTGTGTTCACGCTGTACCGATGCCGTGCTTCTCCATCAGGGATATGAGGTCGGCCTCAGTGAGCAGCTGCGGTGGACTCGTCTGTCCGTCCGCCATCTCGATAGCAGAGGGCTGGAACTGAGAGCCCTGCTCGTACACTGGAATCACCTGGCGATTACAAAGAGGTCTACCGGTTGTATCGCACACGAGCAACGGCCAACTGGAACCACACGTAACCTTTTCTACGGCTTCAGAAGTTCAGAAGCCGCTAGATTAGGCCGGTAATTAAGTCTCTTTATCACAGAACACACACACATATCATACCTTAGCGCTCCACCTGTCATACGGGTAAACGTCCAAGTAGTTCCTCGCAATGATCATGAGTCCCGAGGTGGAGAAGTTCTCCTGAGCGATGTCAATGTCCACCACAGTCTCCTGCCCTAAAGCATCCTGGGACACGCAGGCCAGGAAGTGCCGAACAATGAACTCGTACAGACGTCCTTCATTTCCCTGAACACAGAAGAAGCAGAAGTGAGACATTTTAGTAAATTATTCCTCAGTCATTGTATTGTTGAGAGAAATAAATAAAACGTTTGCGGGGTTGTGACTTGGACTGTTTGGGTGCAGAACGACCTGCCACCATTGAACTAGTGTATTTTGGTGTGATCGTTTACTAAGATCAAAACCGTGAACAAGAATATTTCAGCACTGTTTGTTTGAAAAGAGGCGCCACAGGCAAAAGAGTGCCTGTGGATCACGAGTGGAAAATATTTGCACAAACTGAGCTGCAGGTTTTTCAGATGTACCTGCAGGGTACTGGAGTGCTTGGTGGGGTGGATGGGGGGGTGGGCCTGGTCAGATTTCTTGCCCTGTCGTGGGTTGGGACCCCCGGGCTGGTCAATCACCCTCTGGGCGAACGTCCCCCAGACCGGGCTTTGTGTCTGCTGCTCCACCAGCGGACCGAGAGCCAACGTTGTGGGGAAAATGTTGGTCTCCGTGCGTGGGTAGCTGATGTACCTGAGCAGAAGCACATTCACAAGTCATCTTCACACCAACACAAGAGGGAGTTGCACAATGGACACTAGTTAACACCTGATGGATACCGCTCCACCAGGTGGTGTCCTTCCGTGTACTAAAATGGGCAGAACTTTGAAGTGGTTTACCAACCAGTTGAACAAAAAGGCATTTGCCCGTTTCACAGACACCACAAAGCCTGAAGAATGGAAACAGTTCAAAGGAATGAACTGATATCTGGCGTTGAGCATTGACCGAAGCCGTTGCAGTCTGACCGTACATTACCCAACATGCACTCACCCCTGGGTATAGAGTTTCTCTGCAATTTTCATGGTCTCTTTGGCGCTTATTTTTAGTTTCCGAGATGCAAGTTTCTCTAATTCCTGTTGGTGGATAAAGGTAGAGGATTGTTCAGAGTGGGACCAAATGCTGAAAAAATAAAACTGCACACACGTTATTGAGTAACAGGTGTGTTGTGTAATGCAGTGTGTACAGCGTGTGCCTGTGGCCGCCTGGCTTCATATTCTTACCACAGTGTCCAAAGGCAGCGGTCTCCACTTGCTCTTGGGTTTGCTGGTTACTGAGGTGACTGTTGCTATGGGATCCTGGAAATGAGTGAAAGGATATTCTGTTATGTACCTTCCTACATGTGGCTTTCAGCCCATTTCATTCAGGCAGAATCACAACACAGATTTAAATCTACTGCAGAGTCCTCCAGCTGCAGTTGGAGGTAACACATGTGTGGAGGAATTTACAACGAAAGGTAGACACATGTGTGCACACACTCATATACACAAGCACACACACTTGGTACAGGCTCACGGTAGTTAATAAAGGGAAATATCAGTGTACCTTTGCTTGAATACTAATCAATCAACAACATTATTTTTTCCCGGGGGGGAGGGAGGTGGGGACACAGTATGTGTGGGTGATAATGAGGCCAAGTGGTCCGACTTAAACCCAATATGATAACAATTAATGATCGCTCACTAAAATATCATGAATTGGTTTTAGATTGAGATTTGAGGGATTATTGAGTAATGTTCCAACCCGATTAGAGCACCTTTTTATAATGTAGTATTTTGGGTTACACATTTTACAAAAGTAGTTGTAGTAACAAAGTACACTACATAACTAAATCTATAAAAGGACATTAAAACATTCACACAAAGAAGCACTGACCTCCATGCACATCTGGTAGAGCACCAGGCAAGCTGTGTGGTTGAAGAGACGGTTTCTTTTCCAACTGAACTCCACAGTGTCCTCCTCCACCTCGTGCAGCACTGAGACAAAGACAGACACAAACAACAGATTGGATGAAGAGGAGTCAGTTTCTATCGGTTAAGAACATCAACGCTACCAATCCGTGAGTCTGCGCAGCGATGAGTGGGTACCTTTGATCTTGTAGAAAGTCTCAGGTATGAAAGCCTGGATGGCTTTAAAACGCTCCACCACAAAGCCCAGAGTGGGAAACTGACAGCTGCCGTAAGAGATCAGCTGATTCGCCAGAGACGCCGGGAAGATCTTCTGCAGGCGAAGCGTCTGGAACCGAGTGAAGGACGCACCTGGAGAAGATGAGGACGGGACGGGATCTCATCAATACGCGGCATTCTTTGAGATGAACACAGCCAATGCGGTTGTATCATAGTCACGTGACTTTTAACCGTAAAACATTATCGGTTTAGCCGATTTGGCATTAGGGACTCACTACTGTTAGTTTTGGAGTGCTACATTACCTATTCGCAGGTCCAGCTCCTGACGGACGTCGACTGCGTCGCTGACGTTAGCGTTTGGCTCCGTCAGGGTCTCACAAGCTCTACGGATGGAGTTGGGAGTGATCTCAGAAAACTTTGCCCGAAACACTTGTACATTGGGCTTCACTATAAAGCAAAGAGAGAGAGAAAACACACAGACTCACTATTATCAGAAGCCATTTGTGGACAAACATTCACAAACATGTAAAACTATATGTCTTTTAGCTATTTGGTTTTGGACAGATGAGTGAGACACATCGTGTTTAGAGTTTTTTTGTTCTTGGGAAACGCCAGTCTAGCTCCTTTCCTCTATCATGTTTTGTGCTAAGCTAAGCTAATCATATTCTGACCCCAGCTTTAAAGTTTCTGCACAAACCTAAAATAAACATCAATATTCTCATCTAACTTTCAGCAGTAAGTAGATTTCCCAAAGCTCAAACTGTTCCTTTAAAAAAGGAGTTTATAGATGCAACGTGAGATGCGGCCACACAACGACAACAACAAGAAAACAACAAACAGATTACTATTATACCTGCTTTGCAGACATCTATGATTTCAAAGCCAATGTTTTCTCCCTCTCTGTCACAATCGGTCCAGATGACCAAGGCCTGGCACTGACGCACCTCTTTCTCCAGTGTCCGCTAGAGACAGATATGAGGGACAAACGAAAGAGAGAATGGAGAATATTTCAAATTGAATTATAGTATCTATATTAATCATTATTTCCTCTAAATTAAAACATGTCTTCTACTGCAGTGAGAGGAAAAGGAAAAGAAAGTATATCATCTGCCGCCGGCTGGCTTGACAAAATGGTTTCATTAGCAGAATAAAACAATGGTATTGGGTTTTGAGTAAGTCCTGGTCCAAAGACTACTACAACTACCACAACTAATCAAGTCTTTACAGATCTTTACTTTGAGATACAAAGTAAAGATCTGTTTTTGCATATTGTTGTGACTCCTGGGAGGAATATATGTCAGCATACCTTGATTTGTTTCATGTTATCTGGACAGTGCTTCTCCACTTCAGCATCAAATAATAGCACAGGATTGCAACTGTGCCTGCGAGGAAAAAAAGGCACAAATAGCATCAGTAATATCAGTACAATATGAGTTTTATTCTGAATACACAAAAAAAAAGAAATCCAGTTTCAACTTACCATTTCTGGAACTGTGCTTTAAACTCCTGACCCAGTAGATGTCCAGATACTGAAGTCATTGTTACGGTCACATTCTGGAACGGAGACATTATTAAAAATGTAAAACACAAAACAAAACAGACATCCATGAGCATCCGAGCGTATTGACTTATTAACTTACCTGACCAAAGAGATGATATTCAAACTCATAGATTTTATTAAACTTTGACATCCCCTCTCTCTAAAATGGGAAAGAAGACAATCAGTACAGGAAAAACCGACCAGAAATATATCTGTTTCATCCCTAATAGTTTGCTCTGGTTTTGGGGGAGATTTGGTGGAACTGGTCATCAACATTTACGGCGCACAGTGCTGACTGACAATAACAACAATGTACGTTCTTCATGACTGACCCTGCGGGACGTCCCGCCGGACATGATCTCTGAGATGCATTTGGCCGCATCGTTCTTCTCGGCCACGCAGAGGACCCGTTTGATCTGAGCCCGGTTCCGGATCATGTCTCCCCGCTGCGGCGTCCCCGGACACGGGTCACTCTGCGCCGCACACAAGCACCTCCGTAGGACCGCGAGTCGCCGTAATCCCGGTCGAAGCAAAGATCTTCCGAAAAGGTGCACTAGCATACCTGGCCTCTTTCACATGAAGAAGCCGGGGCTCCAGGCAGCTCGCTAGCATGTTAGCTAGCGTAGCTAACGGTAGCCATTGTATCCACTTTCCAAAACTTTCAAAAAGAGTAAAAAAAAAGTTATTCAATGGTTGACTAAATTCACTATCAATGGTTATGATAGGATAAAAAAAATATGATGAAAGCAATTTCATCGAAGACTAGACAGAAATGCTAATTAAATAATGTGAGGACCTTCGGTTCTGTTTACAAATTCCGCGCTCGAGTCGCCTGTCAAATACTGCCGTAATTGGTGTCGTAATGCTGTCGTAAAACCACGGACCACCCGCAACTTTCATAATAAAACAAGGTTTGTATTAATATTAGCACAATAACTGCTTTGGAATTGAATACGGGGATATCGTATTATAATTAATAATACGTCGTTTATAATAATAATTATAGTGTAAATATGTGTGCTTCGTTAAATCAATGATAGACAGGAAAATAAAATACACCCTAAATAAAAATCTTCTTTTTGCCATTTTAACAGCAGTGATATTGTCCTGTTCGTGTGCATTATACATTTTGTTTTTGCAATTTTAGTTCCAATAAGTCTACATGCACATTTGACAACTTTATTCTGTGAATATAAAAATAATCAATTTAATATTACTTGAACAACGTATTATTTTCCCTCGTGTTAGGAATTACGTTTCATGTTTAATTTGAAAAGGTCCACCAGGAAGTAATTTACTGCTAGTAGATAAGTAGGTAAAATAGATGTTCTGAGACACGTGCAAATGCAGATATACTGTAGATATGCATTATGACAACAAATAATAAAACATTTTGAGATAGTTTGGTCTGTCTCACGACTTCAGTATTCCCTAAAATCCTCGCTATGGCTCACCTTTTTCTTTCACAAACATGCTCCCAAACCTAAAAAACGGACAATGAGCCAGTTTTAAGACTCACTGATCCGTCCAATCATCACCTAAAGTGCCTGCGATGGGTCAGAGTAGAAATGTGTAAAATATTTTGTTTTAGGGTGGAACTTCCCAAGATGCGGCTGGATTCGTCACCTGACAAGACTACAACCAGCTGGGTAAACATGGCGCCCGTGTGTGGGAACTACATGTAGCGCTTCTCTCTATTAACGGTGTTTCTGTCGCAACGACGTCCTGAACACAGTGACGTGCTGCAGAAGACGCGCGGAGACATGAAGGGGAGACGGACGGAGGCGCCTCTCTGACGCCGTTTTTATGTTTCCCGCAGTGTGCAGCATGGATGGTCCTGGCCGGACCTCCTGATCGGCGCGACGTAATTGCTTTTATTAACAAGGACACTGATTTGTGTTTTGTTTCCGTCGAGGTTTATTCTCTTCGTGTACATGACAAATATCGAGGCTCCTGATCAATGGACTGTGCTGCAGGAGTGGAGCTGAATTTGGGACCACTCTGCTCTGGGACCCCCTTTTTTTATAATTACATAATCAGTGGGACACAATCAGGTGGATAGTGTGCACCTTCTCCATCTCCGGACCCCTGGGATCTCCAGCACTTTTAACCTCACAAAAAACAAATGTGCAGCAGGATGTTCAGTCTGGCTGCACTTCCCGTTGCCGCCCTCCCCCCTGTTCTCTGACTGCTGGTTTATGACCGTCGGTTGTGCTGCACTGTGCGTTTGCGTTGCTCATGTCTTGCTCAACGACACCACGATGATCGGCTCACCTGACGTGGTGGCGTTCACCAAAGAGGACGAGTATGGGCAGACCACTCCGGACCCCTGGGCTCTCCCCGCGGAGTTCTCCTTCCCCCTCCATCCGCTGGCTGACTCCAACCCCTGGGCCAAGACCTCCTATGCCAAGTTCACCAAAGACTTCATCCTGATCTCCGAGTTCTCCGAGCAGGTGGGCCCTCAGCCGCTCCTCACCATCCCAGATGAGCCCAAAGTCTGCGGCACCTTCGATCTCAACTATTTCTCCCTGCGCATCATGTCCGTGGACTACCAGGCCTCTTTTGTCGGACATCCGCCTGGCAGCGGCTACCCTAGGCTCAGTTTTGTGGAGGACTCCAGGGTGGTGCTGGGCGACTCAAAGGAGGGGGCGTTCGCCTACGTCCATCACCTCACTCTTTACGACCTGGAGGCGAGGGGCTTTGTGCGACCGTTCTGCATGGCGTACGTGTCGGCAGACGAGAGGAAAATCATGCTGCAGTTTCAGGAGCTGTCACTCCGCTTCTCGCGGGCCTCTGAGTGCTTGAAGGCCGGGAACAGGAGAGCATTCGCCAAGGAACTGCAGAGGAAGCTGCGGGACCTGGAGTAAGGACCTTTTTCTGATGTTCTCTCCAATCTTCTGTTCAGTCGTTTTAGATAAAGGGTGAACAGAATAATCCATGAGAAACCGTATTCTCTGGGCTGAATTAGTCCGTTAGGGGCTCCTGGAAGAAATATTTGCTGTTTTTGGCCACTTTATAGAGTCCTCGCCTACTGGCCTCTGTTTGTGATCCATGTACATAGTGGCCTCCAAGTTCCAAATAGAAAAAATGAAAAGCTAATTCGATGCCTATGAAATGAGAAAGTGTGAAAATTGGATTTTGACCCCAGCACTTCTACAGGTCGGGGTTCTAAACTGCTCGAGCTCTCCGTACTGGTCACCGTGGCACTGATGACACGCTGGTGATCATCTCCTACATGTTCGACATTCTGATGCCAACATTCACTAATGGGGGAAAAACCCAGCGGGGCTGAAGGGAATGTCATTAGTTACGCCAGTCTGAGGTCATAAATTAAACTGAAATATTGATTATTCCAAACTGATGATGGAGAAAGATTTTCTACTTCATAGAAAACGTTTCACTCCACAGCACAAATGTGATCGCAACCCTGTACCTTTTTTTGTTTTTTAAATGTTTGCGTCTTCCCCTCAGGTACACTCACTCCGTGCTGCAGAGGGAGGAGGGCCTGCAGAGGGAGGCGGGGCCTCAGTGCATGTACTCCGCTCACGCCGTGGAGAAGGCCAATGAGCTTGCAAATGTGGAGAAGAGCATCTACGAACACAGAGACCTGCTGAGGCAGATCAGCTCCTACCAGCACCGCCCACGCAGAGACCCCCACGCTGTCACCTGCCAGACGTGTGTCACCGAGTGCCTGAGTGAGTGCGAGCAGCTGTTGGACAAATACGCCAAGCTCGCCAAGCCCTTCCGTTACACCGACAAACGGGGCAACGGGGAGGAAGGTCGGGATCAGGTTGACGATGAGGGAGGTGGAGAAGACATGAACGAGGAGGAAGAGGGCGTGAAGCGCAGGTCGTCCTACACGCCACAGCTGATCAAGGCCAAGTCAGCAAAGTGCTTCGACAAGCGGCTGAAGACCCTGCAGGAGCTGTGTGACGATACTTTCTACGACGCCACCGTGGAGGTCCTGAAGGAGACGGAGAGGAGTTTCCGCGGCGACCTGTGTTACCTGCACACTCGCCGCCTGGACAGGGCGGTGCGCAGGAAGCTGAGAGTTACCAACTTCCTGTTTGAGGAGGAGCTCGGAGATGAGGACGAGGATGAAAGGGGAACAATAAGACCATTCTGCGCTGTGACCCATGCTGTAGAGAACTTCACACTGTTCAACCCGCCTCCTATCGTGCTAGGACCAGAACCTGATGTCCTGGAGCCTCCAGACCCGCTGGACCCAGCCGCCGTGACCAGCCACACTCGTGAGAGTGAGCTTGGGCTCGTGGAGAGCCACCTGGAGTCCTCCCCTTCAGACCAGACTCTGGAGACCCAGGGCAGCTCGGAGGAGACCAAAGGAAGCTTCAGCAGCGACAAGAGCGGGATGGGACTAGCGGAGAGGCAGAATCGGGCTTGTGTGAAGTCGGAGGCCCCCGATTCTGACTTGACCCCTGACCCCGACCCGGAGAGGGAGAGCAGCAGCGAGGAGATGGAGACCACTGCTGGAGAGGACGAGGGAGACGGGACGCCCGTGTCCTTGCTGGAGGTGGCGTCGGAGCTGGAGGCCAGCAGGGAGGATGATTGTGACGGAGAAGCCGATGAGGCCTGTGAGATGCAGTCTGACCTGTTGGTTCCTTTGGACACGGCGTGCTGTATGGCCCAAGATGGTTTCCTTTATGAGGCTTCTGCCCCGGAGGCGGCGCCTCCTCTCGGCCGAAGCTCCCACCTACAGCCCTACCAAACACTGGTGATCAACCAGGAGCCCCAGGCCCTGCTTCACCTCCAGGACGACTACGCGGTGGGCTCCCCATCCTCAGGGAGCCCTGCGGATGGGCTGGAGCTGCCCGTTGGACTCCTCGGAGACACAGTTTCCCAAACCTCAGTGGAGGACGGGTGTGACTCTGCCATGAGTGCTTCTACGGGCTCCGATCGGGCCGCCTCGCCTCTGGGCTACGGGGGGGTCGTGACCTTGCGTCAGAGGAAGAAGGCTGGACAAGGAGCCTTGAGGTTTGTCAGACAGTACCCCTTCGCCATTCAAGCTCTGTGGTGCCTGCTGAGCGGCAGAACCCTGGTGGTGCTCGGGGCGGATGAGCGGGTGGTCCGCCGACTGGTTGCGGCTCTGGCCCTCTTCGTGCCGAGTCCCGGGAAGTGTGGAGAGCGCGTTCAAGCCTGGCTGTCGTGCCCCTTCACCCTCACTGACCTGCAGAGGTGGAAACTCGTTGGGCTGCAAAGGTATTTACAAGCATTTTGTGTGTTTGTAGCTGAAGATGACGGATGGTGGTCCCACGATGCTCCCACGTGTATACGGGAGTCTCCATCAATGTCTAAAATGGTTTTATTCCTGCTTATAGTTTGCACCACAGACTACTACCATGTTGCTCGTCTGCTCTGACTCAGTCCTCGATGACTCACACCACTATATATTCAACCCGCCTCACTGTCCTTGAACTTCGTTTGCATTTCCACTTGTCTTTCCTCCGACATTTAGAGAGGCGGCCTTGAGCCCACGTCTTCATTGAGCCGCTTGGAGGCAAAATCAGGCGGGCGGTTCAAGCAGGATTCTCTTCATCTTTATACTTTCACCTTATTATTGCTATATAAAGTTGTTGTACAATTACAGCAATTGAAAATTGCAGTGCAGAACTCGAGACCCCAACTGGTTGCTGTTCATACAGATCCAGTTGAACATTCGACTACCTGGTGACTTCTAATATGTCGCTGAGCACGATAATCTCCATTGACGAAACATTCATTCATTTAAACATGGCCGACGTGTATTACATTAATTGATTAAATATGTGTGTGTTCAAGGTGACTTTTAACTAAACTGCCGTGTGTGTCTGCCCCTCACAGAGTGGCGTCCCCTGTGGGCTCCAGCATGCTTTACTCGCTCTCCCGGTACAGTCGCTACATCTCCATCCTGGATGCCGACCACAAGACCCTGCGCTGCCCGTCTTACCGGGGTCACCTCCTTGCCAAAATAGCGGACCACCGCACCTTCATCCGCCGCGGTTCCACCTACTTCCTCCACCTACAGAGCGCTCTCTGCCACCTGGCGGCCAAGGCCTTCCTGCTCACCTTCACCCACCACCTCCACCTGCCGGTCAGCTCCACGGAGGGGCCCGAGGTCGTGGAGGGCAGACGCCTCTGCTTCCTGCGCGAGCAGCTGGGTCTGGGAGAAGAGGACGGCCAGATACTGCTCTACCTCAGCCAGCTCATCACGCGGCAGTACCTGCAGCCGCCCGGCGGGGGCCGGGCAGCCGCACCACCTTGCTTCAGTTTCAACTACACCACCAGCGTTTTATACAAAATCTGATACCCCACCGGGACGAGGACTTTCCAGATGGATTTTTAGCAAAGCTCCTCTCAGACCCGTGGTTTTTAATGGGCCAAAGGCTTGTCCTCATAAGGGCCACAGCCCTTTTAATTTCAGGACAAACTCCTGCGTTTGGTTATTGTTTTATCTGCGTAATCTCTCTCCGCCTTGCTGTCTCCTTCTCCGGTCTTTGCTCTTTCCTCTGTGCGCGGGGAAAAGCAGTCCGAGGGAGTTGTGAATGTCACTGAGCGGTTCACTCTGCCTGTGTTTGCTAAAGAGCACGCCGACACTCAACAAACACAAACAACCGAGCAGACGAAGGTCGCTTCCACTTATTGTCCTGTTAGTCATTTGTGTCTGTTGCTTGCGCCGGCTTGTTTAAGGTCAATTGCCACCGCTCTCCACGCCGCACACACACACACACACACACACAGGCAAGCGCACACTCTCTCTCAATGCAACTTTGCTGTTGGTGTACTGTGCTGGTCTGACCACAGCCAGCTCGCCAACAGGTTAAACGATATTTGTTAACACCTACGAATCACTCAGCCTGTTTGTCCGCTGTGATATCATCGCCGCGTTCCATAAACATGTTTTGCAGCCGACTCGCATACTGCTGACATTTTCTGCCTGTGGAGAACCGCCTGTGCAATACGCTTAGCACTGCGCAGGCCCGTTACAGCTGGTTTTGTGACCTGCCTTTGTCTCTCTTTGAGAACGACCACATAACCTCCGAAGGCCAAAAGCTTTTTTTTTTGAAGCCTTAATCTTTTTGTTTGACTATTTCATTTGTGAATCAATTTGAACCCCCATCCTCGCAGTGATCTCGGATTGTAGCTCAGTAGTTTTGATTCATGAGGGCGAGGAGAAAAACACTCCCAGCTTTCAGATTGTGATGCATGAGGAATTGTATTTGCTGTGTGACTTTTAGGTCCAGTCGGCCCCACGTGATATTTGCATGTCCAGAAATAACGTCTCCACGATACATACCCGCCCATGTTTGGGCAGCTGCAGCCAGCAGCTGTCTCTATCATGTGCTTTTGAGCATTTTCATTGATATTACTCCAAACAGTCCAGCACATTTTAAAGCTACTTAACCTAAATGTATTGAATTTCACTGTTGTCTTAAAGTTCTGTGAGGGTGTTGTGGTGTCAGCATGAGACTGTCTTGTGCCGGGTTGAATCACCTTAGTGATAATAGTTCTGTTTTGTTGTGTATTTGGATGAACTGACTCTACGAAGATGCTGAAGTTTGAGGAGAAGTTGCTGAGACGTTGTTGTGTTTGTAAAGATGTTGCTAGGAGGGGGAAATATAGTTTCCTGTGCCTTCAAATGCAAAACTCTAAGCTTGGCGCTACAATTAGGACAGTTGCGTATTATTTATTTACTTCTGACATGGATATGTGATATATAAACAAAGCTGAACTGAATTGATTTCTACTGGACTAACTGTGGATTATGACCATCATGCCCGGAATGTCCCACTTTTTTCTTTAGAGGATGTTGGAGAACTTCAGTTAAGTGATCTTTTGAGTTGTGCCTGGGGCCAGTAAAACACTGAACAAGCGTCTTTGATAGTCATTTAGATTTTACCGGTTCTGATTCTGTAGCGTCAGGGATGGAGCCGTAATCCTGTATCTAGAATGGTAATTGTACTTGTGACTGCATGGTCAGTTTTAATGTGAAAGGTCAAACGACGAACCGTGGCTTCCTTCTACAAACAACTTTCTTTAAATGCTTTTAACTAACGCCACTATTAATAACACCCAATGTATTATTTCGGTACGTTCTTTGACAGGTTGTCTTTTTATTTTTTTAACTGCTTGAATAACAAATAGTACTGCTAGTTTGTCCCTCTAATGCTAAAATGTGAATGTAATCTGGATAAGCCATACCACAGTGTGCTTAACACGCCATCACTCAGTGTCCTTATGTTGCCACATCCTGCCCACCTTTTGTATCCCATCATGAGGCTTCATATCGGCCCTGTGAGGCATCGCTGTTAAAGAAGCACGTTGTGAACGTCTTGATGCTTTTATGTAAATGTTTATTCATTTATTCCATTAAATTATTTGAATCCATTTTTGTGCGTATTGATTGGTGGTCATTGTGAATATGACTTTGGCGTTTCAGTATCCCAAACACTCCAACAGCTCTGTGTCTGTGTGACTTGCTTTAGCGATGACCAATTTGAGGTGCCGTGAATGATCAATGATCATCTGTGAAAACAAGTAACGGTCCTACAGGAGCAGCAGAGGGCAAAGTGCTGCAGTGGACGAGAAAGTAGCAGTAAACGAATACAAGACGTTTGCAGCAATATTACAAAACTGTCATACAACTCAAGTATTTAATGAAACCATCTGTACTATATGCTTCAGATGAGAAGACTCCCAGTTAAGCACTTGTCACTACAATGTTAACCTCATGCTTATTCTTAAGTTGCTACTATTATCAGGGCAACGTTAAAGTAGTAAATGTTTAAGAAAAGAGGCCAAACAATTGAGTTTGGGAAAATGAGCTCTTTCAAAATTAAAAGAAAGTGATGCTATGACAAAATATGAAGTTGAATAACTGGATAACATTTCTAGCACTAGAGAACACAGAAATCCCACCTTTCAGGTGCTGAGGTGTCCTTAATGATTAACCTAGTGAAAAATATTAAGACTTCATGCATGTTAGAAAATACCGTTTTTTTTAAATATGATTTAGATAAACTAAAAATATTGACTGTAGTTCGGTTGTTTAAGTTGAATTATGCTTTGAGATCGACTACAATAAATTGTGTAAATTGAATCGCACACTTTACCTGCATCCTAAAATAAAGAACTCCGGTAAATCAGAATTGTTTTATTTAGAATTACACTACAAGAACAATGAAGACTGGAGGATTACAACTGACATTTCAAAACTCAACTCACCACCAGCTCTTCAATTTAAATGAAAAACGTAATTTAAAATGACCATCACAATGGGTACGACTAGCTGGAATGACAGGCCTTATCCAGAAACAGCCAACCTCAATTTCCTACTTTGAGCTGTTGGAGTTGAGGGCTTTATTATGTAGAAAAACAAATGCAAGACATACACTATGGCCACTGTGTGTTCTCCAGTTTTCAACAACCCGACCCTTTAAGGGACACTGAGGAGGATGATGATGACGAAATCAGCGATTTGTTTCTGACTGAAAAAAAGGCCGTGTTCCTTCAGGGTTGTGAGGGCACAGATGGTGACTGGGTGAGCCTTGATCCCCAATGGAAAAAAGATGAGATGTCTTTACTTAGCCAGAACATCCTCTGCATCCACAATGGGTGCATTCAATGATCCTTCCCTGGCAAAAGAAAAGTATTTAAACAAATTTAGACCACAAGGACACACACAGGGAATGTATGGGCAAGCTCACTTGGATTGTTTGTAAAATAACAAAAGCAGAAGACTGAACTGGCAATCACAAGAACAATGTCGGACTTACAACTTCCAGCTTGCTCTTGGGAACTCTGCAGATGCAGTTGGTTCCAAAGTTGGTGTCTCGGGTTTGGATGCAACGCAGACAGCACAGGTTCTCGTAGCCCTGCTTCTTCCACTTGGCTATCAGGTTCTTGTCTGCGTAGCCTTCTTTTATACAGTAATCATACAGCTCTTTCAGGAGACACACAGAAAGAAAATACTGGTTTGGAATCGATCAACGCGTAGAACAATGTTTCAAATGTTTGGTAATCTGCAAAAATCATCAATTGTAACGAGTAAAAATAAGTCAACTCTGGTATGCATCTGCTCATTGGCATTTCAATACAGAATATCAACAGATGAAATGTTTTTCAAACACGCACAACAGATCATGCTGAACAGATCATGCTGAATTTGACGGATTACATTGAATGCTGAAGTTAGACAGATGAGAAAGCAAAAACAAGCTTCAGGGGAAACCGTTTACCTCTGCTGATGGCTTTCCTTTTGTAGAAGAGGTCGAAGATGTACCGACTCCGCTGGTGATGCAGTCTGAAAATTGGCCAAAGAGACTCCACCTTTCTCTTCCCCTCGTGAGGCTCCGTTTCAGCTGGGAGACAGAACCAGGATAGTTATCTCAATGCGAACACCTCACAGGCTGCGTGTGAAGTACCGAAGACAACAGAGGTATTCACACACATATCAATATACAGACACACACTGCTGGAACAGCCACTACTCGCCCAAATGTGTTGGCTGAGGTCAGTGGTGGTCTGTATTTACCAGGTTATTAACTAGGGGGGCACGTTCCCCAGCCTCACCCAAACCGTGTACAACTGCATACAGTAACATTACGGTTCCCTTAATTTAAAGCTACGAGCTAAAGCCAAAACCAATGGAATGTTAACAAATATTTGCATCTGACTGAACCAGCTCTACTTCAGCAGCAGCTAGCATCGCTTGATTAGCTTCAGCGTTCAGTAGGCGATCGGGCTGGTTATCCTTTTACAAAATGTCAGCTAACAATCCAGTAAAAGAAATTGGCTGTAAAATGAATTGAAGTTATCGTCGGTGGTCTCAAAAGCGATCAACATCGACGGACAACGCGAAGAGAAGATGGAGATATTTCTCAATAGCACAAACTGCGCGCTGTAGCCCGACGGCAAAGTGTCGTGGTGACATCGGGGCAATCCGACTTACCTTCTCTCATCTTCTGATCCAGCTCATCCAAAGTGGGCTCAATGAGCTCCCAGCCGTCTGGGGGCGGCTTGCGACTCCTCTTTACTTTTGGCATTTTACTCTGTTCGACAAAAAAAGAGGGAACAAAAGCGGTCCGTGTTTTCGTTCGGATTTTGCGACACCGTTTTAGTCGCTACAATTCTACGTCACTCGAGGTCCTTCTCACACTCTTGTCGTTTAAATGACGTCACGATACAAAATAAACAATCTGAATTGAACTGCGTTCGACACATATTTCTTCTCTCAACCTAACACACTATTCAAATTAATATTAACATTTATTTAGGTCAGGTTACAGGTGTTTGCTGATATTAACGAAGTCTAGACGTCTTTCTGTCGTTGCTGCATATTACTGTAACACACGAGCACATTGCCTTAAGATAAACAACATAGCTTAGCTAATTGCATTGCATTGCTAATTGCAATTCACGTTATTTAGACAAATAACTGCAAATGATATACACGTGTTAAGGTAATTTAGTCTGTAGCTGGATGTATGCTACCATCTGTTAAAAGGCGTATACATGAACTACTTAAGCAAGTATTTCTGAACTCAACTCCGGCGCGACTTGATCCAGCTGACGGTTCGTAAAGCTGTTTTGACACTTTATAACACGTTATGTTATCGGCCGGTATTTAACGTTGGTTATTAGGGAGATATTAAATTAAATTTGTCCAAGTGCCCCACAGTGCTACATTGGCTTGAAAACAGTATTGTACATTTGTTTACGTGTTTTACTCAAAAACAGGCAGCGATCCAGGCGATGTGCCGCTCCAACCACCTCACGTGCATATGTGGTCATTCAGCGCGGACAGCGTGTTTACTTACTACGTCTTTAGGCACTTGTCTCGTAAACCAATGCTGAACAACGTGTATGCTTATCTGTGCGCGCGCGTGTGTGTGTGTTGTTCTTTGTTGTCATGGTTATTGATGCAGGTAGAAAAGGTGGCAACAAGGGTCGCGCACGCACGTGCAGGAGGAGGACGTAGGCGCCCAGATGGAGGCAGAGAAAGAGGAAACAGGTTGGATCGCAATAGTTGCAAAATACCGAATGAATAACTGGGGGATCCAACACTTCCCAAAATGCATTTAATAACGCCTTTAAACGGAAAGGCGTCAACTTTGTTAAGCAACCTTCATGTCAAACATTAGCTGAGGGCCCTCTAATCAGCCAGAACAGAGGCATTGATTTAAAAGCAGCACATGTGTTTGAATGGAGTAAGAAATACGCTGCATACGTTGCTTGTTTATGTATTCACTCTATGTGTTTGATGCCTTGGTTTGAACAGTCCTCTGTGTTTGCATTCCTCATTTATGTGTTCTAGCATTGCAGTGCACTTTGTCATTTTATTGTTTGTTATATTCAAAGCATGGACTTCATATTGTACGAGCCATTGTCATGTGTTTGCAGAGGAGGAGAGCGGGTGTCGAGGACTTGATAGAAGTAGAAAACAGAGTGGCTCACAAGTCCAAGAAGGCGCCACAGCTTGAGCTGTTATCAAGGAGAGAGAAGTGGGTGCTTGTTGTGACGTTGTATCTCTGCCAAATCCTTTTTAACATATAGTATTTAGTAGAAACAGTGCAGCTCTACTTGAGTACTATGTGGGAGGCATGTCTTGGGTTTAACATGTTTTAACATGGGGGTTTGAATATGTAAAAAAAAACATTTTACTAGCCTATTATTAAGTGGTAAGCGCCTAAATCTAAAGGCTGGTGGGTTGTTTTTAAGCCTATAAATTCCCAGCCCCACATGTTTGATAATGGGGGTATTCCAGAAAGCGGGTTATGTGAAAACTCAGAGTAAGTTAACACACTGAGTTATCCGTTCCAGATAGAGAGGTAACTGAAACTCTGAGTCAATCACCATGGTAACAGACTCTGTGAACATAACCTTCTCGCTGGCAGGTTTACTATAAGAAACCCAGAGTTTCTACCGTCTACATGAAGAAAGCTGGTAGACATGGATTGTACATTCCCACCGAATCCAATTGACATCGAAGCCTTAGTGATTCGAAATGCTTTACGTCGCAAGAGAGTCTTCCGGCCCAGATTAGATGTCATCATTATTATCATTTCCAGAGGAATTTCTGTTAGAACGCTACCGCTTTACTAGTAACTAGGAAACATATGGACGACATTTAATTTCTACAGTTCCACATACAGATTTAACACGGTATTGACCGAAAATCTCACTGTTTCAAGCTGTCCTGTGGACATTGATGGACCCTCCTCCTGGTGATGCCCAACCATGTTCTGTTCAAGGACAAGAATGTGCTAGTTAGCCATATCTATGCTCATCACCTCAGTCTACATGTCAAACTCTAGAATGTGAATGGGCAGAGCACTGCCAGTAGATAATATTAAGACACACTTCAGTAGGCCTCTCTGGATCTCTCCCTGTGGCAGCAGACAGCGTTTCCTCCTCATCATCATCACCTTCCTGTTACTTAAGATACTGTTTCTGAATACTTTTAACTACCATCTGAGGCAAGATCTGAGTATCTGCAGGGTTTACAGCTGTGCAGATGACACCATCCACAACTGTTGGGTGGGTGGATATATATTATTTAAAAAGTAGGCTATATATATATATATACACACACACTACCGTTCAAAAGTTTGGGGTCACTTAGAAATTACGTTATATTGAAAAAAAAAGCTTTTCTTTGAAAAATAACATTAAATAAATCAGAAATACACTATACATTGTTAATGTGGTAAATGACTATTCTAGGTGGAAACATCTGGTTTTGAATGAAATATAGAGGCCCATTTCCAGCAACTATCACTCCAGTCTTCTAATGGTACATTGTGTTTGCTAATTGTCTACATTTCCACAGATTACCTCAACAAGTGAACAGCTAGAATGCCAAAGGTCTGCAATGCTGTAATTGCTGCAAATGGAGCATTCTTTGACGAAAGCAAAGTTTGAAGAACAAAATCAATATTCCAAATAAGAATCATTTCTAATCTTGTCAATGTCTTGACTATATTTTCTATTATTTTTTCCAACTGATCAATAAAAGTGTTTTAGTGTTTTCACTCATGGAAAACAAAATTGTCAGGGTGACCCCAAACTTTTGAACGGTAGTGTGTATATACTAGTTTTATTTTTTTTAAAGAAGTGTATACTTGCATCTGATGTAGGCACTTGTGTCCTGGGTGTGACAGGCTCGGATGAGCTTCCCCCCGGGTTACCTTCAGCCACCGGGCGACCACTGTTTTGGCTGAGGGCCTCTGACAGAGGAGGTGGAGGTTGGCTGAGCAGAACTCAATGTTTCTTTGTTTTTTAATTAGTATTTTAATGAGTGTTGGTGTAGGCTACAGTGTCACATTTCAAATGACTTCGATAGGTATAGAATAAAAATGTGTCTGAAAGTGTTGCTCTTTTATTTTCTGTTGTCATGGTGATTCGTGGTGACTCGTGGCATCGGGGCTCCATTGATGATGGCTTTTCATGCACGCGCTTAACTCAAGGTGAACATACTCAGAGTTGATTGAACTAACGCAGATCAGCTGTTCTGGAACCGGATACTCAGAGTTTCCCGTCTCAGTAAGTCAACTCGGAGTTCAGGGATAGACTCAGAGTTTGTTGAACCTCCTTTCTGGAATACCCCCAATACCTTCCTCCTCTTTGACACACACACACACACGCACGCGCCGGCACAGAGAGGAGATAGAGAAGCCGAAAGCAAACGAGCGCCACATGAAGATGCACTTGGCAGGGAAAACGGAGCAGGCCAAAGCTGATCCTGCTCGTCTCGCCCTTATCAAGAAACATGCAGCAAAAAAAGAAAGAGAATGAGAAAAAAAGTAGGCCAAATGAAACCAGGAAAACACTACACAACCTGATGTGGTGACGAAAGCTCATTGTTATTATCTTGGAGAAGCTGAACTATTCTTTACAAAATAGAGCAGGTCGACCTGGAATATTGTTCTGTTGTATTCTGGGAGGGTTTGTCAAAAGATTCCATATTTCCTTGTAATTTATGAAATAGTTGATATGAAATCACCACATAATAAATGATGAAGCCGAAAAATTCAATAAAAAAGAAACACTTGCATACAACACTTGAAAAACTCTAATCCCAATTTATTTCAACCGTCCTTTATACCTTATTGCCCTCTGTTAATACATAGTGAGAACCCTGTCCTCATTTATCAGAGAATTATTTTATGTGTTCATGCTACAATATATGATTAAGCACTAGCAATGGCCTTGACATTTCTGTTACATATGATGGACAATTGTACAATTATAACTCTGCTAACTGCGCTTTGCCACAGTGTTTTTAGGGGAATCCTACATTGCATATACCTGACTCGTAAAAATATCGCACATCATTAAGATGAACCAGTAAAATGTGTACATGTATGCATTTATTTTTTTAGCTTTATTTAAATGAAAGATAATTCTCACTTATAATACCTACATAAAAAATGTATCTTTCTTTTTAAAAGATTTTATTTATGTTTTCAATTAATAAAAGATATGATGCATAAATATTCCACTTCAGGGTTCAATACATTGAGGCATGCACCCATTGGATACAATGCATAATGCAGAAGTCAATACTGTTTTTTGTGATATTTGGTTTTATAGCATTCACCTATTTCCAGCTATCCTGCCCTACCTGTGCAAATAACAGGCCACCGTGATCTCGTTTGGGTCCACACGGTCAGCACACGATGGCGCTGTTGCACTTAATGTGCTGGATAAACCGAAAAAGAAAAAGAAAGAATCAGCAGATTGGTGCAAACTTTGGCGGACTTTGCCCTCGCGGAGGCGCGTGCTGCGCTCAGATTGAAGTACAGTAAGTCACACGTGCCAGCGGACACGGTCCCCTCTGCACCGGTGAGTAAAACAACCAGTTCATGTCATGCGTGTTGCCATTTACACCATATTCATTCATTCATAAATAACTAACGTGGGTCCCGCATTAAAAACGTCTTATTCAGCCGCATTTCGCGGGTCTGTGCGCTCCAGACGTTTTTTGCCGTTAGCCGTTGTGCAGCTAACGGTCTCCTCCCGACTTCTGCTGGTTCCACTCAAAAGTACTAAAGTAATACGCTCGCTGAGCGGCCGGTATGTCGTCTTTGTGACGGCAGGGGAATAACGTTCACACCGCTCTCATAGTAATGACGGCAACGTCGCCTCGTCGCAGCCTTCGTTCCGTGTCTATCGGAGCGGATTTAAAGGTGAACGAGAGTCGCGAGACGCGCGAGCGCAGCGGGTGTTACGGGGCAACACGGTCGCCCGTTAACTCGTAACACCTGCCGCCGCATGGACGCATCGCGACGTCAGGAGGCCGTGAACGCACCTGTTGGTGTCGCAGACGGCGCGTGGTCCCGGTTACCTAATCACGTTTCATCACGCGAAGTTCTGCAGTTGTTCAGCTTGTCGGTCTGTGTAACGGGTCAAAGTTCACTATGTCACAGCTGTGTTTGTCCTCCGTAGGACAGTGTCCTGGCAGCACCCCCTGCACGGCCTTTGATAGACATGCACCCTTATCATCTTTATTTATCTTTTTTTTTTTTAAGTTGTGTCGTTGCTTTTTAAATCTGTCAATGATTTATATTGAGTCTAAACAAATAATTATGCTCCTCCTTAAGATTCCAACTTGTTTTGACCAGAGAAACAAAGAAACCATGTCTTTAAAAAACGAGCACAACTTCGTGGTGAGCAAAGAAACGTGGGATTCGCACAACAAGATGATGCTGGAGCCGCTGTCCGTCAGCGACTCTGAGGTTTGTGTTCAGTCTCAGAAGAACCGGAGTGCGAATGCAGTTTGAACTAGTTCTTTTCTGATTTTAAATAAAGGTTTAATAATAATAATGAATACAATGGTCAAGTCCACTTATTGTGCATTTTGTTCACTAAAGAGCTTCCGTGACAAACTGTTTTTGTCCTCACACAACGACACACCCGTATTTGTGTTTTAGGTGTTCTCCATCATAAAAAAGGAGAAGCACAGGCAGACGTACGGCCTGGAGCTGATAGCGTCAGAAAACTTTGCCAGCAGAGCCGTCCTCGAGGCTCTGGGTTCCTGCATGAACAACAAGTACTCTGAGGGATATCCCGGTCAGAGGTAACGAAATCAATCCAACCCTCTTTGAAATGTTTGATTACATTCTGTGAGCGGTGCATTCAGATGTCTCCTACCAATTTAACTGCATAAGTATAGCGGTAATGATCTGTACGATCCATGATGTGTTCAGGTACTACGGTGGTACAGAGCATGTTGATGAGCTGGAGAGACTCTGTCAGAAGAGGGCATTGGAGACCTACGGCCTGGACTCAGAGAAATGGGGTGTCAACGTGCAGCCATACTCCGGTATCAAATAGTGATTCAACATATAAAACCGTTTCTATCTGCTGTGGAGCCCGATCAATGTGATCACTATTTAGATATTTAAACTCGCCCCTCGTTCTCATTGCGTTTTCCACTTTTTTGTAACTCTTGTTCATGCTTCCCTGTCAGGTTCTCCTGCTAACTTTGCCGTGTACACGGCCGTGGTGGAGCCCCATGGCAGGATCATGGGCCTGGACCTCCCTGATGGAGGTCACCTGACACACGGCTTCATGACCGACAAGAAGAAAATCTCGGCCACGTCCATCTTCTTTGAATCCATGCCGTATAAGGTACAAAACAGTCATCAACAGTTGATTAATTGAAGCAGTCGTTTTTAAATGCTCCAGTGTTGTTCTTATGTTTTGTTTATCAGATTCTGCTGTTTCGGTGTATTTAATAAGACGTGGTCTTGTGTCTCAGGTGAATCCAGAAACCGGCTACATCGACTACGACAGACTGCAAGAAAACGCTCGGCTGTTCCACCCCAGACTCATCATTGCAGGTGCTTAATTAGTTTGCCTTTCAGACTAAAACAAATCACCCACCGCATTGACCTCTGCGTCTTCGTCTTCTCCAGGGACGAGCTGCTATTCCCGCAACCTCGACTACAGCCGCCTGAAGCAGATCGCAAATGAGAATGGTGCGTACTTGATGGGAGACATGGCTCACATCAGCGGGTTGGTGGCTGCCGGAGTGGTGCCCTCACCCTTTGATTACTGTGACATTGTTACCACGACAACACACAAGACACTGCGTGGCTGCCGCTCTGGACTCATCTTCTTCAGGAAAGGTAGAAATGGAATCAGATACTTTTATTCTCAATACGTGCAGTTTCTCAGTGATAAAAAAAATAATGTCATTATTCTTGTCCCTGCTTTCTATTTCCCTCCTGCAGGCGTGCGCAGTGTAGATGCCAAGGGGAAAGAGGCTCTGTACAACTTGGAGTCCTTGATCAATCAGGCTGTGTTTCCAGGGCTGCAGGGGGGACCCCACAATCACGCCATTGCAGGTTCACATCATCTTTCTCCCTCTTGATTTTGCCCTCTTAAAGTCTCAGCTCGATGGTCGTTCGTCAGTTATTTCAGCTTCCGTCTCATTTCAGTTGTGTTTTTCTCCGGCAGGTGTTGCTGTAGCTCTTAAGCAAGCCATGACGTCGGATTTCAAGGCCTACCAGATGCAGGTTCTTGTTAACTGCAAATCTCTATCCAATGCCCTCATTGACTTTGGCTACAAGATTGTCACTGGTACGTGCCGCTCAACAAACGCAGAAAAACTTGTGTGTTGCTTCCTTCATTTAAAGGAGTTATATTATGCTCATTATAGATTTATATTTGTATTTATTGTTTCTTCTTGAACATGTTTACGTTCAAAAACCCTTCTCTGAATACACCCTCTTTCTTAGTTTAGTTTTAACTCTTTCTTTCTCTTCCTGTGTAGGCGGCTCTGACAACCATCTGATCTTGCTTGACCTTCGCAGCAAAGGGACTGACGGAGGACGAGCTGAGAAGGTTTTGGAAGCCTGTGCCATTGCCTGTAATAAGAACACCTGTCCAGGTAGAGTGTGTGTGTGTGTGTGAGAGAGAAATCTTCCTTTTTCCTTTGTTTCTGTGAATATAGCCTTAGATTTGTGTAAAGGAAGTCTTAGTGCCACTCCTCATGTTTCTGCATACACGTTTTACTTTACAGGGGATAAGAGTGCCCTGCGCCCTAGTGGCCTGAGGTTTGGCTCTCCAGCGCTGACTTCCAGAGGCATGATGGAGGAGGATTTCAAGAAGGTTGCTGAGTTCATTCATAAAGGTAATCCTGTAAATGCCCTATAGTTATAAAAAAAGTATATGAGTACAAATAATAATTTGCCAAGATATTTTCTGAGAGGTTTGTTTGAACTAGTGATCAGACCATTGAAGAAGTGCAAAGGTATCAGGTTGTTGGTTTAAGTCTTACACAACTGAGGATGTTGTAGCATGTGGAGAAAACAAAGAAACAACAGAACCGGATTTCACACAAATGAATTCGCTCTCCTTTCTCCTGCAGGTATTGAGCTGACCTTGGAGGTGCAGAGAAGCCTGGATGCCAAAGCCACTCTGAAGGAGTTCATTCAGGCACTCGCTCAGGGAGAGAAGTTCCAGCAGCGTCTGTCACTGATCAAGGCAGAGGTGGAGGGTTTCGCTGGCCAGTTCCCCATGCCTGGCCTGCCTGAGCTCTAGAGGGCTGGACTGAGGATTTAAAAAACTAACGCCACATTTTGCTGGTGTTTTGGTTTCGTCAGTATATTTGTTGTGAGATGTGTTAATCCGTCACAGCTCTAATCAATATGCTTTGTCATTACTTACGGTATTTCAGGTTGGCTTGGAACAGATTTTTCTTAATTGAAAGATTGATTTGCAGAAGTATTGCCCTGAAGTGATCCACTTTTCCACTGTAATTACTGTTTCACTGTGAAGCGGATTGATGCACAAAACCTGAATATTCCTGTCATACACAACTTATACTGTACACGTATGCAACATAAATAATACAATTTGAAAATTGTAAAACAATTGTTGCATTACATTAATAAATAAATGAAACATATATTGTCTTTCAGTTGAACCTAAAACTGGTGCAGATTAAATCACTTATTGTATCTCACAAAGCACGTACTTGGAGTTAAATGCGGCCGTGGCTAACAAATACTGCATTGCTGAAGCTAAACGTTGCTAAGTAGCACAAAGGGCAGCTGAGGCTGATGGGAATGTTGCCAGTTTTGCAGGTTTTTGATAGTATAGGACGAATAAATGTCTTGATGGTGTCACTTCAGAAAATGTGATGGGATCACTACATTTAACAATTTATTCTAAATCTATCAAGTTGTTGGTTAAACTTTTCACTCAATGCCACACATAAACCTCATGTTTTTTTTTATTCCAGCCATGGAATCCCTAAAGTCATTAGGGTTCGTTATCTGAGGACCGTACACATTTGTAAAACCAAGAAAATTCATCGGAGGGTCCTTGAGTGATTTTCGTCCGAGCCAAAGTGGAAATGACATTACTGACATTTTTATATGAATTTATTTAAACGATTCCTAAGAAAAGTGATTAAAAAAAGCAGGGTCAGATTGTAAGGAGCTAATAACTTGTTGCTCCACTTCTTTCGACCCAGTCCCAGATATTGTGCATTCTGAAATTCATTTTGCCAAATTTGTTTTAATTAGCACCTGATGGAATCAATTCTAAGAGATTTATTTCTGCATATTTCCTTGTAGAATAAAAAATGCAACTATGATTTTGATTAATATGGAACTGATTTTGAATGTATTTTTTTGTTACTATTAATTCATAAGATCTTAGTAAAGTCGTGTGTATGTATTTATACTATGGGGATGTAGATTGCATTAATTAGCAAATTAACTAAAACAAATAGCTGCAAACCTTAAACCAATTTGTTTAAAACATTTGTTTGTACCATTAATACGGTAATAACAGTTTTTCAATATTACTGTAGCAATTTAATGTGAGTAGTGAAACACATCGGTATGTGGACATGCAGACTATAAAATATACACAGTGTAATAATCAAGAGAGAACAAATATTCCTTCAGAAGAAAACTTGTGAATTTGGTTCATATTATATCATGAGACTGTTGTCAGAGGTGTAGATCAATATGTACATGTGGACTGGATCTCAGGCTGTTGGAAGTGGGATGCTTCTAAAAACATCACAGACGTGAAGTATTCCGTGGTTTCCATGTAATGTCTCTAGGCGCATCATATTCATATCATCATATTATATTCAACAACACATTTTTTAAAATAAACACTTTAAACGTTAAAGAAAACTATTTTTCTTAAGTTTCACTAAACTATTTCTTGCAAATGACCTCTTGTACTGAGAAATGATTAAACCCTGACAAGAACTTAAGACTCACTGAGACTGATAAAAGCCACACAACAAACTTTCATAATGGAAAATGTGAAATATGAACACTCAAGTCTCAAGGGGTTTTCTTTGTATTATATTGTTGAGGACTTAAAATTGCTCAAAGTGACTGATTTTTCGTTTTCTTTTGTTTCTTTTGGCCCTGGGTTTAAAAATAATTCTTTATTCACCAGTTTATTTCTGACAGAATGCAGAATATAACCATCGTACCTTCATGTCAGAGATTAAGACATTAACAGTTGGTTAAATACAAAACAAAATCACTATATTTAAATATTGCAAAATGATAATTGACAAACAAAAAATATATTTTAAAAATGTAAGATTAATTTTTGTTTTAGTTTAGTAATTTAAAGAATATTAAATTCTCCCTTTAATAGTATTGTTATCATTAGGGAAACCATAATGTGGGTGTGAGTTAACCAAAGACCTCGATAATCGTTTAGTCTTGTCTTACTCCGTCAGGTCAGAGGTCAGTCTGCGCGCTTTTCATACATCCACGGTTGCGAACTGCTTGAGAACGAACGCACGAATAAAAATTGATAGATCGACTGTTGTTCGGGCTTCTCCTAAGAAACGATCGTCTAAAGCTGCAAAGAACAGCAGCTTTTGTGGTTCCTCATGAGGAAGCTCCCAGATTGTTGTTAGCTTATTGGTTAGCCTAGCTAGCCTCGTTAGCCGCCGTAGCTGGCTGTGGAAGAAAGTGCTACCTAGCTACCTAGCTAGCTCCACCTCGAGCTAGCTAACCGGAGCTGAAATATTGTTTTTGACTGGAGCACGACTCACTAACGCAGACATGCAGGACATACTAGCTAACGTGGACCACCTCAAGTTTGACTTGGAGCTGGCTATGCAGCAGCAGCTCGGGGCACAGCCGCTGCCCTTCCCCGGCATGGACAGTAAGTACTCGGATGCTAGCTGGTGCTTAGCCGCAGTAGGTAAACTTTCTGTAAAAAAAAAACTTTCTTGCCGTTAGCTACTATCAACGGATAGTAGCTAACGACAAGTTAACACGGACACTTTGCCGATGGTGACTGTTGATGTTCGCTTCTGTGTTTATTATTGCTGTAACACTGTGTGTTCCTGCAGAATCCGGGTCGGCTGTCTGCGAGTTCTTCATGAGAGCGGCATGTCAGAAAGGTGAATTAAAAACACAATGCACGGTTGTATTTTAACTTCAAGAGTAAAGAGATGAATACATGAATGATATTGGCCCAAACTGAAGCTGCAGAGGAAGACCTTTTTGTTTTTTGTACGACTTAAGCTGCAAAAACACCACATCCAAAATGTCCCATATTGCATTGAGATTATTTTTTACAACGTTAGATCGTAGGTGAAGTGCAAATGTCACAACAAAACAATAACATAAAAATCATCAGAGAAACAATTGTCCATCAAGGCAGAGCTGAGTGGATTCAACTTTAAATCGCATTGTTAATAAGGTCACTGTTTTGTGTAAAATAAGAACAACAATATGAAGAACAATACAGCCAGGAGGAATGCAATTCATAGGAATAGCAAAAATAAAAATGTAAGGTTGGATTGGCATTGTAGGAATTACAGATTAAACTAAATATCTTTAAATTATTTTTGGAAATACCAAAGTGGGTTTGTGGCTCTAAGGAGAGGATGTCCTCTAATGCAGAATCTGCTGGACAAGCGTTCTTCTTTGCTAGAATTGTGATGGTGATTGGTGTTTGTTATTGTTAAAATCATGTTGGTAAATTTACAGGTTCTAGTGTGTTGTTGTGGATTAATTATCGTATCATCATTTGTGTCGTATCTGTATTTGTTTGCACTCCCAGGTGGGATGTGTCCGTTCCGTCACATCAGTGGAGAGAAGACGGTGGTGTGTAAGCATTGGCTCAGAGGGCTGTGTAAGAAGGGGGACCAGTGCGAGTTCCTCCATGAATACGACATGACCAAGATGCCTGAATGCTACTTCTACTCAAAGTTTGGTTGGTTGACTTGATGTTTCAAAAAAAATCCCACAGATGAGTCCAACGACTGTAAAAGCTACTTTGCTTTGTTTTCAATGTTCGTTTAAATCCTGCAGGTGAGTGCAGCAACAAGGAATGTCCGTTTCTGCACATTGATCCAGAGTCCAAGATCAAAGACTGTCCCTGGTATGACCGGGGCTTCTGCAAACACGGTACGTCCTGCTCACATGGACATTGCAGCTGTATTGATATTAACACCCCCTAAACACGCTGTTTGTACATAGTTTTCCCCTGCAAGTTTGAATTCTTCACCGCGCAGCAAAACGGCCTCTTTACTCACCGCTGGGATCTTTATCGATCTTTCTGTCACAGGTCCTGACTGCAGACACAGACACACACGAAGGGTGATCTGTATGAATTACCTGGTGGGCTTCTGTCCTGAGGGAAAATCCTGTAAATTTATGCAGTACGTTATCCTAAAACATCACTTATCACTTTGTTGTGTTGTGTGTTGGCTTTTGTAATTTGGGATTGTTCTTTCCCTGCTCTATTGTTTTTAATGAATGATGTCATCTAATTTATAGAGTAAGCAATGAAATGTAAATTATTGGAGTCGTCCCATTACAGTAATGTAGATTAACAGTGAGCTGTTCCTCTACAGCCCACGTTTTGAATTGCCTATGGGAGCTTCTGAACAGCCTCCTCTACAACAGCAAATTCAGAACCAGACAAAAGTAAGAGGAAACATACACAACCTCCAAAATACTCACTGGTATTTAGCTGCTTATTTGTCACTGATCTCTCCTTTCCCTCCCCTGCGGCAGCCTGTTCCTACTATCGGCCGCTCGTCGCTCTCTCTTATCCAGCTGACCAACTCCAGTCCGGGCATGCGGCCGCAGAACCACATGCCCATGGCTCATTCTCACCAGAACAACATGCCCGGCAACAGAGGGCCTCGGCCGCTAGACCAGGTCACCTGCTACAAGGTGAGTCGTCCAATCGTTGGCCGGGTGATGTGTTCTTATTCTGTTATTCATCTCGGAGGGTTCAACGGGAGGATCAATAACCACGCTCGTGTCCTATTAAGCACACGTTTGAATACTTTATCTTTAAGAAAGTTATTTTCACACATGTATTACGGATTCCACTTTCGGTTAAGAACATACTTATCATAGAAAGTAATGTGGTGCAAAACTGCAAATTATTGTTTTTGCAACATTTCTTTTACAGAAAAGAATTGCTTTCAAGGTTCTTGTAGGCAGATTTTGTTACCTTGTGGACGGCGCCAGACTCTGTTTGCTGCCTCTACTGAGCTAAGCGACGGCTGGCTCCAACTGAATATTGGTGTTTGAGCTTCTCATCTAATTCTTAATATCTTCCATGCAGTGTGGTGAGAAGGGCCACTATGCCAACAAATGCACTAAAGGCCATCTTGCCTTCTTGAGTGGACAATAATTTTCAGCTTGGAAGTCACCGTGGATGCTGCTGCAGAGACCTGATGTGAGATGAGAAGAAGCTCCTTTGCTCCAGTTGAACTGAAAGACTGACTGCTACCGTCGTGTGTGGGTTTATACAGACAGTAGGAAAGATAAACATAGCGTTCTATTTTTTCAGATCACATTTGAAGTGGCTCAATGACTTGTGTGTTAGTCTTCGGAGTTTTCTACGTTTGTACTGTAGAGCACACTGAATATTTGATGACATCAAACCCACGGTCCAACAGGTGTAGTGCTGAAACATTCGAGCTTTACAGGATAAACTGTTTCCTCGGGACATGTGACTGCATACTTGTAAATGACTATAATAAAGAAATGTGAAACTGGTAGAAAAAGAAATTAATCAGACTTATAGGAGCCTCTCGATAATTTATCCTACCAGCAGAACCTGTCAGATCTGAATGCACAGATCATTCAAACTTGGCCCAGAGAGATGTGGGCGAACAAGTATCTCAAATGATGTTTTGGAAGTGTGAATGTAATTTGTCTGTACAGTGTCTTCAAATAAATGTCTTTGTTACAGAGGTACTGTGGTACTTGTATTCACACAGAGGGACCTCCGCCCATAATTGTCCCTCAAGATGCAGCAAAAAAACAAAACAAAACTGAGATATAAACACACCCACGATATGCGGCCTGACAATGAATCTCGGTATTTATTGGTCACAAAAGTCACATATTAGACAGCTGAAAGAGCCGGGGGAACCAAGGTTAAAGCTCAGCCCCTGAAGGTTGCTGAAGGAGTTAGTGGTATTTCCTCCAGCGGTCATGTTCTGGAAGAGAAGAAAGTGAGATGTTTTTACTCAACATTATTCAGGAATTTTGCTTCGTGACATTTATAACAATCTTCAGGTGACATTTACTGAAAACAAGATTAATTGCAAAAGGAAATTGTAAACAGTGAGTGAGGCAGTGTGCACTTCTTACTGATGTGATCGTATTCCCACAGGTAGCTCAATGCCACGTAGCCCACCAGCACCATTGCAATACCACCGATGCCTCCCTTCTTCACGTTAATGTACTTGTTGTAGTATCTGTCGTGGCCTGGGGGACAAAAACAAACCGCATTAAGCACAGCTGAGGACATCTCCATCCTCATGAATGTCACTAAATGTACCAGATAGCAACTTGACTTAGAACTGAGCTGAGAAGTCAAGCTTCATGAATGAAAGACTGGAGTTTAAACGTCTGTATCGCACTGTTTCTTTATACAATGCTGGCTTTTCAGTGGGTTCTTCCTCGGTTAACGTTTGGTTGGAGGTTCTCACCCCTGCGGACGGCGGAGAGGAGGCCGTTGGGAGTGAAGTCTCGACCTCCGAGCCAAGTTCCCAGCTCACCCAGCTTCACATCCATCAGCCGCTTCTCGATCACGGGAACTGTTCACACAATGAAGACGGTTTGATCAGACATGGCGCTTAATGAACATGGCGTGCGGTGTGCGGATCAACGTTAATACATTTTTAGGATTAAAATTAAACATATGATCAGATTGGAGTGACGTCAGGATGCACAGCTCTGCAGGCTATCGTGCAAGCTAGCCAACAGAAACCGGGGCATAACTTAACGCACAAATACAAGGTAATTGTGGTAGATTCGGCCAACTGCAGGTCCTATATGTAGTTTCCGATCGACAGGAATGACAAAATCTACTGACAGGACGATTTCTGACTGCAAAACCGACAATGACACGCAAAGTCCTTGACGCGACTCCACGGATTCACTGCGGCCTCCAGTCCGACAAAAAGATTAAAGGCGATTCCCAAACATTCCGTCTGACAACTAAACGCAACGCGTCTGCGAAACGTCAAATACACCAACAACGAAGCCTACGAGACGGAACATTAGAGTTATTTTGTCAGAGGGCACGATACATTACCTGGTCTGTCCGCCATCTTGACTGGTGCGAAGGGCTCGCCGCGGGGAATGATGGGTACGAAATGAACGGGTGCATTATGGGAAAATAAATCGTTTTTACTTCTCCCCACTAGAGGGCAGCACAACAAACACAACCAGCAGCAACGACAAACCACCGTGATCCACGCAGACGTGTTTTACTATTTATGACTTATATTTATTTATTCCAAGATGTTGAATATGTCAATGGAAATAAATCGGGCAAACCTGCTGGAAAGCAGAGAACGGTGCACAAGGTGCTACACGGCTGTTGGGGGCTGTGACCCCACGGGGCCCACAGAGGAGGCAGCGTGGAGCTGTTGTAGACCAGATCAAGCAACATGTGAGGACAAACGTTATGCAGGAGGAAATAGAGTCACAAGCTCATACATTTTTCAACAGTGGCCAAAGGGTTTACTATACTGTCTCTTGTCAATGTATAAAATGAATCATTGTGTTCTCCAATGGAGAGGAGCCAATCGATGAGCTTAGTTATAACATAGACATAGTGAACACCTTATTGAGGCGGGTGTTTGGGCTTGTGAGTGGCAGAGGTGGTTGTATGGTTGTTCAGCTTCCTTCTCAACACACCCACCAATCAATACAGGCCGCTCCACCCTCATCTAATCTCTCTCCCTTGTGGTTTTGGCCTCCATCCAATACCGAGCGGTAACCTCCTTTCTTTATATGACTGATTTTGCTGCTTCACTCTGATGACTTTCATGAGATGGAGGACTCACATTCCCCCTTCCCCACCTTTTCACTGCTTCTCTCTCTACCTCAGTACATAGACGTTCACACAGACACACATTAAGTGTTGTTATGTGTATGTGTACACTTATATGCATCCACTACAATTTGTCCCATTAGAAACGTATGTCCTCTTTAGTGTTTGCAATTTTGCTTTCTTTTGGAGCAATGCTCCATGATTTTGGAGCGTTGTTGATTTGGGATAATAGCGCGGGCTTAACTTAGTGCCGGAGACACTGTCTGCTTATTTGCTGTACTTATTTGGATGTATCTAATGAAAACAAAACTATGTTTAGAGGCAATATCAAATGTTGGTTCAAACACAAACCCCCCTGCTCCTCTCGTTGTGAAGATCACACTTAGTCGCACACTTGCTCGTGTCTGATTTACACTCGGATGCAAGAACCTCTAATCTAACATCGCCGATGTCGCTGGGAAGCCGGCACTCGGCCCCAGAGGTGGTGGATTTCTATCGAACACCCAAACATGCAGAGACGCAGACACACAATGACGCACTGTGCAAATGTGCCAGATAGAGACGCCGGCACACACACTTTCATTTGGCCTGTAAAGGTTACCGACTGCTCTGTAATGTAAACTCATTTAAGGACCAGCGATGGCCCTGCGGTCCAGGACTACCTGCATGTTCATTGGTTTAGTTTGTTTGTCATGGCGCTGCCTGGGGCCTCACTGCACTTCAGAGGAGTGTGTACCAGCTACACACACACACACATGCACAAAAGCACTTGGGGACGGGTGATTTTATTCCACCTCAAGAGGCAGCTGCCCTCGAGGTCTGCCACAGAGACAGCTCTTTGAAGCTGATGGAGAGAGAAAGGGAGATAGAACGAGAGATGGAGGGAGGGAGGGTGAAGCACAGGCAGAGAGAGGAGACGGGGATGAAAGAGGATGAGGGCAAACAAAAAAAAGATGAAGACTGTAAGCATGAAAAGGGTGGACTGGCAGCAGGAAGATAATGATGGCGGGAGATGAAGGAGAGGAGAGAGGAGGGGGCCGAGTCCATGGCTGTCTTTGCACACGGCTCTCTAATACACATGACCTTTAAACAGCCACTCGCTCCATCACTCCCCGTGCATCCCTTCCTCATGCTCCACATCCTTCTTCATTTCATTCTTTACACTTCCTTTGTGTTTTCTTTCAAATCAACACTTCTCTGCTCTCTCTGGCAATTTCTCATCCCCACATCTCTAACTCTGTCTCCTCTCGTCCATCTCCTTCACATCATCTCCTCTCCTTCATTCTCCTGCTCTTCTGCCCTCTTCCCTGTTCTCTTAACTCGCTCCTTGTCAGAAATGCCATCCTTTCCTCCGCTTACTGACCTGAATGTTTCCTCTTCCAACCCTCTGCCGGTCGAGAGCTGAGCCAAACAGAGTGCATTGTGGGTAATGGATTTATCAGCCCTCCTATTACTACAATGATCTCATGAGAGAGATGGAGATCACCAGGGGAGCTGCTAAAAGGAGCTCGCTGGCCTGATGAGGGTCCCAGAGGATTGTGTGTGTGTGAGAGACATACATAAATGAATAAAGGGAGAGGGGAAGAGGATACGTGTAGAAACACTCCACAGGGACCGTTTTCTTTCCTCGCAGCGATATTGGCTTTAGCCACCAGATCAAACCTTCACGCTCACATCCACTCACACAGTCAGTGGAGCCTGTGGAAAATGTTCTAGGAAGGGCAATCAAATCAATTTCATTTCACATCCCAGGTTGATTTAATGGAAATCAATTAAGGTATCACAAAAACATAAAGTTAGTACTTTGCAATTAAATATTAAATATTTATTCCGTGAAAAAAGCAACAAATACCACAATGTCTTATAAGTGGACGTTGACGTTTTTGCGGTGAAGTTCTGGCAACCACAGCTGCTGGTATTTTACTGTATATTGTTTTTAAAGTAAATTACGGTAAACAAATAACAGTTCTAAACTGCGAAATTTACAGTTAAACATTGATGCTGTCATTTTTACGGTGGAGTTCTGGTAACCACAGCTACCAATATTTCACTGTATTTTCAACAGATTTTGTTTTTACAGTGCACAATGGTCCGCATATATTTAACACTAACAAAATATATTTTAAGTAATTAAGGATTAAGGATTTGACAGTTTTAGACTTTTTTTACAGTGCACACCTACACTTGAGCCTGGGCTGGATTTGAATAGTCCTGGTTGCTACCTCTGGAAGAGTGTAATTGGCTTTGACAGTTTGAGACAAGATAAGAGCTGTTTGAATTCTCTAATGCTAAGAAAGGAGCTTCACTGCTTCCCCACTTAGCTCCTTCAGCAGGAACCACTGGACCTTCCTTTACAAAAGGAAAGGAGATAATTCTGTACCACAATTCCTTAGAAATTAGCATCAAAACCTGAAGAAGGGAGAAACAGCGAGTACACGTAGCTCTGTCCAATACGTTGCGAATAAAATAACACATTAAAACCTTTTTTTAGGTTGATACAACATGCTTGACAGCAAACAGCCTTTTCACACATCCTTTTTTAGACCACCCTTAAGGTCGGATTTTGATCTCAGCCGCCTCCTGGGAGAATTATCTGGCTAATTATCTGCTAAATGATCCACTATGTTTATGTATGAGGAATAAGGAACATACTTCGTCACTCAGTCATACAGCTACTGTATACTAGCCTGCCATAATCAGCTGGTGCTTCTGTGACTACAGACTACATATACGTATAATGCATGCAATATTAAAGTAGAAGAGAGGAGATATGATATATATATATATATATATATATATATATAGAGAGAGAGAGAGAGAGAGAGAGCGAGGAGAGGAGATATGAAGATGCTCTGCTTTCAAAAATCTTTTGTCTTGGGGTTGAAGAGAATAACAGATATCTAGCTATCTCCTCCTATGCATCAGCCCCATGGATTACTCCACCTTGTTTGATCATGATGCTGGGTTTGAATCAGGAATGTGCTTTATGTTCTTCTCCCGGTCTGAACCTCTTATCCCTGAGCAAAAGCTGACTATAACATATCTGGCACTCTGTTTCTCCTCCACTTTGGCCCATTCATTCTGAACGTAACACCAGTTTTCATTGTTACTGTGCAGTTATATGTCCCTATAAAACGGAACTGAACCAGCCCATAGATAAAGAGCTGGATGAGGCACATTAGCCGGGAGCGGCACGCTTTTGTGTGACTCTTGTTCAAGATACTATTTTTTTAAATCTTGAAATAGTTTGCCAAAGCTTGAATGAATTGTAATTTCTTTGCTGATTAACTCTCCTTTGGCTCCATCAGACAAAATTAGGTCAAAATGTATGACAAAATATCCACTAAAATAATTTTCATCCGCCTCATCTGTATTTTATGATTACCTCTAATCAGTTAAACAAATAAACTTAATTGTTCTCTGTTGCTAAGCAGTATTTCTGATGCCTAACTGACCACTACAGGACAGAATGGACAGGTGACGGTGTTGTCTGCGTGGCAGTGGAAGGTGAAGTAAACATGGCCCAGAGCCTCTGCAGGTTTTTACTGCGAAATACTGCAGTGGAGGACAGAGACAAATACAATTACAGCACATATACCAAAACATACGCGCAGAATACAAAATACACAGTGAGAGAGAGACAGAGAGAGAGACTGACAGAGGACACGCAGACAAACTAAAATGCACACAGAGAGAAAAATGGATCAGACTTGAAAGGTAAACAACAGAACAGCAACATTAATAAATGAATCTCAGCCAAGATTTCTCTCTTTGGCCTTTCTACAGTTAAACATTTGAGTCGCTTTCCTCTGCAGATTCTAGAAGAGTCGTTTAGAGTTTGGGTTTAAAATGACTTTTGGCTTGATGGGACGAATAGGCCCGAGGGATGAAGTAGAGAGCGATGTCAATAAATGGCCTTTATAAGAATACATGACCCCCCATGTGTGGTTCATGCACGTGTTTGTGTGTCACATAGACAGAACCAATGTGCTACGTTTGTGCCCTCGTGTCGTTCCAGCAGACCACATCGCAGCCAAACATAACGTAGTAATGTGGATTTACAGCAAGAGCCGTCCGATTGCTCAGGGCGCTTCCCGCTTTTCCTGGAAACTCACACTCACAAGTGTGTTGCTTCTCTCTGCTCGAGAGTGTTTGCATTCATACGCACGTCTCGGGACCGAAAGATGTACAGAGATGCTTTGAAAGGAGGGAGATTGTGTGCTTGTGTGAGTGTACGAATATCTGTGGCGCCTGCAGAAATAGACAGAACACGACTATATACAGTATGTGTGGCTGAGCACATCCGTGAAGATCTCTAATTACTGGCCTAGTATTTCATGTGCTGCTGCGTACACTGTGATCCCTTTGGACAGAGGAGAGGATGCTGTGCCCCATTGTTACCAGTCCATTACAAGAACATTATGTCTTATTTCCTCCCTCATTTGAACTATTCCACATATACAGGGAGGATTATGTCAAATTCCTAATCAGGTCACATATGGTGACGGGTCGCAGGACTTTGCGTAACACCGGCATGCAGAGACTCAGTTCTGAGCTTCCGCAGCACTTCACTGCATGTCAAAAGATGTATGTCGAGTTTTCTATTTTGACAGATCTGGGTAGAGTCTCAATGGTGTCAATAGACTCCTCTTTTTCTCTGACTCTTTGTCGTTTCGATGTACCTTTTACCACGTCTTCTACACGCCTCTCTGCGTTCATCTCCCTCCAAAACCACTCGTCTGAATCCAGACCGACTCAGAGGAGGAAACCTCACCGTTTCTCTGCTTGCTCTGTGCTGAACTCTCCTTTTCTTTCCCTCCCCTGGCATCTTTCTCTCTTCCCTCGGTCTCCCCGACTCCTCGAGGAATCATTTCTTCCCTCAGACACTGCAGCTTCTCTTCTCTCTCTTTACTTTCTGTCTCTGTCTTCATCCACGTTACGACTGTATCTTCATCCCCCTTTCTCCCTCTCTCTCTCTCCAAACGTCTACATACCTCGATCCCTTGTCTCTTTCCTTTCATCCCCCTTCTTCTTCTTGATACCTTGCACATCACCCCCTCCTCCTCTTTTGCCTCCAGGTGCCTATTTCTCTCCCTCCCTCCTTTCTCCCTCTAACCAGGAGACTCGATAAGGCTCCATCTGTGTCTCTCTTCCTCTTTGTTGGCTGTGCTCTCAATTTATTGTCGTCATGTCTCTTATTTGCCAGTTTCTTTCTTTCTTTGTCTCCTTGTCCAGAGGTGCGTGGAAGCAGTGCCATCAGTATGCAGAGTCATGGCGCCGTGCTTCTGCCGCCATTGATTGAACCGCCAGCTAAATTTAGACACCGTTGAGGCTCAGCATCTTTTCATGCTGGAAGGAGGGATGGATGAGTGGACGGTGGGATAGAAACACACTCACAATACAACATGTAGTGAATCTGTGCAAAACGAATGCACGCAGAGCAGCGTCACACGTGTGAACATTCACATCGATGCAAAGGTTGAAACACGCACACAGACTTAAAGACTCTGCAGTCGCTGCAGGCTTCGGTTCTACAAGAATAATTCCATGTAAGTCAAGGGGGCGTGACGTTGTCTGAGCCGCTTCACACGTTTTATGATGGGAAAATCTCTATGGGACCCACACACACAGACATACACACACACACACACAAAACTACAGCCTGCAGCCCGATGGAGGGCAGGACAGGCAGACGGAGAGACACACAGGAATTTTGGCCAATCAGTGATGACACAGACAGACGGGTACAGTGAGAGGCAGACAGCTGAGGAGACGAGCAGGCAGACAACAGGAAAACAACGGCCCCTTGATCCGGAGGGTTTTACGCAGATTAAGTTCCTCTCAAGAACGTGTTCCTGGACCGGCGTCAAAGCGCCTGCTGCGCCACGCGATGTGTTTGCATGTCTCGTAAAGGACAGTTTGATACACCGCAGATGTTTTCAGAGCCCAGTTTTTCCAATTGCTGACACAGTCACCACAACAGCGTAGAAGGAAGTTCATTTAAATACTCAGACGTAGATTTGCAGATCACATATTTGCTGATTTAAATCAACCATATATTTGAACAAAATGTACTGTAATGCCGACATAGTGTCACGAGCCTAACTTGCCCACGATGACTAGTGCTAACATGCTGACCAGGTACGTTCTGTCTTCACCATTTCAGTTAAGCATGTCAGCATTTAGGCAGCTGGATTCTCTCAATGTCACAAGATCTCGCTAGAATAACAGCATCACAGCATTCGTGTGATAATAGCGAATAACACAAATATTCACCCCGTCAGGTGTCGAGTGGTGCGTTTGTCTCCAGTTAGTCAGATCACGGACCAATCAGCACCTGACAGGAGCAGAGGAGATGGAGAAAAGGACTTGGCACTTCTGCTCGCATGCTTTTGTAGGAGTTTAATTGACAGATGTGTCAACCACTCGCCTTTGTCCAAACAGTTTCCAGTAATTGCTTCTCAGATGTGTCATAACCCATCTGGCATGTGAGGTTAGCTGATGATGGCACCAGATGAAAAGTCAGGAGGTCACCAAAGGTCATTCATCCAGAGGGGGACATGAATCCATTCATTAGTTGTGTGGTATTTCAGACTGGACCACAGACGTGTGTCATCCTGAAAAACAGCTAGACAGCAATTCTGCCCCAACAGGTCAAATATGTGTCCGTCTCCCACACTAGATCCTAAGAAAATAATGCAAATGCATTATTACATACATAGTACATGCGTTACAAACACGTTCATATTTCTTATTAATGTGTTTGTTTATGTTTCCTTTGACGGACGTGATGTAAATTAGTCTTGTACAATATGTGCCAGCAGTATGCAGGATTCTGATCAAATCTAAAATGTGTTCATAATCTAGTTATAAAGGCTTTAATTCCCCTCAGATGGTGGAATAAACCTTTTTTATCTGCACGATTTGAGCAGTTGATCTTCGACCGACTCTGTGATGTTAAGTCAAAAGGTTGAACGGAATTTTGGCGTAGCCGAGTTAAAACATTTGAATGTGTCTTTTACTAGACAGTCTGCAGGGCCTCTAAAAACAGTATTCACAGATCCTGCGACTGTAATTCCCATCTGGCTCTGCTTCTCCAGTGGGCGTGTGCCATAAGATGGAGACCCTGCCATAAGAAAGCATTAGCATATTGAGCTGATAAAACTGTCAGTCACTCGGAGGCTGCAGTGCCCAAATTGTGTGAATGTGACTTTAACACTATTGTTTTTTTTTCCTTTAATATCCACTATTTTTCCAATCTGTGGGCTTTGGCAACAACCGTTTTGTAGAGGCAAATACAAATGAATAAGAACAAAGAATTGAGAAACATGTTGAATAAAATGTAATATCCTCCTGGATGTATTTGCTTATTTCATTTAAAGCAACCACTATTTATTTATGTTGTTTTGATATCGTCTTGTACTGCCTTTAGATTTACTCTAAAGCGATGATTCGTGTAGGTGAACTACGCTGTTGCTGATCATTTTAAAAGCTTGTTATTATTTAATGTCAGCTAGTCACCTCTCTGGAAATGTATCCTTTAACCCCATCTCAGCAGCACGCGCAAAGAACATGTCTCCTCATGAATCACGTGCATTTCTTCGGGCTCACCTTCGACTCTTAACAGATCGTCATTTGAAGAAGACTGATTGGAAAGGATGAAGAGCCAGCGGCAGCCTCCTCCTCCTCCTCCCCCCCTCCTCCTCCCGCCCCTCCCCGCCCTGCGCTCGCATCCTTCCTCGCCTCCTTTCCTCCGCAGCCGGGTGGTGCGTCGGGAGCGCGCGCAGGCAGGACGGTACCGGGGGCTTCCGCCTGATGGAGACGGGCTGAGGAGACGCGAGAGAGGAGGGACAAGGTCCGTCCAGCGGAGACCACCTCGGGCAGCCCACCGCGTGGACTGCATACGATCCACGGGTGGGAGGGAGGGAGCGAGACACCCGAGGTAAAGGGGCCATTAATAACCTGTTGTTCCTGTGTTTTTGTTTTCCAAACCGGGGGGCAGAAAAGCGACATCTACCTGACTTGATTGTGATCGTTTTGGTGATGATGTGGAAAAGAAGAAGCCGAATAACTGAGGGAGCGTCTTTGTTTCTGCTTTGGATCCACGCGCCGCCGGTCCGGAGTTGTACGCGCGCGCGTGCAGTCGTTGACAAGCAGATCACGTGCGCTTAATTGACGTGGAGTGAACGCGTCCAACACAAAGCTCCGTGTCCGAGGCGGCTTCCAGATGTTCTGACTCAGCTGTAAAAGTCAAACAATTTTGCTAACACCTGATGCTCATTTAAAAAAAAAATCTTTATTTGAGTTATAAACGGCAGAATTACAATAATATTCAAACTGCAGATCACACGGCGGGCGGGAGGCACAGTGGCCTCGCTGCCCGCTGTTTACGTCCAGGAGTCACGGGCTCTGTGGAACAACACGCCTCCTTGCTTCTCTGCGTCCATCCGGGATGCGCACGAGTTCTTGTTCCCCATCCGAGCCCGCGGGCTGTCGCCATAAAACCCAAGCGGGCCGGTGGACCGAGCTCCTGCCTCTCGTGGCCCCCGACGTGCCACACGCAGGCTGGCAGCTGCGGGCCGCAGGGTGGATGCGCGGTGACGGAGCTGGATAAGGGCGGACGTCCTCCAGCGTTTGTGTAACCGCGCAGGTGTGCACATAGACGCGCTGTTGTGTTTATTCAGTGTGTGTGTGTGTGTTTGCGCGTGGAACAATGTCAATACCCGTTTGTATTGATGCAGCTTGTGACAATAACAGTTCTCGGTGAGTTATCGAGTCTTTGCTGCTTTCACACGTCTCGTGTTTCATTCTGTGTGAAGATGCTGCACAATAGAGCTGGATTATAAATTAATTAAACAATTAGTTGAAATGTATCACAAACCGTCTTGATATGTGATTAATCTATTTGAGTTGATATCCAAATATTTTTTAAATAGAATAATACTAATTTTTGAATAATGAAATTTAATCAGGCATCTGAGTGATTTAACAATTAATAAATGAATAAAGGTAAAAATCTCCAGATTGATCGATAATGGCAGTAATCAACAGCAGCTTTATTGCATGCTGATAAATAAAATAATTTACCAAGAATCATTCACACTTGTCAGAAGTATTTTGGATTTGATTCGCTTACCGTCCCCGTGCAGAATTCATTACCTAAATAAGAAGCTTTGTTTACTTGGTTGTTTATGTTCGGGCTTGTTATTCTGTACAACTCTTCACTCACTCAATTTTCCTCACGTCTAAATGAATGTTTTTTTGTCTGAATAATAGTCAAAACTCTCAAAATAGTAGAGGGATTAAGTAGAACCAGTTGCTTCTATGTAATCGATCATGGATATTTTGGTTGCATGTGTTTAATTTGGTGTCAGTCTTCTCCCTTGTCTACATTGAAATGATCTGTATTGCAGTCCCTGAATACAGAGCTGCATTTTCACCCACCTTGCCCTCCAGTCAAGCTTCCTTTGTCACTGTTTTCTCATTTAATATGCCTGTCACACGCACACACACACACACACACACACAAACACACACACACACACACACACACACACACACACACACACACACACACACGCAGCAAAGTGCTTCTCTTTGGAGCGTATAACCTTCACTCACTGACAGTACGTCTTTTTATTTGATATTTTTACCTCTGCCTCTCCTTTTACACACAAGAGTTCTGTTTTCACGTTGGTCTCCTCTGTTTCCCGCTGCAGATCCTCCATCACCTGAAGGCCATTCTACTTCCACGCTCTCCTGCGTGTCCTGCAGGGTTTCTCTTGTGCCCGACATGCTCGCTCCCGAGGCAGCGTAGCCGGAGGTGTCCAGAGGAGCGCTCGGTGTGAGCGTGTGCAGGTCGCCTGCTCGCCGCCCAGTGATGGGCTCCGTGGGTGCAGAGCGCCGCAGGCCCACACCGGCCCAGATGCCCGAGGAGAGGGATGTGTGGAGGGATGATGGAGGACGAGCCGGGTGGAGGGACGGAGGCAGGGAGGGCTGGAGGGAGGGCAGAGAGAGCGGCGTGGTGCAGAGCTACAGTTTCGACTCGTACCAGCTGGAAGAGGAGGAGATCAGTAAAGACGCCCCGGAGCGAGGAGTGCTGGCGCTTTCTGAGCCCGGTGAGGGAGTTTCCAGTCTGTCTATATGTGTGTGTGTGTGTGTCTACTGGTCTTATAAATAGATAGACAAGCATCAAGGAATCTCCGCCTTCTACTCCAAACTGCCAGGAACAGGAATGTGCGTTTGAACATATATAAAGATAGTTTGGACTTTACATCCTTTAATCAAGACAAGATAAGTTACTTTAACAAAAAACCTCAGCTAACGTTGCTAACATCACACAACCAGCTACAATTTCCCACGTGGAAGCTTGTTAGTGTAATTAGCTCCAGCTTCGTGATTAAACAGTGCCGGATGGCTTGTTGGTAAAAGAAAATAAACATCTTGGTGTTGACATCATTTAGGAACAAACACCTGCTTCCAGCGAAAACACTCACCCAGAGGCCTAAAGCCACTAAGAAACATCATGTCCTCTGTTCAAAGCTAAGGTATCATGAAAGCTTCTATTTCCTATTAGTAAGAAGTATACCAATTCCTGTTACACTTTGAAAGCTTTCCGGAGACATAGAAACAGAAACCAGAAAACAAAGAGGAAAGGTGAACAAAAACCAGCAGGCCTGCTCGGGGAAAATGGCTTTGTTGCCGGGTTACTCGGCTGCACAAAAGGCCCGTTAATCAGATCACAAGTGAACAGGTACACGGCCGGCAGAGAGGGGCTCTGGTCTTCAGACAGCTCTCACTTATCTCCTCTCTGTCATTCTGTTGCTGTTAGTCACTGTATTTCACTGTAGCGCTAGCCAATAGTTTGAAGTCTGTCTTCGTAGGTTAATATCTACATAAATCCTTATAAAATGCCAGTTAAACACTCTTTACCATCTCTGTCTCCACCCAGAATCATCTTCACACCGTCCCAGAATGTGTCAGAAAGGGAAAATATGCCATAAAAGATTTAATATTGTCATTTTCTGCACTAAAATGTCCGTTTCACAGGGAGGGCTGTGCAGCGTCTTCATTGCATTATCTGATAATGAGGTTTGAGTTTCTGCGGCCGGTGATCTTCTCTTCTGTCTGTGCAGCCATGGTGATGTTCACTGCTCTCTCCTCACTGCACAGCTAACTATCATCATAATAAATTACATTTAACATTAAATGAAAAATAAAGGACACATTCTTTATTCCACCTGGTCAGCTAAAAAATATCAATGCTCATAAATGTGTGGGAGCTGTTAGTAGTCGGCTACGCAAAGTTTTGGAAATAAGTCATAAAACGATACAATGTAATGTAATGATCACTGATGCAACAGGAGCGAGGTCCTCTGCTGCATCAGCTGCTCCATCCTGCTGCTGCTACGCCTCCGTTCATCCTGATTAGCTTTATTAAGACCGTGCGTTGGCTCCTGACCTAATTTAGATGTTTTGAAGTCATTCGTTTCCCGGTTGTTTGAAGGGGATTTCATACTCTTTTAATTCTCTAACCCTTGACTCCCCCCTTCCCCCTCAGACTTTGAGGAGCCGATCCCTGACGACCGTTACCATGGCATCTACTTTGCAATGCTATTGGCTGGTGTGGGTTTCCTGCTTCCCTACAACAGCTTCATCACTGACGTCGATTACCTGCACCACAAATTTGAAGGTATAATTATGCACAAATGCCATTAATGTCCTTAGATAACAGCAACTTTTCAGAGAATGCGTGACTTTTACAGGGCAGAGTAAAACATTCACAAGTCATGTTTTTTTGTGTGTGTCAGGGACGTCCATAGTGTTCGACATGAGCCTGACGTACATCCTGGTGGCTCTGCTGGCCGTCATCCTCAACAACGTGCTGGTGGAGCGAATCAGTCTGCACACCAGAATCACTGTGGGTAAGTTAAGACACAGCTTTGTTTGTGAAAAATGTCTCATTATAGGACCTTCTACGTTACTCTTTTATTCGTGATCCTCTGGGAACCTCAAGGCGTATCACAGCAGAATACGCAGTGCAAAAATGGCCGTATAGAGAGAAAGAAAAATACACTACAATCTTTCCTGTGGGTTTATTTGATCAAATGTTTTGCACAAACTGCCCAAGACTATGAATTTATAGAGGACTGTCCTTCAAGAGTGAGGGTATTTTAAAAAAACTTTTAGCTTCATTAAAATCTTGCCTCATCTTAAGTTTTTCTGTCGGATTTCACATTCACAGATTGCACATTGGGGCTCAGGTTTGTTAAAGACTAAGCCTGATACTGGTGCTCCAAAAGATCCATTAAAGACCTTTTTTAATTCTAAGAACCGAAAATTGTAAATATTAAAGCTATTCTATGCTATGACAAGATATTCTTTACAAATGTCTGTCCCCCAAAGAGAATTTTGAAATCATCACACGTGTGTTGCATGTAATAGCGAGGCTTCCCCGGCGTGCCCTTTAACTTAAGATCTCCCCACTTACATCCTTGAGGAAATGTCTTTTTGAAGCGTGTGGTCTGCTGGAGAGTCTCTGGAAGTTCACAAACTCAAGATCGATTCTTCAGCTGCGTCTCACACGTCTGCCCTTCTCGTCCTTCGCAGGTTACATATTGGCTCTGGGGCCGCTGATCTTTGTCAGCGTGTTCGATGTGTGGCTGGCCAAGTTCACCACCAGGCAGGCTTACGTCGTCAACCTGGCGTCAGTGGGAGTGGTGGCTTTCGGGTGTACAGGTATCTATCTATGCGTCTGTCATTCCATCCAGTTCTCCAGGATGCAACTTTACTACTCTAGTTTAGTTTAATTTATTTTATTTTTCAGACACACCAGGCATCTGTTTCTCAACTATTTGTGAGATAAAATGTTGCCGGTTAAAGTGTTATGATATTGTACATATTGTCATGGAGAGTAATACAAAACTGTGGTGGTGAGTCAAAGCTGTCAAATCAACAAGCGGCTGTGGATGTTTCAGTCCTCGGCTGCTGCTCCTGACCGTCGTACTCTGAGCCAGTTTCCTCTCAGCTACTGTGAGTGTGATCAAAGAGCTTTTCAGCTCCCAGCAGAAAGACTTTAATTATGCGCAGCGCAGAGGTCAGAGTGGCTGCTCCCGAGTGGTGTGTTAAAGTCCAGGAAGTGGCGCCTGTCAATGGATTGTGTTGATTCAGTGTTGACTGTTTGCACCGATAAACACTTCATCATCCCTCCCCAGTGCAGCAGTCTAGTTTCTATGGTTACATGGGGATGCTGCCCAAGAGGTACACACAGGGCGTGATGACTGGAGAGAGTAAGTACACTCGCAGAGTTTAAATAATTGCACAAGCACACCCCCGTCCCTTCTATCATCTCCCACGCTGCCATTTCAGGACGTCTCCCTTCGTTCCTTTCAGGTACTGCGGGCGTGATCATCTCCCTGTCGCGCATCTTCACCAAGCTGCTGATCCCGGACGAGAGGACCAACACGCTCATCTTCTTCCTCGTCTCCATCAGCATGGAGATGCTCTGCTTCCTGCTTCACCTGCTCGTCCGCCGCTCTAAATTCGTCTGCTACTACACCAACCACGCCCAGGTCAAAGGGCAGGTTAAAGGTCATGACCCGCACGACAGCGGGACAGGATACCGAGTTCACCATGACGTCACCGCAGAGGAAGTAAGATTTGTAAGTTTGTTGATAGTTTATCAGCTTTGACCGTGTGTATATGTGTGTGTGTGTTGTGTTTAGAAAATGCCTATTTACTTGATACACTTGTATTTAGTCATGTTAGTAGTTGTATGTCAGAATGTGTCTCTATAGTTGGAGTTCAGAAACATACATCATACATGACGTGATTTTTAGTGAAACGTCTCAACATCAGATGGCATTTTATCATTACAATTGCATCTTAATTTAATCTTAATAAATGTCACAACAGCAAGACGTGGAGGAAATGTTGTGTCACACAGCTCCCATTTCCTGGTTGTTGTTCCTGGTTGGTGTTCCTGGTTGTTGTTCCTGGTTGGTGTTCCTGGTTGGTGTTCCTGGTTGTTGTTCCTGGTTGGTGTTCCTGGTTGTGGTTCCTGGTTGTTGTTCCTGGTTGTTGTTCCTGGTTGAAGTTCCTGGTTGTTGTTCCTGGTTGTTGTTCCTGGTTGTTGTTCCTGGTTGGTGTTCCTGGTTGGTGTTTCTGGTTGGTGTTCCTGGTTGGTGTTCCTGGTTGGTTCCTGGTTCCTCAGTGGGAGCGCGCACAGAGGGAGGGAGGCTGTGTGGGTTTTAAAATGCAGCATCATTTATTTAAGCTTAGCTGTGCTGCTCCCATTCAGCAGAGAATTATTGAGGGGGAAAATAGATTCCTGGGAAGGATTATTAGGGATGAATGTAGCGATACGGAAGGAAATATGAGGAAATATGCAATTTTAGAGAGAAGGGGAGAGGCCTTTTGCTAACAAAAAGAAATAGTCACGACACTGAGGGAGAATGGTTGGAAGCTGTTGAGGCAAAGAGACGAGACACAAGGGGAAACATTACTGAGACAAAGAAGATGTAAATCCTCCTTACACTCTGTTTGAAGCAGCACTTTGTTCCCTGAAGACATGGAGCTTATATTCCTGTGTGTTTGCGTGTGTGTTTGTGCATGTGTGTGCAATTGTGTGTGTGTTCAAAGCCATCACTGGAAATGTCAACTTTTCATGTGTGCGGGTTTTCCCATGATTACGCACAATACAAGTGTGTGATGAATGTCCCCGTGTGTTTGATAGCAATGTGTGCGTCTCAGTGTTGTTTTCTGCACCTGCGAGCTGATTCAGCCGGTTCTTTGTCCTGGTTGCTGGGGGATACTGAGCGCTCTATGCTGAGGGATAATCAAGAAGAGTGGTCCCTTCTGGCCTGCAAGTCCTTCCAATCAACTAATGGATCCGTGTGTATGGGTGTGCGTGTGTGTGTGTGTGTGTGGCTCCGTGCCTTTGTCATGTGCATATGAAAATCTGTGTTTAGTAACACTCATGAGCAAAAGGATGTGCTTGTTTGTTTGGATGGATGGGGAATGTGTCTTCATAGACTTTGTGTGTCTGCGGCTTGTTAGCAGTCCAACCTGGAGTCAGTGTATTATAATTACGTCACCCTGCAGCCACTCACAGTGATCATCAAGAAAAAGAGCTGATGTCATGCAGTGTTAATGAAAAACAACCCCTGAATACATCAATCGAACTAAACGAGAAGAGAGTACGTTTATTTACAGTGTGATGGCAGCCTCTAGTGTTATTTTAATGAACTGTTTATGAACTTTTATTTCGAGAGATGAAAACCTGATATATATACATATATACAATAATTGTTTACTATAGGCCTCATATATCTCCTATTTTAGAATAACTGAATTGTGGACGTTATGGGGCGGACTGGCTGTAAATGCTTTTCTGCCTGGCAGGTATTTGATGCATTAAAGCTGTGAGGAAACCTTTCGTCTGTGTCTTCGTCTCTTCAGGGAAATGGTGGGACAGGACCGACCCCGACAGAGGAAGTCGTCGAGGACTTTGAGGGCGGCACGTATGTGCGGTTCGACGCCCCCAAAGCCAAGTTAAGGAGGAGCTGGCCTGGTTTACGCGGTACGTTTGATCCCGTGTACTCGCAGCTCAATTACCCTCTGGCTCCAACAGATGGACATTACATTTAAAAGCATTCCCTGGTGATTCGTAGGAAGAAGAGAATTTACCTGATGAAGTGACGTCTTCAAAAAAAACACCTTTTAAGTCAGTGTGTGTGTCTTCTCTAAGCAGACATGATCTTGCATCGTTACGTGGTGGCCCGTGTGATCTGGGCCTACATGCTGTCCATCGCGGTGACCTACAGCATCACCTTGTGTCTGTTTCCGGGGCTGGAGTCAGAAATACGGAACCCCACCTTAGGAGAGTGGCTGCCCATCCTCATCATGGCCACCTTCAACATGTCGGACTTTGTTGGCAAGGTAACATGTAAAAATGATGTCACACACATCGCACACTGTGTCAAGACCATTTTCATTCATAAAGCCTTATCTTTCTTATTTTGTCATCTCTAACTGAGCACAGTTTCATTATTAACCCAATTTAATTTTCACAGACATTGTTAAAGCAGAAATAGTCAATATATTTTAATAGTGACAAATGATAACAAGGAAACAGTCAAATCAAAAAATCAACAGAAAGCAGCATACTGGATTGGATTTATAATGATCCAATATTGATGACAACATGAGGGGACGTTTTATGGGACTTCAGTAATTACAATCTCAGAGAGAGCAGAGAATAGATTTCAGGACGTTCAGAAAGAGAACACGGTGCTCTTTGCGGTCATTGAATCAAACGGAAACTGTAAAAAAATATGAAATGTAGAAGATCCCCAGGGGAGAAACCCTAAAATACCAACGGGGATACAAGCATTCATCATTTATGTTCTAAAGTTCCCATAACTCCTGCGGATCCTTACGATTTCACACCTCGTGAGATTTGGGGATTTAATTGTCGTCGTCCATCAGGCGTCTCTGCACCACAGTCTCAAGAAAGAGACAAAGAGACGCTGGGACACTGGAATTGACCTTGACAAAAATGTTCACTCCATTTATTACACCTGAGAGTAAGGATGGAAAAAAGTGGTTTATTTTTGGATGATTTCATTCAGCTCAAAGACTTTATTCAGAAATGAAACCTTATCGCGTGTCCTTGAGTCATTTTAACTTTCAAAGTTGTTCTGATTGTATGCATAAAATTAAGCATTTGGTTGAAAATGGGGAGACAGAGACAAGGTGGCAGAGCAAAAATTACATAGAAAGGGGAAAAAGATGAGAAAAAACTCCTAATGGGAAAGAGCGAGAGAGAATATATCGAAACGTCCACCAGCAGCTACTCAACCAAGAGTTCTACAAATATTCACATATCACTTTTTATTTCTATCTCCATTCTTATTCTTCTTTCGACAAATAAAAGAATTCCACCCCCCACCGTTGCAACATTTCCCGGCTCTCTCCTCAGATCCTGGCAGCGCTCCCGTACGACTGGTCCGGGGGCCGCCTGCTCTTCTTCTCCTGCCTGAGGGTGGTCTTCATCCCTCTGTTTGTCATGTGCGTGTACCCGGCCGGCGCGCCCACGCTGTCCCACCCCGCCTGGCCGTGTCTCTTCTCCCTCCTCATGGGAGTCACCAACGGCTACTTCGGGTCCGTGCCGATGATCCAGGCTGCGGGCAAAGTGCCGCCCGAACAGAGGGAGTTAGCAGGTGAGTTAAACTACAACGTGGCCTCCGAAGCTCCGCAGTCAACACGTCATATCTGCTTGTTTCAGTCTGTTGAACAGGTTTAAAACGCCATTTTTTGAGAGGACTGTAGAGACAAGAACTTACTCTCTGAGCAACAAGAAGTGCCTTTTAAAACACACACTTGGAAATAATGTATTAATTAGTGTATTGTGCTGCGGTTCTATAGTAGATTATGACAAGTTGCACACAGTACTGCAGTTAGTATGTACTGAATTGCCCTGCTTACACAGTAAATATGACGATGAACATAATACCTGCTAATATTACTGCTGTTGTTGCACGTTAGCGCGCCGTGATTACCACTACAAGCAGAGCCGCTAATGTAACTGCTCACTTATAGTCTCGATTCTCACTGTATCATACATTTAATACTCGTCATAAGCGCATGTACATGAGAAGCTCGGCTGTGTGTCCCTGCAGGGAACACCATGACCGTCTCCTACATGACGGGCCTGATGGTCGGCTCCGCCGTGGCCTACGCCGCGTACAGCTTCGCTGCTCCGGGACCAGGGACGCACGTCTCCACACTCAACACGCACACACCGCCCAACGCTACCGCCTACTGAATGTCCACACGCCATTAAGCACGGTCACGGATGTAAACACACATACGTGTGTACACACACACACACTCACACACACACACAGCCATTTGCAAACAAAAGATCCCGGCCAGGAGAAGCAGCGGGGGACAGAAGGACATCTGTAAAGAACTATTTAAAGGTCCATGTTTGTACTCTGAGAGGCGTATTTGCCCTTTGTCCAGATCGTGCTTCAATCTGCCTCGCTGGGTAAAGAAAGTGAAATAAGATGCAAAGAAAACAGAAAGTTAAACAGTAAAAACGTTTCTCCACTGTGTCATTCTGCAGCCTTTTGGTCCACTGACCTTCAAATGTCACGGCTGTGCTTTTTGAACTTTTCCCTGGAGAGGGAGAACATCCGTCAACAGAAGTCCTGCGAGTGTCTCACAGTGAAAATATTGTCTGCATGTGTGTGCAAACCGACTGGCTGACATTTGTAGAGTGTGAAGTCAAGTTGTCTATCGCTGGAGGGAAGAGACTGTTTGAGGGAACCGTTCGCGTTGAGGTCACATGAGACACATTTAGCATTGTTGATATTCAGAGAGATGATGTTTCTGTTGATTCTTCCAGACCAGCTGTTACCTAATGAAACACTCTGGAAACCTCTGACTGCCCCCTTTAAAGAACTACAACAGCAATTTAATTCACATTTATTTTAATTAAAAAATAAAAAGGTCCCCTTGTGTGTCATATTTGCTAGTTTACTGGAATCACATCTAATGGGATGAGATGTACACAGCTGTAAGTTGAAGAGTCATCAAACGTATTATAATAATTTACAGGAAGAGCAAAGATGTCAAGTAACATTTGCTCAAAGGATTTTCTTCTAATTTATTTAGGACAAATCTGTTAACATTTTGATTTTACTGTGCCTTATCGGGAACAGTTTTCTAATTCATGACATACAATTAGCTGTAAAAAACATGATTCTCTCCTAGTAGTTAATTCATTTCAATTATAAAAATCCACACTTTGCTCAACAGCAGACGCGTTTACTGAACTTACTCTAAATCGACTTCCCCCACTGAGATCCAGTCTCTCTGGCTTGTCTCCACTCAGCTGCTTTAGCAAATCTGAATTAGAAAAACATCAGTTGTATTCATTTTCAAATATGATGAACATTATTCCTATCAGGAAAAAAAAATGTATGGAGCAATTATAATTATGTGTTACCTGTTCTTTTTATTTATAATAATGCTTAGAGAAAAGAAAATGGGCAAATCTCTGCCTGTTCAATTTGGTTTCACGTTGCTTCTTGCACCCTGAGATGAAAGGAAAGAGAAGAAAAGGTTGGTTCCTATGAACCAGAAGACGGCAGCCGTGTCTCACGGTTGTGATTTTGACAGCAGGGTCTGTGTTTCCCCCGCGTGCCGTCTGTGTGTAACATTCATGTAACCATGTGCGACGTGTCAAGGAAAGATTATACGTGCCAAAAAAAGTCTGCCTGTCTGAATGTAATTCTGTGAACAAATTAAACAGAATGAAACGTGTAAATATATAGAATGAAACGTACTCAAGGTGTTTAAGACCTCCAATTTTTTCATACAACAGACACTATCAGATCCGATTCGGTGGACACTCGTTTCCTTTTTGCTTTTCAGCCCCTCCAGCTTCTTCCTCCGTGTCTCCTGTTGGATTCGATAGACGTTTTAATCATGAGAGGAGTTCAGACTTAATAGATTATGAAGGAAAAAGGCTTCTCTGTAGAGTCGTGGAGCGCACTACGACACGGCGGTGTCACCCTGCTGCAGGCCTCTCCTTTCAGAGCGGTGGGGTTGAAGGTGCATTTAGTTATTTATGGTTGAAAGGTATATTTATTTCTCTGGTAGAGAACTTAGGGGGGTGAGAGTGATCCCGCATTTCAAAGAGCTGCATGTTAAACTCATATTTTTTTCAACCCTTTGAGGTGATTTAAAGTAGAAGTTTGACATTTGGGTAAATTATTCACTTTGAGAAGATTTAACATGATGTATTTCATTCTTTTAAGTTAATTTAAAACATCAGCACATGAAAAAAATAACTGAGAAAGTAAAATAGTTGTATTTTTTACTGTTTATTGATTAGTCCCATGTTTTGTCCAGGATGACACATTTTAACATTTGAATCAGGGTTAGCTGATAAAGTCACAAAGACAGGATGGAATATTTGGAGAACTATAGATCTGGAAGTAAAGATACTTATGATGGGATGAAGGTTACTCAACATTCAATCTCCTGATGCTAAGGAACACAATTATTACTAAAATAAACTAAACAACAAATGTTTAATCCTGCATTTTACCTCAACAAGGTCTAATATCTGAATATCTATGTGACTTCCTATTATCGTTTTTTCAAATACGTAATTTTTCTTCCAACTGACAGCCACGAATTTATTCAGAAACCACGTCATGCTGACAAAGACTCAACGCCCACGTGACTGCGCACTGTGAAACACCAGGGTGGTGTAACGCATACAAACGTTACATTGTACATACGTGTATATATCTACTGCAACAAAACGTATTTTGCTTGATATTTGTGGAAAAAAAAGAATGGTGATCAGTTGAATTATTCTTTATTATTAATTATTCAGGATCACTAAACAATCAAAATCCAGCCTATTCATCTGTCTATTTTAGATTTTTGCTAAATATGTGCACGTTACAGAATGGTTGATGAACACCTGCATTGTTTCAGCAGGAGGAGGAGAATTGTCTAGTTTGATGAATCAGTGGTTAAAAAGGTTAACCGGCATTTGAGCAAATTGTGGCCTTTCAGCTCTTTATGACTTCCAATGGTATTTAGCCTTTACAAATACTACACAACGCTCAATCAAAATGTGACTAACATCTTTCAGAAATATGTGTAATTCTATAATGACTTAAATGAGTTTTTGTCTTACTGTCACATGATTTCAGTGTCCCAGCAGTCTGTTTGTGCCAATACAACGTTGTCCCATTGTCGGAGCTTAATAGAGTCGTTTTCATCGGTGTCTGCTGTGTTATTCTGCTTTTAAATTCTAAATGTCTGATTATCGTATTACTTGGAATGATCTGGGTTTGTGTTAAGCTCTTTTACAGAACTGCATGTAGTTTTCTGTTGCAGAACCTCCAGCAGCCGTATGGAAGCTTTTGCTTCAGAGGGGGAAAGAGAAACGGGAGTTCATCCTGCAGGGATCAGCAGTTGTTTTAACTGCTTCTCTCCAGCGGAGGTCGCTGCAGCTCACAGAACATCGTCAAGAGAGAACCAGAGGTTCTGTGTCCAGTTCAGCTTCATATCTGTGGCACAGAGCCCATTACGAGAGAAAGAAGTTCTCTCCTTCTTACCTTTGACCTTTCTCAGTGTCTCTAGGACACATAACCGTACAACGAGGACATTGTATATTGTATTGTGTTCATAGTCGTAGTTCAAAATGTGTCTCTGTAAGTGCATGGACCTATTTAGCTGTTTGTCTGTGTGCATTTGTGCGTGTGGGTATTTGTGTGTGTGTGTGTGTGTGTGTGTGTGTGTGTGTGTGTGTGCTAATTTGGGATGTGGCTGCAGGGAAAGAAAATCTCCTGTGTGTGACGGAGCGACTGATCATTACTCATTCTGCTCCACATACTGAGAGAGGAGGAGGAGGAGGAGGAAGGTAGAAAGGCAGTGGCTGTGAGGAGCAGGTCTGGTGCGCTGCTCTCTGCTCTGACTGCGTTTAGACTGTTTCAGTGGATCCTGACGCCTCAGTTTGGGGAAACAAAAGTTGATCAAACGAAAACCAACAGTATTATTACTGCACCTTTTTTTGTTTCTCTTGAACTCATTTCACGAATTGGATACTGGATTTATTAGTCGGCCTTTGACTTGTGTTGAATGGCCAATTTCTTCAGTTAAAACAAATGTAAAAAACAATGTGTGGTGGATGGGCAGGATTAAGTACAGGAACGTTGGTACTATTAGTATAAGATTGTAGAGCATAAAACTAATTCATTCAACGCGAGATAACAGCTGTTTTTTGCTTTTATACAGGAAATCATGGTCAATATAAAAAATACTTTTTTGACAAGAATTTCATCTCACAATGGAAACCAATGAGAAGAGGTGGTTACACATCTAATGCCATTAAAAGGCTTCATGGGAAAACTGAACATAGTTATGTTACATACAAAATCACATATTTGAATAAAACAGGTTTGTATTAAGATTTTTTAAATTACATTATATTAAATGATGTATTATTAAAACAAAACCTCGATGGCTCATGTGGCTTATATGGAACACACTTGTGTGCTATGTTAGCAAACCATTAACAACGTTATATTTTAATAATGAAAAACAATACAAGCATTTGAAATTGGTACAAATGAGTTATTCACACTTTGAATCACAGATTAGACTTTCATATTACCAAAAGGTTCATACTTTTAATTGGCATCACATATTAAAATGTCTGTTAAATGATTTCATAGGGAAGTTTCTCCTTCATTACACTACATGTCCTTAAGCTGATGCTTTTATCCAAACGACTTACAATAAGTGCATTTTAACCATAAGGATACAAACCCAGAAGAGCAAGAAACAAGAAAGTGCAATTTTATCAAATAAGTTAAAATTAGCTATAGATAAGTGGCATTATAAGTACAATTTAAGTGCTACATTATAGCATTGTGATTAATGAAAATGGACAAATGAGTGAATTATTCTGCCGTTGTAAGAACATAGTAGAAAACAAGTGGTTTGTGCTTTTCTTTCCTCTTACGTCAGTTCATAAACTACATTTTGTAGCATATGTTGTTCATTTTATGGGATAAAATTGGCAACACCATCTGGCTATTCCTATAATTTTAGTCAAATGCTATTCAAATATCACAAACAGCTAAGTGTTGTTTCCTAAGAATATACTTGCATACAAACTGGATTGTACTATAATCCATTATTAAATAATGAGAAAGATAATCCTTATGCCGAAGTTGGTTTCAATGTTGAATTCATGCAGCTCTATTTTGGGGTGACTTCATTTAGTTTCATCGTGTACGGTGAAGGTGTCTGTCGGGTCACAAGTGATGATTAAATGGAATTATTTTGGTTTCTGTCTTTACATTATTATCAAGAATATTGTTGCATTTTGTGCATTTAACGTCCGGTTGTGCTGCTTGTTAAGAAAGATGATTTTATTCAAAGTGCAGCATGTTATAACGTGCCCTTTGGAGGTATTACTGTATGTTATAACGATATACATACTGGTCCTAAAATGTTGTTGTATCTTATTATGTTAAATGATAGAAGCTTAATGAATAAGGTTAAGCGAGAGAATAACAAATATAGGTGAAACACAAGGGATGAGAAAGAAGAAGCCAGTTTAGATCCTGTGGCAGCCGACACTACTTTCACAACACCACCAAGAAATCAACAACCACAGAAACTAAACAATCAGAATCACCAGTGGAACCCGGGAGAAGAGGCAGAAAGAGCTTGAGAGAGTGAGATGAAGATGAAAAAAGCTAAACGCTAAACGTCTGGAGGGATGTCAAGAGAGAAGAGAGAGGTAATGAATGAGTCTGAAAAATAGAAAAAACAAAACAAAGAAGAAATGGGCCAAAATCTAAGAAATATGGAGGCATTTCATGTTTATACCTTGAAATACACATGAATTTATCTTTGTTTAGTTGTGATCGTTACTAAAAAGATTACCAGCTTTCTTCCGTCACCATGGTGAGGCAGCATGAAGCTTCATCTCAGGTATTCAGTTGGCTTCGCCACGTATTCACAGCTACAATTGGACTTCATCCACATTGTCACTGCTGTCCGCACGCACACGCAGCTGAGCCTGTGTGTGTGTGTGTGTGTGTGTGTGTGTGTGTGTGTGTGTGTGTGTGTGTGTGTGTGTGTGTGTGTGTGTGTGTGTGTGTGTGTGTGTGGGAGAGAGAAGTAAACATGCCCGAAATACAAAGACTGTGATGTTTCATTCATTAGGTTGTCAGCATGAATAATAGATGCATCTAATTGATATGCAGCGCATCACTCACATGCACATTCTCTCATGTGGGAAAGCACTCTGAACTAATATTTGCGAGGCCTTGTTGTCATTTTACATTCAAATGTGTGCAGCAGGTAATGGCCGATATGGGAACCTGTCGTATTTCAGTGGTTCCCATCTTGGGGACTCTGGATAGACGTGATGTGGTCCAAAGGCTTGAGACGAAGGAAACAAGTGCAGAATCATCCTCATCTTGCACATCTAACGTCTATCTGGGCTTTTTGTCGGATGTTAGAAAGTTGTGTTCTGGACGTACTAACGTCAACAAATATCACAGTTGTAAGTTTTAATGCTTTTTTGCGTCTTCATAGAGTGTTTTACTTCTTATGCTTCAAACATCACAGTTCATTCATAAAGGTTATCGTCCCGATCAAAACAAGAGCGGTTTGAAATCAAATATATATTTTTGTAGCCACGACGCAAAGGGAGAATAAACCACAGGGGGAAACAGAGCAGTAATCTGAGAGTGACGGATGGGAGACAGATGGAGAGACGGGGAAGCAGGAGGAAGTAGAGTCGGTGTGGAAACAAATGCAGAAACTGGGTTTTTGTCTTTTTCAAGGAAAAGCAGCGTGTTGAAGTCTGAGAGCAAAGTCCAGCCTGAACAAGAGCTGCTTCCCAACGGCCCTCAATCGCTGTGCGTTTCAACGCCCCCTCACTTCGATACCCGTCTCCTGGGAAACAGGTCTGAAGGAGCGACCCACACACACACACACACACAGAGCTTTGACAGGAAAAGATCTGGTGGGGGGATTCAACATTAATGAGTTCAAACTCTCTCATATACACAAGCACAAGAATACACACACACACACACACACACACACACGCGCACATCAGCTCTGTGTTTAAGCTGCAGTGAAACCTGAACCAATAGAAACCCTTTATTCTGGTGACGTCGGCCAACCAGAACCCAGCAAACTGACACACCCACATGTGTGTGTGTGTGTGTGTGTGTGTGTGTGTGTGTGTGTGTGTGTGTGTGTGTGTGTGTGTGTGTGAGAAGATGTTTGGATACCTCTCTGCTTTAGTGTACTGTAACTGTGTGTGTGTGTGTGTGTGTGTGTCTCAGAGGAAGCTCCCAGCAGGTCCTGATGTTATGCTGATGTTTGTCCTTTGAGGGAAAGTCCCTGACTGCTGCTCTCACCGTGGAACAGGAACACGCTCCGTTCATGTCAGCAAAGATCGGTTCACACGTGGACACACAGAATTCAAAAAGACACGTAAACACTCAGGCAAAGACACACACACACACACACACATACACACCCACACACCCTTGCCAGCTCTTTGAGAGCAGACTCTTGAACGGTCAGCGGTGGAAAATATGTTTTCCCGCGGTCAGCTGTGCAAAGGAAGCTGAACTTTCCTCCATTTTATCACAACCAGCAGCTTCATTACTGCCAAAATGGAGACGTGGTGGAGTCCACTGTTGATTAAAGGGGCAGTCCACAGAACACGCACAGAAGCAGAGAGAAACGTGAGTATAAGGAACGTTGATGAAGGCGATGGAGCGGCTTCTTCTCGTGGCAGTGAAAGGAGGAGAAAGGTAGATGAAATAAAACCAAATGGCCCAAATATTATTTGACACTCGCTTTGGAGCAAAGTTTGATGGCATAACTCTTTACAGTGTGTGTATAGCTGGAGCAGGCAGGTGATTAGCTTAGCTTAGCATAACAACTGGTAACATGGGGAAACAGCTGGCAAGGCTTTTCAAAAGGTCACAAAATCTTTCACTTTGGAGGTTCAGTCTTCATGCAAAGATAACCAGTTGCTGGCTTTAGCATTTGTATGTAATTTATTACTATAGAGTAACAATCTTATATTGGACAAGAATCTTTACCAAAATGTCAAACTTTTCCTTGAATTTATCTTTGTAAAGATAGACGTGTTCCTGCTCGTTTCTGGCAAACAAGTGAACATAATCCATCAAAGGGGATAACACGTTGAAATATTTTACAAGGTAAAAAAAAAAAATATATATATATATATATATATTTATGAGAAAGGACTTCAGGGAGGAAGTTATGTTGTCATACCAGAGAAAACACCAGAGGTACAGTTCCATCTGTTTATTGATCAACTATAAAATATCGAGTCACTAAAACAATTCTTAAAAGAAACACTGATAGACGTGGTTGCAGTCTGTAAAAAAAGAAAGAAAACATCCACAGCAGGTATAGAGGGACAGAATACATCTGGTTACAGATTCATCTCTAAAATGTTCTTTTTGCATTTTTACAAGATTAGACATGTGTACAAAGTATATTCTGATAGATTTTTCTCCACTAGGCTGTGAAGGATCATTTACAAAACATAGATAATTTTTCTATTTATTTTCAAAATAATCTTTTTTTTTTTTCTGTAACAGGACAATAACGATACTGAAGGAACAGCAGACGAAGAACCAGCCTCCAGTCCACCTCTCTCTCTCTCTCTGTGTCTCTCTGTCTCTCTCTCTCTCAGTCTCTGTCTGTCTGTCTCTCTGTCTCTCTCTCTCTCTCTCTCTCTCTCTAGCAGCTAGCTGCAGGGCCCGTCAGTACTACAACTGAACAGGCACTGGCGTGGACAATTGTTCAGGGAGGGAAAGCAAGGGGAAAACAAAAAAAAGAAAACATGCCAAAAAAAATCAGCAAAAACAAACATTTAAAAGAGAAGCCAAAGCAAAACGGACAGTGAAGAAAAAAACGACGTATGCAATAACTCAGGCTCTTAAACGTATGACCCCAAATGAAAATGAAGGCAACACAGTCAATAAGTGTGTGTGTGTGTGTGTGTGTGTGTGTGTGTACCCTGGTTGAAGGCATACGGTTGGGCTTTAGATGGAGATATGGGGGCAAATAGAGATTGGAAGGCAATAACACGCACACCTAAAAGGGCTACAGGTGTGTGCAAATACCAGAGGATAAAAGTCTCACTCACTGAGAGAAAAGGTGCTTTAGCAGCTCGGGGGTAAACAAACATTCATAACGGGCTGGGCTCCGCCAACCGGTGCAACCTGCGTACAGCCGGGACGCCAGGCCCAGATCCATTTTGGTCAACTGTCACTCAAACCCTTTTGTCTGCAGAAATGAGAGTGTCGGGCTGAAGGGGCGGGCTTACCAGCAGCAGGCGGGCCTTAAGCGGATAAGATTTTGTGACATCAATCAACGGGGTAATTTCAGAAAACTTATTGTCACTCCGTACCTTGTTACACCACTTTCAATACTAGCAGCACATTTATCAAACGCTTCTGTTGCCTCTGAAGTTCTACTATTACTGGCAGACTTCTTTTGTCGCTTAGTACGTGACATGAACAACATTAACATCTCCAGGTATCACGCAGCCGTCTCAGAGAAAATATATATGATATAACCGATATAACAATTCAGACAAAGGACCTCAAAAGAGTAGAAAATATTAAACCTATTGAATATCAACAAGACAATCTTCAATCTCTGCAGCAAAGCTGAGAGAGGGCAACGTGGTAAAAAAAACACAAGAGCATCAACAGAACCACAGATATACTATATGTATATAAATATATACGGCATTCTATATACTGCGCATAGATCTGATACAACTCCACACACAATAGTGTAACAAAGTCGGTTAAAATTTAAATTGTAAATCGCATAGAACAGATGTTTCTGGGGGGGGGGCACCAATTTCATTTGATTGGGGGCAGAAGGGGGCGGAACATTAGCAACGTTTTGGCGAATCATCATAAGGCCTGGGAGAGGAAGGCCGCCCAAAAGCTCACAACCATGAGCACGACATTCAACTGACTCCCCCTAAAATACGGTTAAACTAGGCACGTGGAAGGGAGGGGAGGAGGGGAGGAGGGGGGGAGAAATACTCTCGGAGGACTCCGAGTCACAGAGTCTCCTCTGCAGCGGAGCTCATTCAAAGTGCACTCATGTCAAAAGATGATTGCTTTGTGCGGGTAGAGGTGCGATCAAACGGTAAGATTGACGTCCGTAAAACAGCAGAAGCAAAAAAGAAAAATAAAGTCTATCAGAGGACATTTCGAGGTTGAAAACACTGCAGTCAAAAGAAATGAATGAGGCCGGACTGTGGCGGATAACCGCTCAGATGGAATTATGCGGGTGATGTAATCAGCGCTGGCAGCTTCATGCTGGAGAGCGATGACCTTGATGCATCTTACACTGAATGCACTGTTTACAACCATGAAAACACCTCAAAAGAATAAATAGAAAAAGGACAAATCCACCCCGTGGGACTCCTGCGATGTCGATACGCCGGCTTGTTCGGGGCCTTCGGAGTCGCTCTGTGATCGAGTGTTAGTTCACTTTTCTCTTGTGGCTGTACGCGCCTCTCTCAGGTGCAGAATCTGGGGTCTCTAGCTCCTCGTGGATCTTTCTCCCCTGCTGTTCCTGTCCAGTAAACACGGGCCAAACGCAGGACGCATCAACAGCAGCTGGTTTTGTAGTGTTTGAATGTACTCGGGGGGATTTTTCCCCGAAGCGCAGACACTAAAGACGAAAATGGGAATTGCTTTTAATAGCAGAACACTCCTTTCCTCTCTCTTTAAGTCAGAGTCTCTGAGGGAGGCAGAAGTTTTAGTAGTACACGGACGGCTTGCCTGCCCGATGGAGGATTGTCGAGGGGGGGGGGGGGGGGGGGGGGGGGGGGGGTGGGTTTAAAAAAAACGCGGATAGACGGTTAAGTGTTAAGTGCTTTCTGTTGAGCAAACGAAAGGAAGTCTCGACCTCGGTCTCTCTCTTTCCGTCTGTCGCTCCTGCCTGTAGATACATTTTATATGACTGTAACATCACCACGGCAACATCCTAATCACAACGTCACATCACTGTGGCTGTCCGCGGAGGAGGAGGAGGAGGCCTCCTTCCTCACCATCATTCACAGTTCATTAAAGCTTCTCGACTGTTTAGCTCTTTAGGAAACAGTACTCTGACATTAATCTATTACATGAAAATAAAACACTCATGTTCTTGTTTTCCTCTATGTAACCGTGTGTGTGTGTGTGTGTGTGTGTGTGTGTGACACCCAGGTGAGTATTTACACGTGGCCGTGCGTCCGTGACCGTTTAGTATATTTACATGTTAAAAAGGACGCTGAAGCGCTCGTTTGCCTTCTCTGGTTTTCCCGACTACACAGCGAGCAGAAGGGAAGTCGATGGCGTCCGCGTGTGCAGAGGTCCCAGGAGACTCCGCCCCCTGTGATACCGTCTCTCAGTTTAACCCCCCCGTAAGGAGCTGGAGGGTCCCGGCTTGGTTCCATCGGCCGGCAGCGAGTTGCGCTCAGCAGATGACCGGGACCCCGTCGGTGTTGAAGATCATGCCGGTGGTGGGTTCGTAGGTGCCGGCCAGGTAGTAAAGGTCCTCGCTGTCGGCGTAGCGCCGCGTGTGGGTCATCTGCTCGTACTCCTCCACGCTCACCACCAGGCACTTGTGGCTGACCGTCTGCACGTCGTTCTCGTCGCTGTGAGAAGACTGGTAGAGGGCGCGCTGCGACCCGTGCACAGAAACAAAAGCGTCAAAGCTCTTTATTTCTACTTAAACCCACAACAGCAGACGAGAACTGAACAAAACAAGAGGCCGGGTGACAGAAGCGCCTTGTTCTCTCTCTCACCTCCATGAAGTCTTTCCTCTGGATGGACGAGTGCAGAGCTGCAGGCAGCGATTGACCACACATCTGATCCCAGTTCTGCAGAGGACACACGGAAAGTTTGAGCAAGGGGAGACTTAAAAGGTCATGATTGCTTTTAAATTATATAGTAGCATAATAGATTGCAAAGAGGAAATAGGAGACAAATGGAGGAGGGCGGTTCTGTTGTGTTCTCTTAGAATTTGTCCTTTAGTAAATGATCCTTTGGTTTGGGGAAACGATTTAGTCAAAGACAAAATAAATGTACAACACTAAAGGCCTTCAGCCAGCGGCCATAGTGTCATAAAGTCATTAGAAGTATTCGGTTCAATCTCATAACTAATTCTGACAGAGTATTTCCTCAAGTTTCGTTCCTTAACACAATAACAAAGATGTTAAAGCTCGAGGGGGCAGATCTGATTTAACCGGTCAGTCATTTTTACACCTGGTTACAACACGAAGCAGCTTAGGCCGAAGAGATCAAAAGGTGAAAGGAGACTTGTTGGAGATCAAAGGTTGATCGGGCACAAGAGACAACGGTGGAAAGAAAAAGAGGCAGGAGGTATAAACGCTCATTGCCTGTTACGTTTGTGCGCGCGGCTCCCGGGCTCCTACCTTCTTGTCGGTGAGCTTCTTGCCGGGGTTGGTCTCCTCTGGGTGGTAGAACCAGTTGACCCTGACCACCATGTTGCTGCCCCAGGACTCCCACATGCTCTGGATGCGGCCGATGAAGGGCAGGTTGGGCCGCCCGGCGGACAGAAACACGGCGCAGTCCCCGATGCGGATCATCTCTCGCCCGCGCACGATGGCCTTATAGAAGAGCTTCTTAGCCTTGCCCTTCATACCGCGTCTCTGGGGAGGTCAGAAGGGGACGGATTAGTCGCAGAGTGAAAAGAGTTGGTGTTTCTCTTCTTCTTCTCTTCATTTATACGAGAGATGTTTCTTCTCACCTGAGTGGGTTTTCCAAACCACTTCCAGAGCTGTCTGGCTGGAAGGAAAGCAGAGATTTTGGGCCTATTCTCCACGCTGGGAAGCCTCTGCCGTTTGGCCAGCTCCTTGGTTGTGGGGAGGTGGACGCCCTCCCTCCGCTTTGGTCTCCCCGCCTTCCCGTCTCCGCCGCTGGGCTTCGGTTTGGGAGGACGCCCCCTTTGCCCCGAGCCCTTCCCCGTCGCCGGTTTAGCAGGCTTGGTGGGCGTAGAAGGAGATGGAGAGGTTGAAGGCGAGGGAGATCGTGAGGGAGGAGACAGCTCTCCTTCCTCCACTCTGACCTCCACTTCCTCCTTCAGCTCTTCGCCCTCCTCCTCCTCCTCCTCGTCTTCCTCTTCTTCTTCTTTTGCCTCTTCTTTCGGTTTGTCCTGTCCTGGAGGCGTGGCGACGGGGCCTGGCGGAGGCGTGAGGGTCCTCTCTTCATCTGAGCTGCAGGAAGAGTCGTCGGTGGAAGAAGAGGACGAGGAAGAGGACGACGATGAAGAGGAGGAGGAGGAACCGGAGCAGGACGAAGAGGACGACGAGCAACTCGAGGTGCATTTCTTCTTTTTCTTTAACTTGCCTTTCCCCCCTTCTTCCTCCGACTCCGAGCTGCTGCTGCTGCTCTGAGATAATTCTTTAACCTTCCTCTCGTCTCTTTTCTCCACCTGCTTCCTCTCCTCGTTGTTGCCTTTCTCCTCTCGCGAGTCCATCTTCTGTCCTCGGCCAGCACTCCCACGGCTCTCTGCCTTCTCTTTGGTCAGCACCGGTGCTTTCTCTTTCTCTCTCAGCCCAGGCTCCTTCTCCGGCGCCTTCGGCCTCGCCTTTAGCCGTTCCTGACTGGCTGTGCCTGTGGCGATGGGGGCGTGGTCTGCTCTGGCGCCTCGACCCTCTAGCAGCATCAGAGCCTTTGTCTTCTTGGTCTTCGGGGAGGTGACACCTTCGTGGTCGAGCTTGACGAGGGGCTCTGCCGTCTGGGGCTTGCGTCTCACCACCGCGGCCGCGTCACTCGTCCCCGGGTTGGGCTTGGGCCTGGAGACGGAGGCGGCGCCGGGCCTGGAGGACAGCTGGTCGGACGGCATCTTCAGTTTGGGCCTCGGAGCAGATGACGACGATGACGACGAAGGTCTGGGAGTCAGGGAGGAGCCCGGTTTGCCTGTCGACAGCCTGGATGTGGGGCCGGAGATGAGGGCGGAGCCGTGGCCGGGTCTGGAGCCGCTGTGGTGGTCCGAGGAGGAGGATTTGGGTTTGGGCGGAGCAGAAGGGGTTCTGGCGGTGGACAAAGCGCTCGGCTTGGGCGCGGTGGATGACGGTGCCGCCGCGGGTCTGGACACGGGCCTGTTGGTGGTGGGACTCAGGGCGCTGCTGCTCTCTCGCTCTCGGCGCTGGCTGTTGTACGAGTTGAGGTTGGGTTCGCTGTACAGATCCACGGTCAGGACTTTTCCGTAGGTGGAAGGGTAGAGGGAGGGGGGGAGAGCACGGGCTGGTTTAGGAGCAGAAGGCGGGGCTGAGCCGGCCTTCCTGACCACCGGGTTGGGGAGGGCGGGGTTCCCAGCGGGAGACGTGGTGGAGCTTTTGCGGCTGGGTTTCTCCTGGGTTCCCGTCGACGGCCGGGAGGCCGGTCGCGGCTTCTCCGGAGCGGCCTTCTGGACGGCGGAGGTCCTGTCCTGGGGGGGCTTGGATGGAGCCAGGGGTCTCTCTGTGGCCTGGGCGGAGGAAGATGGAGGATCCGCTTTGTCGCGGCCCTCTGGGTTCAAAAAGGTCTCTGAAAGAAAGGTAAGACCGCAAAAAGGTTTAAGAACTCCGCTGGTTTGGGGCAAATGTATGCATGTAAAAGTATATGAGTTTACATTGGTTACGCTGACATGTTCATTGTGCGACTTAGTGGTTCCGTAGCCTCACATGCTGAGTAACGAGCAAAACGTTCTGATTTGAAAGCATTGCACTAAGAACTGCTTGCCTAGTAGAAAGCAAGCCGGCGTCAGCGAATCCGAGATGCAACATGCCATTTATTACAGCAAGAGCAAACTCATTAAAGCGATATCAGAGGTGACAGCCGCGGTCAAATAGGAGTTTGATGAAAGATGCCTGTGAGGCGCAAGCCGTGTTTGGTGCAGTCGTTTTTTCTGATCGAAAAGAGATTCAAAGCCTTTCAGATTTGACCACCTTTCACTCGTCAGCAACAAACTGCATGTAGTGTTTCTATGCGTTTCTATTTCTAATAATCAACGTTAATAAGATAACTTTCATGTATTTCCTCCACCTGACGATCAGTGCATGAGACGATCTGATTCCTCTGCCTCCTTTTAGATCTCTAAATTACATTTTGCAAGATTCCAGACGATCTAACTGAGTGCCGGATCGCCTCCTCGGCTCTGATTGGACGTTTGTCTCTGGGGACCGGTGCAATCTAGTAAGAGCCATGAGAGGAACTTTTCACAGATTATCCGTCTCACGTACGAATGTAAAGTATCTGTCTGAGTTCCCAGGACAGGAACTCCGCTCTTCCATGATGAGCAGTCAGATAGTGTGAAAGTCATCTCTTATTTTATCACGTCGTGCCGACACGTTTGGCTCCAGAGTGTAAAATGAGGTCTTTTTCTGTTCCCATGGAATCACGCAGAGAGCATATCCCTCAAATAATTATTCTTTTGTTTCAGTTTTAGTTTATTTAATTTTATTTAATATTTCTATCTTATTATATTGTATATAATGTGTATCTTTTTAATCTTTTTTCTTCCCTGTATGATGCTGTGATACCAAAATTTTCCCTCTTGAGGGATCAATAAAGTATCTATCTATCTATCTAAAGCCGTGCTGGCAGTACTTAAAGTTCACTAGCTTTATCTAAAGCGCCCAGATGAAACATTTCATTGATAGTTTTTTACAGATTTGATACTTTTGGTCACTTATTGCTGTGAAACTCGTCACATCAGCGTCATCGTTGATTCATTAGTCAAGTAAAACCAGACCCGGAGGATATTATCCATTAGTAGGATAAGCAGTGGGTTGGTAATAACGATTATTAAGTGGTATCACACTAAAAGTCCAGATTAAAGCCTCATATAAGCCAACAAGAGCAGATCACTGTTGACATTCGGTAGATTCCAGAGGGAAGCAGTTAGATGAGCTCACCTGGTTTGGGTTTGGGTTTGCGACCAGGCTTTCCTTTGATCTTAGGCGCGCTCTCCTCCGGCTTTGCTGCCGCTTCTTTGCCCTCTTTGCTGCACTTGCGGACTTTCCTCCTGGAACAGCTGGCCACCAGCAGCGCGGGGGACGGCTCAGCGCCTGGACAGAAGCAGAGCGCCGTCGGGCTTTATGGCCTTTTCTGAAGATTTAAACTCGATGCTCTTCATGATTTCCTCATGACAGAGGCCATTAAAGCTGACCGGCGTCCTCAAAAAGGAGTAAAAAGAAAAACATGCCGCGCTGTTGTCGGTCACCTGCGAACCCTCTGATTGGATTGGGTTCTAACACTTAATACTCCGGACACGCTTTGGTCACGCGAACACACTCATACTGCTTTGAATCTGTTTACTGACAGTTTAAATTGAGATTCAGGGTAAGCTTGTCACGAAACCCAAATTATGACTTTGATACAATACCTGCCATAAATATTATCACCACACATAAAATATCATACCACCAATACGATACAGGTATATTTATCTAGAATAGTAACAAATAAATCATCTTTTTACTATTTTTAACACAAATGGCATTAATATTGGTATTATCCTTCAGCCAGATGTAAAAACTACAAGGCGCCATCATAGCGGTGATTATACACGGCTGTGTCATGTAGCCAAAGTACTGGCGTGTCAGTGACAGGCAGCAGTGTCAAGTATCAATACTACAAACATGCAAAACCATATTGTTTTTTAACGTACGGGAACCGCTGTACCTTTTTAGTATCAATACAGCGTGCAACATTAATTCAGGGACTTGTTACAATAAAAAGGAACATCAGCAGTAAAACTTTATTACACACTATAATGATTACACTATTAAGTAAAAAACAATACTCATTTGTCTGCAGTTCGATCCGAATAACATACTAATTGAACTATATATATATATATATATATATATAGTTCAGAGAGTAGCGATGTACCGGAATAGCTGTACGTTAACAGCCCTCTACCAGTAAAACACACAACAAGCACACACACACGGCCTAAGTCTGCTCAAACACACAGTCACACACACACACACACACACACATATATATATTATTTATTAACCACGCAGCGAGGGTAAGATGCAATTTAAATCACGTTGTGTGTGTGTGTGTGTGTGTGTGTGTGTGTGTGCGTGTCTGTGTGTGCGTGTGTGTGCGTGTGCGTGTCTGTGTGTGCGTGTCTGTGTGTGCGTGTGTGTGCGTGCGTGCGTGTGTGTGTGTGCATGTGTGTGTGTGTGCGTGTCTGTGTGTGTGCGTGTGTGTGTGTGCGTGTGTGTGTGTGCGTGTCTGTGTGTGTGTGTGTGTGTGTGTGTGCTCTCACAGTGGATCTTGTAGTCCGGCGGCAGCAGTCTAATGTGTGAGAGGGGGATGCGGCCTGTGTCTCCGTCGTCAAACTCCACCGTGATGAGATCATCATTCTCGTCAATATCTGAACTTCCTGTTCACGGGAGGGAAAAAGGCTCAAAAGTAAACGGAGGCCAATCGATTTTGACCATTTAAGAGATAAAGAAACCTGTTCTAACGCATGTGTCTTTAATTGTATAACGCATCCGGTCACTTGCTCGCTGCAATCAGCCAAAGATCTTTTACATTTGTTTGTCCTTCCAGCTACAATTAAACTGTCAACGTAAGTGGATTACGGATCCCATCATGGACGGGACGGGTGTGTGTGTCTGTGCTGGTGCTGTACCGTTGACAACGGTGCCGGGATAAAGGCAGCGGTACTGCTGGCTCCAGTAGGCCGCGATGCGCGTTCCCTCCGGGAGGTAGCGCACCGACGGGGGCTTCACGTTGATGATCTGCACACATAGAATGCGTTCACACCGATTCAAATCAATCCAATGGAGCGTAACACATCATAGGTTCACTTTCCCAACGACACAAACTGTCCAAAAACATTTAAAAAAATGTTCCCGCCGCAATAGGAAGGTGGGAGTCTTGAGCCGGCCACAAATGCAGAGGACCGATATGTGCGAGTTCACTCACAGCCTCCTGCAGCAGCTGTTCCAAGCAGTAGATGTGTGGTCGGTTCCCCCTCTCCCCCTCCACCACCACACTGTAACTGCAGGGAGGAGATGTGGGAATCAGGGTCAAAAGTTTGAAGTCAGCAAGAAAAAAGGAGCCAGAGCTTTTAAGGACACAGTCTCAGGAGAGCGATCAGCTGTCTCTGCAGCGTGAACGGTCTCTTTGCCAGAGACGGGACTCGACCTTTAACCCGACTCTGAGCGCTCTGATGTGCAGCAGCAGCCCGGGGAATGTGTCGTCTCTTACCGACTGCCACTACGGCGCTTTGGCTCTGCCAAACACTGCTCGGAGCCGAGCGCAACTAATGCCCACACTCCCCTGGAATATTAATCCCGTCTGAACGGGGCTTTGCTGTTTGTTTTCTCTTAATTAAGCCACTCCGGATTTGAGCATCAATAAGTTCTAAATGAAATGTTTTTATGTTTGTGTGAAGTGTTATATGTTTAGAGGAATCGTTGGCCATTCTAGAAGACGTCATATTGGCTTTTATCGTATGCAGTACAAAACCCAAATGGGAAAAAAACCTCGAGTTGGGCTGCTGTTTTTTACTTCCAGTTTTTATGAGGCGAGCTAACCGTCAGTAGGCTTTGAGCTTTCAAAGCAAACCTCATTTAAAAGGAGCTCAGCAAGGTCCTCGTGGTTTGCACCTGCAGACGCAGCTTTAGTTTGAATGTCTGGGGGTTCTTCACATATCATCTTCCACCAATGTGCTGCTGACTCCAGTACTTCTCAAATCAAGGACACCAAACTTCAGCAGGGACAAAAACTGGAGCACCCTGATTGATAGCGACAGCGCTCACAGGTGCGCTTCCACTATTAGAGGCTGCGGTTCATTGGAAGGCGTACTCACATGTCAGGGGAGTGCACAGTGTTCACGTGTCCTGCGTACAGTAGCTGGTCGTCCATCGGGATCAAAACTCTGAGTCCGTCCACCAGGGAATCGTTATCCAACACACACTGCACCGGAGCTGAACACAGCGACACGGGCAGTGAATGTCGACTGTTGGAGGCTACGTCTGCTAGCAGTAGCGGACACGTGTGTGTGTGTGTGTGAGCGTGTACTGACCCGGCGCGGAGGAGCTCTCCGATGCGCCGGTGCTGCGCGGTGGGACCAGTTCGTCCTCGCTGAAGCTGCTGTCCTGGTTGGGCTCAAAGTCTTCGTCTGCCGCCATGCTCTCCATCAGCCGGCTAACCGCCCCTCTGGAAGGCTGACAAAACAAACCCCCCCCGTCATCGTGCAATTCTGCACGGGTCCGTCTGCGGCGGCCCGCTGGACGAGCAGGCGGACGTGCCATGAATGGACTTTTTCGAAGCGAAGCGGTAACATATTACAACACGTATGCTGTTGGATACACATTCTTTTCTCTGCTGTTCCACCACCACCAAGAGCTACGCACACACACACCTCCGCGGCCTTTACAGTTTCCAAAACAAGCTCTGGTTGTGGCTGGTGGCAGATGGAGAGTAAAGCAGCCCTTTGGCTGAAATAACACGTTGCAAAGAAGGAGTTTACTTTTTTTTTCTCACCAACTGAACAAAACCGTGAGAACAACAACAACACAAGCGTTCACATCACAATGACAATCACCGTGTGTGCGGGAAGCAAAGGGGCCACATTCAGGTCAGACGTTACGGTTTCGTCCTCCGTTGTTTTGAGATCTACATTGACAGCTGATCCATCATCCTACTGACCTCTCTGACCTTCGTCTTTGCTTTCGGCTGGCTCTTGCGTCCCGGGCTGAGGCTCAGCGGCGCAGCGAGGTCTGTGATTGGACTGCACAGCGCGGACGGGCTCACGGGCAGAGGAGAGTCCTTCGGCTTCTTTTTCTGGTTTTCAAAAGTCACGACACAAAGAGTTAAACACGACTGGCTGGGCCGAGGATGTAAAGGACAGATTTACACACACACGTTGCCAGGCTGCCTGCAGTTGTCCCTTCTTGTCAGCAGACAGCAGGGTAGTGCTGCTGTGACTGAAGTACTAGGAAGCCCTGCTGATACACACACACACATATATATATATATATGGGAGAGAACCGGAGTTTGAGGGAGGAGGAGAGTACAACAGTAACAGAGAAGAAAAGGAGAGCCGGAAAAAAAAGGAGAGAAACACAAGTCTCTTTGTTTTTTTTTCTTGATCTTCTCAGTTGGTGATTAACAAGCGGAGGAATTATTGACACACTTTCACCACATCTTTTCCCTCTCGGCTGGGCGGCGAGGGCTTGGGTCTGGAGGCCGGCTTCGGGGGGAGCGGTGGGGCCGAGCCGGAGGAGGAGCTCTGACCGGTGGAAGCGGATGTCGACGCAGGCAACTGACTGGCCGAGGTGGTGGTGGCGGTGGAGGCGGCGGCATCGTGGAGGAAAATCCTCTCGCTGCGTCGCCGGGTCCAGCCCTCGTCCTCGCTGAAGCCGCCGAACCCGGAGGGGAGGTCGAGGCTGTACGCCCGCGGTGAACGCGGCGCCGGCCGCGGTTTGGGCAGCGGCTTGCGTTTGGCCGGCAGCGCGTCGTCTCGCTTGCAGGGGCTGGTCTGCTCGATGCGGCGGGTTGCCGGGGGCAACAGGGGGAGCTCCGGGGCGGAGCGTTTGCCGTGCAGCAGAGAGGGGAACTTCCTCAGACGCAAGTCCGACCCGGAGTCCGACCACTCGCACTCGGACGACCCTGACCGAAGAGAGGACGGGGTCACATGGTGTGCAAACGCTTCTTTTACTCGCTCGCACACACAAACTGTACAGAAAATAAAACATGCGGCCAGTAATAAACTCAGGCTTTTTTAAATCAATAACTCTGCAAATAGGACTATTGATCCATTTTAAACTAATACATTATTGAAGATCAGAATCACTAAATGCAGCCTGATGTGAAAATAAATTAATATTTAACCAAGAATCAATAATATAATCCTTAATAAGCGCTCGGGCAGTGAACCCGCTCAACCGCAATGAAATAAAAATAAATCACAATTATAGACTGGAAAGGTGTCGGGGGAATCTGTGTAATTAGTAAAAGTAGGATCGTTTGTGCAGACAACAAGATGCAGAGCAGCCGGTTTCAATAGAAGGAGGAAAGCCACATAACTTCATCTCGTTGCTCCTCCTTCAAATAATAAGGTGATCCATATTCATCGTGGTTATTGGCACAGAAATGGTGCTCAAGCAGTTTCACCAGTTTATACCCAGAGTACTTTGCCTGCTGCGTTGTTTGCCGTCATGGAAAAGGCTCAACGGAGTGGAGCTGACGGGAAGCGCACTCGCCGCAAACCTGGCCAGCAGACCGAGGCCGCTCTCCTCACAGCCGCCACCGTCGTCCGAGTCAGACTCGGCCTCGTAGTCGCCTTCGTCCTCTGACGTTTCTGTTTCAGAGAAAAGACGATCAGCTCAGAGATGACCGCGGCTGCAGCATTGGTCCGGGCCAAAGGTCAAACCACTTCCTACGTTCTACAAAAGGACATGAATTGACATGTGTTTTTAAGACAATAAACTAAATACAAAGACTACATTGAAGCCTGGACTTAACAAAACCCGAATGATGTATATTCACTGACTCTCACATATCGTTAACATTGGAGAGAAAGATCTGCTGTCCGAACCGCTGACCTCACACTGTATTGCTGTGTAAGCAAGATACTGCAGGAAAAGTCAGATTAACCACAGACATGCATGTGAGCCACAGACACAGCCACTCCATTATCATTTATTATTTATACCTATATAAAAATAAAAGCTCTGGGGAATGTGACACATGGAGAAGTGAAGAACTGCTTCCTTCAAGTCGGACAGGCACGCACACACACACACACACACAAAGGCAGAAGTGCACACCGCAGCAGACTGCAGGTTAGCGGTTTGTTGCAAGTCGTTAGCAGTTAGGTCGATAGCAACAGAGAAGCATTTCTTTAAAGGTTAGAGTGTTAACATTGTGGGTGGGTTCACAGCACAACATCCCTTCATATTTCTCGTCCTAATGACATTGCCGGCCATAAGAAATAAGCTATCGTTTGTAACGCTGAGCTGAAAATAGGCGTTTTGCACCACTATCTGGTTGGAATCTGAAGTCAAACCAAAGGAGGACTAAAGGATGTTCAGGGGATGTTAAGTTAAGCTTCCGCCAATAAAATGAAAAGGTTCAACTTTGCTGTGAAAAAGAACAAAAACACTAACTTTTTTCTAGTGTTCGTTGTACTGTGACTCCACCGTGTGTTAACTGAAGCAGGCAGACGGTACGACAAGCAGGCACTGAGAGGACAGCCCTGTGAGGCCCCTTGGTATGTTGGTATGAGGTTTGGTAACCATGGCTACATCCTCTTTCCCAGCACAGCATGAAAAAAGTCTTCCCATAAACCTTTGCAAGCCATCAGGAGACATAACGTTGGGTAGGTGGAGGTGGCCACAGCATTGAAAAGCTTTTTGCTTCATAACCATAAAAATACAAAGTTTAATATAAAAAAAGTAAATCTGTGTATTTGGTTCAATTTCAGCACGGTCCATGTTAGCAGTTAATAAAGCATAGAGGAAGGGGCACTTCCTACTTACAGAGCAGGCGACAGGGGTGTGGCCTCAGGGCAGGGCGGGGCAGCGGCGAGAGCGCGGCCTAACCGTAGCGTAGCCCGGCCTGAGCTGAGCTTAAGTCAAGCTTAAGCGAGGCTTTAGCCACTAGCTGCAGCGAGCCAGCGTAGGCTGAAGGCTGCGCTAGTCCTTGCCAAGCTTCTGTAATGCACCAGCAGCAGCACAAGCACATGGAACAGGCTGAGAGACACTCAAAGCATTATGGGTAGGACAAGGAGGGGGGAAGGGAAAGCAGCGAAGGGGAGTGAGGGGGGGTGAGAGGACTGAGCAAGATGTCAGAGAGAGTAACAGGGAAAAGGGTTATTTGAAGGTTTAGTAGACACAGAGGAGGCGCTCTATTGTCCAAATATCCCCAGCATCAAATACGATTGGTGCCGTCAAGAAGTTTAGAATGACTTGTGATGCATTTATTTCCCCCACATCATCCAAACAGTAGACCACATCATCAATAAACAAGGTAAATCTAACAGATATCTTCACACTTCTCTTGGTTTTATGACCGTTTAACCTGACCAGGAAATAAATGAGTCATCTTGTCCCATCAGAATCAGCTCTGTGTGCGTGGAAATAATCTTTTACGTATTTAGGTTTTAATATTCCCAAATGTAACAACAGTGTTTTCTCAACCTTTGCCAGAAGGACCAGAAGGGATATTTGACAAACCGAGCAGTCTAAAGGACGTGTGAGGTGCAGCTGGACGGACGGACAGACGGACAGACAGATGAAGCAGACACAAGGACCACAGCGCTTCGCTTTCTGTGCCAATCAAATCAACACCTTTAATAAAGCTTATAGGTACCAAACTGCAATACAACTTTATGAAAAGTCTCACAATTCACACAATTTTTAATATACAAATGCTACAAAAAACGGTTTGCAATCCAGGCAATAAAAAAGAAGAAAAACACCATATAAATATGGAAAACTCTTTTTCTGTTTTTAAAAAGGCGACTCTGTAGAGAAGCCAGCAGCAGCGAGCGAGGTAGGGATCGTCGAGCTCTAAAGCGAGGTCTGAAACCAGCCGCCTGTGCGAAACGCAAGCGCAGGCGCACGCCGCCACGAGGCGCTAAAGACACATTTCTGTCGCGCTGCACAGCGAGGGGGGCGAGGAGCTGTAAGATTTGGTCAGTAACCTTGGTCAAAGGAGTCGTCGGAGGAGCTGAGTCCCGCTTCCTCCAGCAGCAGCGATAAGTGCTTGTGTTTCTTCTTCTGAGTCTTTTGGCCAGACAGCAGGGACGTCGGCGACGACGTCGATCGCCTCTTCCTGGTCGGGTCGCCGTGAGAACGCGTCCCTGAGAGAGGGGGCCAGCCCCCCCGAGCGGAATTGTGCTCCTCTGAATCTGAGTCTGGCGCAGAGAGAGTGCGGTTAATGACTGATGAGAAGAGGGGGGGCAGGAAACGATTTCTCTGCACCATCAGGGCTCTTCAATCTACACCTGGATCCGGTAGAATATTTTAAACTCTGCTAACCAACATAACTAGATGACCTAATGTTCTACCAATATTCAACTACCACAAAATAGTAGTACAATGTCACCTGCAGAGGCTTGATTGGACTCTTTTCAGTCTAATTAACCTCAGGTCAAGTGGAACACGTTTAGCCTTGAACTAACCAGAGTCTGATTTTAAAGGATAAGTGTGGCGTTATTGGATAGATGTAAAACTGTGTTTTGATGAGTAAACATTACTTCTCTAACAGCACGAGTCACGTGAAGCCGTATTGTTCAGATACTCACTGTTGGAGCAGCTGCTGAGCTCCGATCTCACCGGAGAGAACGGAGCCGTGTTCTTCTGACCTTTCACCTTCCGGGGAGGCGCCGAAGCGGAGGCCTTGGGGGCCGTCTTGTGTTTGCCCGCTTTGGCGGGCGGGTGGATGCCGCGCTCCTTCGCCCGACTCTCCGCCGACTTGCCGTTGGACTTGTCCAACTTGAGGTTGGGGGCTTGAGGTTTGCGCGGAGCGCCGAGCTGAGAGAGCGAGAGTGCTCTGTCGAGGTCCGACGCCAGCTGCTCCTGCTCACACACGTGAGCACGCTTCACCTTCAACGCCGCCAAAAAACACACTCTCAATCCCTCCGAACACTGGCGACACACAGCAGACAACATCAAAACATGCACATGCTAAGATCACTACCTCGAGGCCGTGACTGGTGGACGGCTCAGAGTCATTCCAGCTCTTCTTCTTCTTCTTCTTCTTCTTTTTCACCATCACCCCTCCACTTCCCGCCTCGGTCTCCTCTTCTTCTCTGGACAACCGGAACTTCTTCCTCTGTCCATCCCCAGCTTCAGAGTCGTCAGAGTATTGCACCGTCCTACCCGCCCTGACACACAGGGACATTTTTACTTTATTTGCACGGCCAAAAAGCAAACAAGCAAAGCAAACAACGAAGGATGGCTGAATGATGAATTAAAGCGGAGGTCTCACTCACTTTGCAGGCCTGCTGTCCAGTTTGGGAGGTGTCGCCAAGTGCTTCCTCTTCCTGGGTCGTCCTCTGCCCCGCCTGGTCAAACTCCGCCTCTCATCCTCTTGCTGCTGCCGCTCACTGACACATGCACAAAAGGAGTTATGTGTGTGTGTTTTGTCTGCACAACTGTCGTTTTCGTGTGTGTAATAATAGCACGGGTGCGACTGATGCATCTTGAATGTGCTAATTGCAGTAAGAACGCAAGCTCACCGCTTGTCTCTGCGTCTCTGCAGCTTGCTCAAATCTCTCTGCTTCTCCTTGTACGTCTTCTGCAGCTCGGCCAGGCGGACGCGGTATTCCACTTCCACCGCGTCCAACACGTCCACGGACATTTTACTGTACAGCTGCAGAGAAAAGAGAGGAAAAGGGGTCACGACATTTCACTAGCTGACGTTTTCCAGCTCTGGGTGACACGTTTGGCTTCAGGTTACCGGCTCTTCCTTCCTCTGCCTCCAGCTGTACTTCTTGTTGGGGTCCAGAGTTCTGGGCAGGTCAATGTGGGACTGTTTCTCGATGGCCTCCAACAAAATCTGCCTGCTCGCCTTCAATAGATAGTCCAGACCCTCTAACGTGATATCTGAATGGGATATGGAGGATGTTAAACCATTAGACATAGAGAAAATAAAGCCTAACCCTCTTTACAACCAATTTGATATGATTTTTATTCTCTTCTTTGATTTAAACTCATCTACTCACCTTGCTCCAGGCGAATGTGTTCGATCTCGCGCTGGGCCATTTGGCTAAGCAGGGCCATCCCCTCCAGCGCCACCATCTCCAGAGCACCCGTGCTGCTGCAGTCTGCCCCCATGGGAGCGCTGTCTATCGGCGCTATGAGCGTCAGCGTGGGTGGGGTGTTGGGCCGGGCCTCGGCCATTTCACTTGCCGCCAGCAGAGCAAACAACCCGGCCATGGGATCCTCCAGCAGGAGCGGCGAGTCAGCGGTTGGAGGAGGAGTTTCTTTGACACTTTCTCTGCTGCTGGGAGTGTGCGACCCGGTCGGAGTGGCTGGCCGCTCGTGCTCGCACGCCGCGCTGGGGATTTCTCCCAGCGGCCGATGCGTCTGAGACGGCTCCCGGCGTTCTGAATCCGCGGCGACGCACGAGGGGTATTGCTCTGGACCGTCGGAGACCTCTGGTTTAGGCTCAGCTTCTGTGCGTGGAGGAGGCAGTGGAGGGTATGCCGCCCGACAGGACTGAGATGACGCCTCCATTTTGATTTGCCCCGTGTCCTTCTCTTCCTCCCGGACTTCCTCCCGTCTTTCACCCTGGAGGCGGGGAGGGCTGGGGGCGAGCAGAGGCGGCGGTTGGGACTGGGGCGCCGGGGCTTCCCCATCCTCCTCTCGGTCCGGTCTGGCCAGCGCAGGGCTGCAGCTCCGGCGAAGAGGGCCGACGGCTTGCGGGGTCACGTCGAGCCGAGGCTGCTCCACATCGGGTTCCTGCTTGAGGAAAGATCCCGTCTTGGACGACTCGAGCTTCTGCGGCTTGACGTCTGCGTCCAGCAGCCTGGAGTGGAGGCGGGCCGAGGGCAAAGGGGCGGGGGAGCGATGGGGGGGGACAATTTCTGTGTTTGCCGCTGTGGGAGCTGGGATGTGAAAAGGGGGGAAAGGGGAGCTGAATGGGGCAGTGATGGACTGGTAGGGATAACCAGGAGGGAGATCTGTCATCATAGTAAAGCAGAAATAAAAAGGAAGTTAAGGAACAATAATAAATGGACACAGTCATGCAAACGGCTGACGTAGCCGTTACTCCAACCGTCTTCACTGGTTTGAACGATCAAAGCTACAGTGTCCGGTAAACACCCGGCTAAATACAAGACGTTTCAGCACAAAGGTCAATGATTGAGCTGAAAAAAAACACCTGTAAAGAGAAAAAGTCCATCTAAACGCCGATTGGATTCCTCCAAACTCACCAGCGTAGATGCCTTGAAAGGGTGCAGAGTCCGGCTTCTGTCCCTCTCTCTGCTCCCTCCGTCCCACCTCCAGCTTAGGGCGCCGCGGCGAGCACGTGGGCGGGGAGGCTGAGCGGGGGTGAGGCTGTTGAGGCAGGGGCGGGTGAGACGACACTCTCTGCCCGTCGTCCTCCCTCTTGAGGCCGGTCACCGGCGAGGCGAACAGGGGCAGAGGGCCGAAGGAGGAAGTAGACGGGGTCGGCGAGCGGGAGAGGACGGGAGGTTTGCGCGGGTGCAGGACGGGCGAGCGGGACGGAGAAGACACGGAGGAGGGCCGAGGTTTGGGTTCAGCGTGCCGCTTCTCCGCTTTGTCTTCCATCTCCGGCCGGTGCTCGCTGGCCTTTAAGCGCTCCTGAAACACAAACCGGAGGGGAGGCGGCTTTGACAGCGTGTTTGTATGATGCGACACACTCCGCTCCAGGGTACAAATATCAGTGAGTGGTTGCATTGTTCTGACTTCCCGGCCCGTCTTCTCCTGCAGCTGCAGGATGTGCTGTGTGAGCGGCTGTTTGCTGAACGTGCTACACAACTTTACGACGGCATTAAACGTGTGAAAGGTGTACATCATCTCTGGGAAAGGACTGGCTCAGTCTTTTCAACGGAAAAGGGACCCGTTTTAAAAAGAATGGCCACATTGGCGCAGTGGGTTCAAGGGGCCACTGACAGGAAATGTTGGGAAGTGAGATATGTGCCCTATTGGAGTGTGCATTCCTCTATAAAGCAGAGATCAATGTGTGTATTGTTGATGTGATTTGTGTTTATGATATCTTGCCCATAAAAAGTCTGCTGCAGCTGCAGGACAGCTGGGTTTTACGTTTGTGGACACACACCACATTCACGCACAGGCATGCAAACATGTCGCAGTCGGACGATGTGCAGCTATTGGTACGTGTGCATTCAAACGCATTAGGTCCACTTACGACTAGCTGTGCGTTCCTCTGCAGCTCCAGGACCTGCGCCGTGTGCTGCTGGATCATGAGCAGCTCCTGTTGCCGCAGCATCTGCTGCTGCGAGAGGAGCTGCAGCTGTGCCGCGTGCTGCAGCGAGCTGCCTGCTCCGTATACCCCCGACCACATCGGGGCCCCGCGCTCAAGTACGTCGCCTCCTGTGGAGCGACGGGGGACGAGGGGTGAAACTCCGCCGATTGAGCGGCGTATTTACGACATATCGAGAACCGAAGACAGTATTTCCCACAACCCCCGAGGGACGGCAGACATCAACCTTCTGTTGCAGCGGCTCCCAAGTGTTTTTGTGAGACGGATCTCCCAACAGCCTTTCAGATCTACTACCCCTTCATCAACGCCACTTATATGGCTCTAATTACCTTCATTTGAAAATAATTTGGGTTGCTGCTCTCGCTGACAGAATCTGTCAGTATGCTATCGCTTAGCGACCGCTCAGCTAACAGCTTCAGGAGGCTTTCCTCATTAAAGTACCCGGCAATTAAAAAGCTGCGTTCTGTACACACTGCAACATAGTACAGAGTACATCTTCATGACGACACGCTAGTAGTGTGTGGTAACGTCTTCAAGGCTGTGTGAAAATATGATCACTGCAGTTAATCCATTACCTTTAGTTAACTATTTCAACAACATGGCCAAGTATCCCTTGTTGAGGTTCACTGCTCTGTTTAGGTTTTATTGCTTCTCTTCCTCCTTAATTACAAGGAGAATCCTGTTTCAAGTACCTCAAAGCGTTTTCCTGTTGGTGCTGTAAAGCAGCAGAAAGCAAAGAGCTACTGGCACACGGTCCACAATGAAATATGGATGCTGTCAATCTAGTTGGATATAGTCTCATTTGTTGACAGGGATTACCAGTACTAACATCTGTTTCGAAATGAACATGGCAATAATTTATCTTTTGCCAAAAAGCAATAAATAGCCATTTTACTAAGCAAACCAAAAGCATGCGCTCATATTTGAGAGTTACGCGCGCACACATACAGACAGAGAACGCTTTCATACCGTAGTGTGACAGGTGTTCAGTGGGGATGACTATTAGCTGTCCAGACTGTGGGTCCCTGGCAAACTGGTAGTGAGGGGGCATGGAGCCCTGTAGCGAGGGGGGGTAGCCGGGAGGGAGGGTCTGATGGAGTGAGGGAGGACCCAGGCCTGAATGAAGAAGAAAAGAAAGTGTCAGAAATGTGCAGTACTGCAAAGAAGTTTAAAAAAACCCTCACATAAGTGTGTGAGTGTAAGAATATGTGCGTGAGTGTCTTGAAGCTGTTATTTCTGGAGCGTTGGAGGAGCAGGAATGTCCTGCAAATATCAAGAATGTCTGTGGGCCTTGACCCCATGCAGGCTGCAGCTGCAGGATCAGCCTCCAGACAGACGGACGGTCGCCCGCTCCTGCTGCACCAATCGCAAAAGGCCCCACGGGCGCACGTAGAACTTTAAAAAGCATGCCGCGCTCCGGTGTTGAACCCATTTAGACTCCCTAGTCTTAAGCACCAGGTTAGATAACGCAGCTGACAAGGCAGCAAGACATTAATGCTCAGTGAAAAGGACAAGAGCTGCTGGTACTACGGCTCTGTGTGCCGCTCTGCTCTACTTGTCCACATCTGTCAGTCTACTTAGTGGATACGTAAAGTGGCGGCCGGCATGAAGGTCATCCATCTGCGACACGTGAACTTTTGCATTTGACGTGCTTGTGTGCTTGCTGTAGTCTAAAAGCCACAGACATTCAGATTACGATCACATAGAACTTTGCAATGTTTAAAACTTTACACTTTAAAATGAATTGGCCGTGATACACAACTTGTCACAATAAATGTTACGGGCACGTTGGCCATCAAATAACAAAGAGCATAAACAAACAGTAAATAAAGTCACATGTACGGCCACATACTGTATGGGGAGCTGGACAGCCAGACTGGTGGGGCTCCAGGTCGGGGCATCCAGGGGTGAGAGGTCAGAGTTGAGGGGTCGGGAGGCCATCGTCCCGCCCCTGCCAGGGCCGCCCCTCCTGTGACCATGAGGTTGGGGGTCATGAGGCTGGGTGTCATCATACTGCTGGACATGGGGGCCGGGTGCATCTGAGTGAACTCCGACAGCTCCTTGGACTCTCTGGATGGAAACCAGATTATTATTTGGTATTTGCCCGAACACTTTAGGAACAAAAAGTGATGCAATAGAAAAAAAAAACATTTTTTGGGCAACTTTTTACCGGAGCACTTTCTCCTGCTCGCGCTCCAGCCGGCTGGCCAGCAGTCTGTCGTCGTGGAGACGGCTCCGGTCCTCCCCGCGCTCCTCATCTATAATGGGTTCATGCACAGATAAAGACGTTTAGGAGCTGCATCCCTGGAGTGTTTCAACCCTGAACCCAAAACGAACACGTATCACAGAAAAGAACACAAACCGTGACAGAAGACAGACGGGACGGCCGAGGGAAGAGGAAGCAATAATGTGGCGAGAAGTGAAGAGACGAGCGAGGGTGTCAGCGGGGGGCAGGAAGGAAAGTTGGCGCTGGCTTTATAATGGTGACACTACACCGGACTTCAAAACAAGAGAGTGGACGGTGTGTGCACGCGTAGCGTACAAAGACACACGGCGTGACAGCGCTCACTCCGTGTGTCAACTTATCAGTTAATAGTCTGGTGCCACAGGAGACGTGTAAGCACACCCCTAATGTCTCTATGCACACGCACACGCACACGCACACACACACACACACACACACACACACACACACACACACACACACACACACACACACACACACACACACACACACGCTTTCTATGAAGGCCAACGGCAAAAGACAGGAGATGGAGGGTAGCAGCAAAAAGAAATGTAAGGAAAGCAGCAGCATTAAACCAAGCAGTCCAGAATAAACATGAGCATCTCCTCCTTGCCCCCTTTGCCGCGAACCCTGAAGGTCCCCCAAGCAGCAGAACGCTTTTATACAAGTGTGCTGAACCGCTCCAGAAGCGCGCGCTGCTGTGTGTGTGTGTGTGCGTGTGTGCGTGTGTGTGTGTGTTGCTCTGTAAAGGGACAAGGGACTTTAACAATCCCTGACATGCTTCGCAGGAAAGGTTTCAAGACTGTTACCAAGGTTACAGGGAGCCTGTCCCACATGCTATCCTCTCTGCATCAGTAAGCCAGCGATTAGCGCTGCACATCCCCTCTCTCTCTCTGGTTCTCCCTCAATCTCACACTCTTTCCACTTATTCCAGACCTGCCTCTCTCTTCCCGTCTATCAACCCATCAATCTACAGCCATCTCTTCATTTTTAATCATTCGACTTTCCACCTTCTCCTTCCTGCTTTCCTCCACCATCCATCCATCCATCTATCCAATTGTGTTTTCTGCATTAATCCTGCGCTGCTTCTTAAGAGCTCTTCTCAAGAGTGAGGGACTGACGCTACAACACCAATCACTCTGCTCTAGCAAGAAAATGAATAAACGCCCACAACATAGACACACAAGAGAGATCCATTGCTTAGCAACGCACCCATGGTCTTATTGTAATTCAAGGCTTGTTTGTAGCTTTTAGCAGCACTCTGTAATGACATGTTTAATGCAGAGAGGTTGGTGGGGTTGGGAGAGCTGAAGAAAAGAGTGGAGAAAGAGCAGGGGGCCTGAGGTGGGATAAGGAGGGAGTGACGCTACAAAGGCCTTCTCAGAGAGGAAGGAAGGGCGGGGAACGAGTGAGGCATTCAGCGCAATGAAGAGAGCAAGAGACGCAGAGCGGGGACGAGGGGCTGAGCTGTAAGAGGACAGAAAGAACACGGAGCCGAGGGAGGAACAAAAACGAGGGGACAGGCGGAGAGCTGGAGAGGGGCCACTGTAGCCGAATGACCTTGACGTACAAGAATGGGGCGCTGTATGGCAGGAATTGCTATGCAGCACAGAGAGCCGACAGACTCGCCAAAAGGAGCCTTTCAACAACATACAACCCGCAACATAATTAGTAATTTGGGGAGAGAAAGGGGGGGGGGGATTCTAAGTTGAGAATAAAGACCTCAAAGTCAATCAGGGCCCGAGGAAACATGTCTGATCCAAAAGAAAAGGAATCCACCATCATTCATGGGAAACAAAATGAGGAGTCATTTGACTGAGAGGATCTGTATTCCCCGCACAGTCATTCTGGGAGACAGTTCAACGCAGAAGCAAATAGATTAAATATTTCAATTAAAAAAGCGCACACTTGATTTAGCCAGAAAAATTCAAATACAAAATGACTTGTGTGATTGAGTGAACGTCACCAAGGGCCTCAAACCTGTCTCCACTGAAAATGCAGACGGCAACAATCACAGCCAAACATACGGATTTTAGTGTTTTTTGGCACTTTACCTTTAATGGCCGATTGCAGCAGGTTCCTCTGAGTGTCCGAGGGGCCCCCGCTCGGTTTGCTGGTGCTCCCGCTGTCTCTCTGCCGGGCCACGGCCACAGCGATGCCCACCGGAGGGTGGCGCACCTCCCCCTCGCCCTCCCGGCCAAACGAGCGGGCGCTGTCCGGCCGCTCCTGCTCCCGCTTCAGCTGGGGAGGCACCCGCAACGCCGCACCAGCCGACACCCTGTCCCTCTCTCGCTCCCTCTCCCCCCTCTCTCGCTCCCTCTCACCCCTCTCCCGCTCCCTCTCTTTTTCCCTCTCCCTTTCTTTATCCCTCTCCCTTTCGGCATCCATCCCGACGTTGGCCAGACCCCCAAAGGGCCCTCGCCCGTCCGCGGCGTGCCTGGCGGACCCGGGACCCTCCGCAGCAAAGTTGCCGCTGTACTTAATCAGACTCTGCATGGCCGACACCTCGGTGGGATCCGACCCCGGCGCCCCCCCCGCCTCGCTCTCCTGCCATTGCCCCTCCGGGTCGGTAGGACGGCCGACGGGTCGAGGTAGCGTCTCTGACTGCCCTCCTCCCCTGCGCGCCCAATTGCGTGCTGGGGAGGGGGTGTGTCTCGCGGGCATTGCACAGTGGGCAAGAGTGTTGCTTTGTTGCTCGGGCCGGTGGGCCGCGCCGTGGGGGGGAGAGTGTGAACATTGTGTGTGCGCTGTTTCCGCTCTGTGGGGAGAGGAGGAGAGAGTGTGCGCGTGTTGGGCTGCCAGGGCCGCCATGTGACTGGTGGCATAGTTGGCTAACGGGCTGATGGCGTTCCACTTAGGCTCCGCCCCTGCTCGCTCTATGCCCAATCGGATTGAGTGTTTGGAGGCGTCCCTGGTTTCCGGACTGAACCGTGATTGGTTGGAGGGATACGACGCGTCCTGGCCACGTTTAGCAATGGAGCCATTGGAACAGATCACAGAACCTTCCTCCCTTTGATTGCTTGAATCGCTGGACTGGGAGAGACCGGGATGCTCCATCGGGCTCCTGTCAGGGAACCTGTAGCTCTCCCTCTCCCGGTTTCTCTCCCGCTCCCGGTCGCTCTCCCGTTCCCGGTCCTTGTGTTTGTTGTCACGGGCCTGCGAGGCGATCTGGATGGGCCCGACCCGCTCGTCGTAAACCTCCACGGAAGGCACATACGTCGGTGCGCTGACCCGCTGCTCTCTCATCGACTCTCTGGGGGTGGACGGGTGAGGCGGGCCGGCGGCGGAGGGCTGAAGCGCCGGAGGGAGGGCGTAGGAGACGTGGAGGGTCCCGGCCGACGGGGCGCCGGCGTCATTCCTCCGCTGTCTGTCCGTGTGAGAGTTTGAGTTGGCGTTAGAGTTGTAGTTGTGGTGGGGTCGAGAGCCGCCCTCCTCCTCCCCCCGACCCCCGCGGTCCGTTTCTGCTCCATGAAACCTCCCTCCCCCGCCCGAGGGGAAGGAGTGCCGTGGGGGTGACGGCAGGGATCTGGGCTGCACAGCGGAGGGCTGTGGGTGTGGCTTCTGCTCGTGGGGGTGACGATGGAAGGGCCAGCGGTCTCTCTCCGTGTCCCGGTCCCGCTCGCGCTCCCGCTCGCCGCTCCTCGCTCTGCGCTCCTCCTCGCTCCTCCCGTCCTGCGTCAGGTCCACCACGCTGTGCGGCCTTGGCTCCTCTCTCGAACGCTCTCTCTCCCTTTCCCCCCGATAAGGGCGGTCCCTACCCCCGTCCCGGGATGTCCTCTGGGGCGGCGTGGAGCTGGACGGGGCGGGCGGAGGAGCCGATGCCATGTGGGGAGGCAGCTGGCTCAGTGAGGCTGGCAGGTAAAAGCCCTCTGAAAAAAGCATAAAGACACAAGAGTCTGAAAACATGCAGAATAAAACATGCAGGTAGTAACAACCAACGGAACACCTGCAACTGTCCAATACGGGACAAACTGTTGGGATGGGAAACCATCCAGACACCAACTTCCGCCCCTCGTCTCCGTGAGCGCTGCTGCTGACAGCGACTGACCTTTATGGGAGTCGTAGAGAGGGTGCTGGGAGAGCGGGGGAGGCTCCAGGTGCCCCAGGGACAGGTAAGGGTACAGGCTGCTGGGCAGAGCAGGGTAGGCTGAAGACACACAAACACACCACAGGTCATTACGCTGCAGTTTATACAAAACCTGAGAGTTATTTTCAGGCTCAGTCGGGTAAACATCTGGACATCGTTCCTGCGTTTTGTAATAAACCGAACATCGGTTCTTCTGGAGCAGCTCGGTCGACCTGCACAAAGTCCACTGACTTTGAACATTTCAGCAGTGAAACGTCTTTCTCCAATTTCACAAATGCAAGGGCTTCTATTGATGTGAATTAAATATCTTTGTTGTAGACTGTGGATAAAACGTGTGAAGATGGACAAGTTAAAATGTTTTATTTATACAAACGTGTGTGTTAGGGCTGGGCGGTGTACCGGTATGAATTTATCATATATCGTTCATACCGGTGTTTCACCATAACAACGGACGTTGCTGTTCGGCAGGCGGCAGAATTTATTTTTACACGTCATCACGGAGCGGCGCGCGGCTATAACTTTATAACACTATTTAACAGGGTGAAACACCTCGACACAATAGCTTGTGACACATAAACACTTTGTAACACTAATAATTGTAGATTTATAAAAGTTACCCCGCCAAACTGCATGCTGGGTACAGCTCACAACAAGAAGTAACCTTATCTCTGGTGCTCCATGAAAACGCGGAAAAGAGCGATACAGGAGGAACAAGGAGAGACCAGAGATGCACCAACACAACTGGTGCCCAAGAAGAGGAGCGGTGTCTGTCTGGAGGGTTTTTGGTTTTGGAAAATTTGGAAAAGTTACGTTGGATCAGAAAACGATTTATTGCAAAGTCGAGCCTCTGGTGGCAACCCTAGCAGCCACAACAAGCTAACGCGCTAACTAGCTAACGAACTAACACGTCGGAGAGTTGCGAGCGAGTTGGCCAGCCAGTGGCAAACAGCTGTTTGCAGCCACAACAAGCTAACACGCTAACACAACAACAAGCCAACTCTGCTGTTCGGTTAGCTGGCGGTCCTTTTCGCAGCCACGTGATATACCGAGATACCGTCAGAATATTTCTAAATATATAAAACCGCGATATGGATTTTTGGCCACACCGCCCAGCCCTAGAGTGTGTGTGTGAGTGTGAGTGTGTGTGAGTGTGTGAGTGTGAGTGTGTGTGAGTGTGTGTGTGTGTGTGCATTTGGTGCTTTTTAATACTTTAGTGGTGACGTTTGTGGGGCAGCTGCTGCTCTCAGAGACCAGATCTCGATATAGACAAAGCCAGCGCTCTGTGTTTCTGTGCTAGCACCGAGCTGGCTGGAGTCACCACTTGAAAAAAAGAAAAAGAAAGCGACCGCCACCCAGAGAGGGCGAAACATTCCCTGTTCCCACACTGTGGCCACCCCATTACGGATCAAAGCCGCCGCCGTTCCAGCGTGAAGCGCCTCCTCTCCGTTCTGAGGGGCAGAAATGGAGAAGCGGGAGGAGGCGGGTGGAGGGGGTGTCGGCGGCTGGCGGGAAGCACCGGGAGACGGAAATATAACGAGAACGACGTGACGGGAGGCATGGCGGGTAAGTTTCGTGCAGCTAACCGTGGTCTCTAACGGCCTTGACACGAGGTTCCTGCGCTCATGCGCCGCGTCGCAGGCGGATCAAAAGTCGGCCTCTTTTCTGCTGCCTAGAAATCGCTGCAGCTTTTAGGAACTCTGGCATCAAGACTCTCTCATAGTCCGTGACAGACTCGATTCTAAGGATTCTTCAGCTGGCAGGAGCTTTTAGCTTATTTATTCGCTCCTGAAACTTGAGCCTGAATCTTTAAGGCGAGTGTCAAAAGTCCTTTATCCCGCCCGCTTTGGCGGAATGTGAAGTCCACTAGGGCGTATCTTCAGGGGCTGAATCCAGAGCGGATTGACAGGTGATCAACGCTTTCAGTTTAATCATTGTCCATTCAATGTATTTACAATTTTTAATTTACTCTCAGCTAAAGATTTGTCCTTGTGAGTCCTCCATTCCTGCACTGGATTCAGTTCTGAGTCACTATGCATGTTATCCGGGTTTAAAGGAATAGTCACACATAGATTAGTTTAGCGTTTAGCTTAGCTTAGCTTAGCACAAAGACAACGGGAGAAACAGCTCGCCAGAATCTGTCTGAAGAGAACAAAATGCACCCATCAGCACCACCAAGATTCTTCCCACATTGTGTCCGGATGTTTTCCCACGATTTTTCACTTTTTCACTATTCCTGTGCAAATAAACGTATCTCTTACTAACAGTGATGTCTTCCCTGTTTTGTCCTTAACTAAGAGCCAGGTTGTGACACTACACAGTGTTGAAAGACATTTGCCATTTTAAGGAGGGTTAGGCGGCAGATTAAATGCAGCTTTGAGAACCAGCTATGGGTTCAAGTCGTACAAATCACATTGTCGTCCCCTTGAATCGTCCTTGAATACAAGACGAGTAGAGCGAGACCAAATCTGAAATAACTATTCACACACCATCTAGTTTGATGTGTTTGGGAAGCACCGACCCGATCGGTTTCACACGGGCCACGCGATCGGTTCCAAAATGAACCATAAATAGAATTCATTAGTCCGTCTCCAATTACATTGCCAAAATACACAGCGGGATAAGTTCCCTCAGACCCGGCCTTTAATGAGGAGACACAGGAGGGAACAGGAGTTCAATCGCTCAGTGAAAGAAGAGCACAGAGACCGGAGAGGACCAAACCCACAGGGAACAAGGGACACCTTTGTGTGTCTAAAAAGTGTTTCATGAGCCGGGTCAGGGGGGAGATGCTGTAGGGGAGTGGAAGAGCAGAGCCACAGACAAAGCAAAACCAAAAACAAGAGAGGAAGATGGATTACAGTGACCCATGACAGAGAGAGGGAGGCTTGTACATGTAGGACAGAGCCGGGAGCTGCAGAGAGACAGAAATGGAGCAGGACGCCACCGGCGTGAGCGATGAGGAGCAGGAGGACGAGCCTCCTGGGCCGGAGCACACGGGGAGAAATGTTGCAAAAAATGCGAGGCTCCTTTTTTGCATCCCACTCCTGCGCCGAGAGGGACGGAGAGAAAAAGGTGAAGCGGAAATGTGTGCGGGAAGTGACCGGCGCTTTACCTTCATGAGCGTGTGATGCCCACAGCTGGGCCATCTGAAGACCGCCGGGGTTGGCCGATCTGTACGCGGGGTCAGAGGTCAAGGGGGAGTGGCCGGGGTAACCCGACAGGAAGGGACTGGAGCCTGACGCGAAAGAATCGCCTGGAGAGAAGTAAAAAAATAAAAATAAAAAAAGAGAATGAAGGCCGTCAGTCACCGTGGCAACCACAAGAACCAAACTAATGAATATTAACTGATGCATACAGTTCACGCTGCCACATGTCCCGTGTTTTTTGCGGGGTCTGGAGCACAATCGACGCATGCTGATGGTTTTATGCCGAAGCGCTCTGTTGCAATCACATTAGTGCTGAGCCAGCGTGCACTCTGCTACCACACGACAGACCGCAGACGGACTGCGCTGTGAAGGCGGGGAGAGTTCATGGAACAGACGACTGAAAACCACAGTCACACCTCAGTCCCTGTGTGTGTGTGTGTGTGTGTGTGTGTGTGGTTTCACCGTCGCAGCACTTTCATTCAACTGACAACATTCTCTTTTTTTTGTGCCTCCAATAAAACAAATCTATTTGATTCTAAAGTTCCTTGAATAAAGTGGACACCTTCAATGTTCTCGTCAAATCACACAATTTGTAAGGTTTTCTTTCTACAAAACTGTTTCTACTTGAATGAAACACACTCTTTAAATCGATCAACATTTTAGACGTTTGTCCACGATTCAGACGCATAGCGTTCCCCTTTGTCAACCTTACGGGAGAAATTGACATTTGTTTACTATTCCGCAGCAGGCCTGTTCAAAGGGTTTTTAGTGATCCACGAGGCTCCGTCCAGAACATTTAAAGAAGCATTCGGACCCAGATAGCGTAGAAACCGGGCTCCTTCTGCACACAGTGACGTGTGTATAGATATGCTGCATGTCGGCATGGCGACGTCCCACTCCACCATTAAAACCACTTCCATCCCTGCGTTATCGACACTCAGTCAATCCTCACACAAACTTGTATATCGTCGCATGATGCCGTTATCGGTAGTTTTTGTCAGACTCCGCCCCCGTCGGTGGTGAGCACTAGTGGACCTTTGACCTCCTCCCCGAACCCTCCAACCAACCTATTACCAAACACCCTGCACACCCATTACCCTGATAGGCCTCGGCGTGTGTGCAGGTCGGTTGCATGTGTGCGCACGCGCAGCTTTACAATTAATCACAAAATGGGACACACGGTGCAGCTCCTGAAAAATCAAGAATATTTTGCCTCAGCCTTCCATCACACACCATTTATTTTTCTGCGTGCATAAATCTTGATTATTTGGCCGTTCGTGTCCTTGTTTTGGAGATGTAATTCTTTGCTTGCTGTGCTAAAAAACACTTTTGAAGACACAACTGGGACGTCTGTCCACACGTCTCGTTGTGAGCAGTTTATTGTTAAGTGACACTTTTGCAGTGGACGCCCTTTGAGTCAGAGGCCCTGCAGGAGCTTCAGGCACGCACACATGAACCGCTTAAACAGCTTAAACAGCTGCACTGCGATGAAGTTTTACCTTCAAAACCTCCGGTCTTTGTGTGTTGTCTAATGATACAATCTAATATTCATTGTATCAGGAGGCACAACACACACACACACACACACACAGGAAATTAAACTACTCTGCCCTGTTCACCCGAACACGCCTGCTTCCAAAAACAATCACCCATTTTCCCCATTTGGTGACTTACTGCAGCTAAAAGATGAATAACTCTTTTACACATTGAATATTTCTTTTAGTTGCGTGCGTGTTTTAATGCTACAGCAAACATATTTAGCAACCGCCTGGTGAGTCGAGTTGCAAAACAAACAAGTCCATCAGTAATTAGTCGTCCTCCCCCGTCATGAGCAACGGCGCCGCGCGGTCGTTCCGCTCCTCCTTCGTTGCTCCCCGCTGAAACGCACACTCACTGACAGAAACATTGCAGATGTGACCCCCGGGGTGCCGAAGCGTTTTTGATTAACGGTGCGTTACGGCGGTGGAAGTGTTTTAATGGGAAGAGCAGCTGCAGACGTTTGGTTCACTCCACCAGCAACTTAACGCAGCTCTGGTTTAGCGCTAGCATAGCAAACAGGCGGGCCGTTACCATGGAGACGGACACAAACGCTGGATCACACGCAGGTTTTTGGCTCCTGTCAATCGCACCACATGAGACGGCAATTTTAAAATCACCATAAAATAAGAGGCTGTTTCAGAAGCGCAAATATTGGTAAAAATTATAAATCGCTTCAAAACATTATTCAATTCTATAGAAAATGTGATATTACTTTCAAACGTCAGTGACAACTTATCAAAATAAACTCTGTTAAGAATATTAAAGTGAACAGAGTGAAACGCGTGAGGTAAATCACGGCTCAACTGAAGACACTCTGAGGCTTTTCTCTGTAATTCGATAACGTGTCTTCAGATGTGACCGAACCCATTTCCACCGCCGCCTTCCCATCATTCCCTCACGATACGAACCAAACACGCAGCTCCAGCCGACTAATTGATACCTGGTGTGTGTCTGTGTGTCGACACGTAGACCCCCCCCCCCCCACCCTCAATGAACACACAGCGAACATTCCCAACCACCACCTGTCAAGCCTGCTAGGGGGGATGTCAGCCGCTTTAAATTCCTTCAGGGCACACACACACACACACACACACACACTCTCCGCGCCACTTATTAAGGGGGAAAAATACAATCCCAAATTCCCTCTCTCCCTTTGCTGAACAGTGGGAGGGGAGGAGGAGGAGGGAGGAGAGGGAGGGTTAGAACGAGGAAAAACATTTGCTCTCCTCGTTCCAGAAACAACATCCAAATGGTAGCTGAGAGGGAAATGTTTCGTTAAATGACTCTTTCATTGCCTCCCCCTCTCTCCCTTCACCCCCCACCACACACACAACAATCAGTTGGCCATATTGGGATTAGCAAGTTGCCAAGAAACACGCTCTCCAACTCCCAACACGTTCTCGATCCTCCATTTTCAGCTCCTCCGTAGCAGCGAGCAGAAGGCCTGCAGGTGATCAACTCCAGCAGAGACGCACATCCGATGAGCTCAAACGCACAACCGCCCACGCGGTGGAAATCAGCGGAATCAAACTCCAACGCAGGAGTCTTGATCGCAAATCGATGCGCCGAAAACCTACCGGAATCCGAAAAGGACGATACGATGAGGGAAACATCTCAGACACACAGACACACACACACACACAGTATAACAGCGTGTGTGTGTACATCTGCTATCCATCAGTGGTACTCAGAGCGGGGTTAGCTAGGGGGGAAATCTCTATTATTGATCTCTGGTTTTTCTCCTCGCTAGAAAAACATTAAAACTGTAAACCTCTGCTGGCCGCGCACCTCGTAACATGAATCCTGGCAGGAAAGCACAAAATGAGGTCTGCACACAATTACACACATGAGGGGCGTGCAGGATTGCACATGTCTGTGTCATGTTGCTATGGGAAGTTTATTTCTGACTCCGTATACATGTTGAGTTGTGAGTGAACTGGTCTCGTTCGTAGGACACTACAGTCGGCTGGAATCCTAAAATAAAGCACCGGCTCACCGGCGGCTGTTTTAACGATCACTTCCTGCACCGACGGGCTGAAATCACAGTCGGCCTCTCGTAGTGGTTAAAGCACAGGTGTTAACAAAGGCCCCGTTGTGCAGCGGGGACAACGTGCTCAACACGAGGACCTAAATGAGCATCCACACACAGCAGCATGCCGCACAAAGGCCAGTGGATTCCCCCCCACCAGACACACAACGTTCTGCTTCTCTTCTTCTTGCAACTCAAACGTTGTTCTGACAGTTGAATGAAAAACACACCTGCGTGTGTGTGTTTGAGACGTGTGGCTGCACAGAGATCTCCTGTGAAGACGGCAGGTGTTTTGTGTTTTTTTACACACTCCTCGTGCCAAAACGCAGACGCACACGCACAACTATGCACAGAACGCACGGTTGCAAACGCACATTGATCCATCTACACAACATTTATCATGAACTAAAGGGGCACACTGACTGACTGACAATCATCTGATCCCTTTTTTTAAAAGTCCTGAATGTTATCGGGGACATTTGTCCCCCTTCGATCAGATTGAAGATGAATCCGGCGATATCAACGTAGACTGAAAAAACAAAAACAAAAAACCAAGCGATGGCGGCGCAACTCTTTCATTCAATTTCTACAGACAAATGTATCGGCCAATCTCTCAGCCGCACGTTGTGTGCGCGTCGAGCACACGCGGCCCGTCACCGCGTGGGTGGCGTCACGGCCCTTTGTGAACCTGAGCCGCGTGTGCAGGGAGGACCGTAAGGGGACGAGTCGAGACTCCACAGGCGGACAGACGCAACGCAGCGTGTGACCTTTGTGTGTTGCAGGCTGCTGTTTGCGTTGAAGGGGGAGGGCTCAGAGAGTGACTTGGCGAACGCTTTGAGTAGTTCGACGTGCCGCGGCACGCTCGTTTCCTCACAAGCGCACACACAACCGGCCTATCGCCCTTTGGTTTGGCAACACTGTGTGTGTGTGTGTGTGTGTGTGTGTGTGTGCGCGTTTGTTTGTCTCCGACAGGTTTATTGTGGCGAGGCAGCAGAGCCTTGTGGCTTCTCTTAAGGGGGCTGTTTTCTCTCCTGAAGGATTCAATTAATCTGAGAGTGGACATGTCTTGTCCCCCCCCCCCACACACACACACACACACACACAACATATGTGGGGGGTCTGTCCTTAAACACAGACTCCCCACATTCATTTTAACGTAAACGGACGCACTAAACCAAGACAAATCGGTGTTGGCCAAGAAGACCCTGCGAGCTGTGTGAGTTATGCTTACACCAGCGCCCATGTGTGAGAAAGAGGGAGAGACACTCCAAGTGCTTCCACATTTATCCAACCCTGCACGACGTGTTGTGGTCGAGATAAATCGCTTCCTTTCTCTCTGCCGAGCGTCCCGGGGGGGAAACCCCAGCTCTAACTGCACTGAGCACAATCACATGCTGCACATTCCACATCCTCACACACACACACACACACACACACAACGACAAGATCAGCTCTATCTCGCTTGAATAGCCAAACCGTGCTCTCCACCGTAGTGATTTGTGCCCACTTTAATTCTCCTTCTCCATTTGTCTTGAGGTGTTTTCATCTCCATTTATTGACTTACTCTCTCTGCACTCTGCGTCGCACTCCCATGCTACTCCCTGTAGTGTGTGTGTGTGTGTGTGTGTGTGTGTGTGTGTGTGCGCAGGTGTGCGTGTACACAGAGGGAAAGAGATGAGACGGAAAGTTGCAGGTTCAGACGAGTTACTGCTGAGGTTTTTGCCGATGGCCGTCGCCGCCCTGAAGGACATATTTGCCTCATTAAAGCTGCGTTTGTTCCAAAGCGTACTCCAGAACGCGTAAGGTCATTCGCCATAGTTTCCGTAATCGTCAACATCAGCAGCAGGTTTCGACGACACAGGAGATAAATTCCAGTGTGTTGTGCAGGCTCGCTTCGGCAGTTTGCGCTTTCTTTGCGATGCCTGTGATCAACTGATGACCTACTGGAACGATGTGAAACTAAATGTAGCGACTAGAAACGTAGCTCCAAATGAACATCCTTTATAAGAGCAAATACTTATTTTGCAGCTCTATGGTCTCTCTTTACCACGGGAGGCCGGAGTGCTCGTTGGGGGGACGCGGCGGCTCACCGCTCCATCGGCTGTGACGTCTCAGCGATGCCGCTTCAGACGCCTGGTTTATTAGCGCGTGTCGTAAACACACGTCGGCCATCACGTAAAGCACCAAATTCAGATGGAAGGCAGAAAGTGAAGAATGCATCGACACCAGCGCAAACTGGTGGTGGAGGAAAGTGGATACATGCCCAGCGTGGAGAAGATCAACGTTACAAACGACCTCCAACGCCCTCCTGCTACGGCTACTCGGCGTGCAGCGGGATGCACCACCTCAGAGCAACAGTCGTGCAGTTTTATTTGTATCCAGGTAGCGAGCATCGCTGAACCAACTCGCTTTCTCACTGGAAACTGAAAAAGGGGAGAAGGTCACAGCGATTTCATAGGTTGGAGCAGCCGCTAACACAAGGCCTCATCGCTGCAGTATTGAACCCGCCTGCACACGGAGGTCCTGCCGACGTGTGAAGCATGAAGTACATTGGCCACGTTGTCACCGGTCCGGCTGGTCAGCAGCACTTCTCCTGCTCCAAGCGCACAGGGGGGAAGCCGCTGATAACAGGGGGTGAAGTGCTCCCCACAAACTGATCAGAAGAGCAACCGAGTGGTCACCAGCAGATGACCAAGCCAGGGGTTCGGGGGGGGGGGGGGAGAACCGATCTGTGGGAGGTGAAACGCAGAGGAACGCTGGCTTCGTCCTCGATGCACTCCCTCTGCGATAAAATAATCTCAACAGTGATAGTAGAGTCTCTCCAGCGCCGTCACATTTCAGCGGTTCCTACCTCAGAGGGAGGGAGGAGGCCAGATGGCCTCAATCTGCTGGTGGTGTGTGTGGGGGGGGTTGGGGGGCCAGCAGATCTCCTCTAGACAGAGGACCATTTACAGCCATTTCCCATCTATAAACAGTGACAGACCCCATCGTGTTTAGATGGGAAAAAAAATACTGCTGCAGGTATTTGGTGGAAGAGAATTAGGCCTTTACGGAGCGTTGGAGCAGCCCGATTGTTAATAAACGCTTCACACTGCATTTACAACTGCACCCGCGCACGTCACCCTTCAGTCGGGGAAATAAAAGGAGACGCTATACTTCGTTAAGTCAGGTGGAAATCCCGTTAAAACCAAACTGAAAACAGACAACAAGGGAGGATCCTGGGAAATATGGGCTGCGTTAGGCAGCAATAAACACTCCGCCCCGCCATCAGGAGGTCAGCCAAACACAACAGAGCAAAACAAGCGTACTCGGTTCCACGAAAGGCTTGTAAACAGAGACAGTAGCGGAGTGACCTTGGCTCCTCTGGTTGCACGCCAGTTCTTCGAGCTCCACATTCTCGGCATTTAATTAAAAACAGGAACATTATGAACGGTGGCGATTGCCGGGTGATTGTCGCGTGGCCGCGAGGCGCTGGCGCAGGCCTGGGACCGAGCTCTCCGCCGGGTTCGGCTAATGCAACGTGCAGGGATTTGAGAGGGAGGAGTGAAGCTAAGCGACCCGCGTCGCACAGCGCCGCGTTTCAGTGGGCGAAGGCTTGAGAGCGTGCGGCGTCGAGATGAGAGTCGGAGGGCGAGAAGGTCGGCGTGTGGGCAGAATAAAACGGATCCCGTTCTAAAGGAGTGTTTCAAAAACCGGCAATATGGGATTGGAACAGCGGTCGGGTCAATTACTCTTCACGCACCCACCGAGCAGGTCTGTGCAAACGCACACCGCAAGCACTTCAGTCACACAACTGATCATCTCGCCTGGAAATATTAAAGAGGTTGTTCGCAAGCTCCAAAAAGTAAAAAATGAACTTCTCTTTGCCACGGTGCACACAATCATCCCGACACTCCGAGTTGATTTCTTCTTCGCTCTGCCCGACCTTTAGCACCTCACACACCAGGTGACAAGGAGCGCATCAGCTGAAGCGATGAGGGGAACGCGACCAAACTGGCGTATCGTCGTCCCCGTGGGTTCACCTCTGAAAGGGAACCAGAGGAACTGTAATCGCATCCGTCTGCCTGCCTCGTGACTTCAGGGGGGTGGAAGTAACTCGATGAGAGCATTTGTCAGACTTTCCAAAAGACACCGCGCACACAGACACACACACATGGATGACAGCGCTCTGACTTTCCCTTTGACTGACCACAAAGCGACGTATGCAAACACGCAGCGGTATCTGTACGGTTTCCCCCGCATGTGGTCATTTCAAGGCTTTCATTACTAATAGCAGGATCGGGCATCGCTCCGCTCGCAGGGAAAGTAAAGAGGAAATCACCAGCTCAGCAGGGAACAACAACACACTGCAGATCATCTACTGACGGAGACAAACACACACACGTAAACAAACACATGGAGGGTTTGCTGCCCGACCACATCAAACCTGTCCGGTTTGAACCCGACGTGTGATTCATTTATGTGAGCACACGCACATACAAGACACCCCCCCCCCCCCCTTACAAAGATTCCCCAGAGTGCTTAGAGCAGCATTGAGGGTCTCAAACACTCACACACACACACACACACACACACACAAATGGTTCCATGCTGGTAAAAGCAACATCAGCCATTTGCCAAATGTTCCAGCAGAGTGGCTTATTACTGCAAAAACTGAAGACTGAAGCACAGCCATTTTACCTCTGACCAACAGGGTGCAGGTGGTCTGTCACTGAGGTTACAACCCCCCCCCCCCCCACACACACACACACACACACACACACAACCGCGCATATATATATATATATATATATATACATATATATATATATTACACACACACACACACACACACACACACACACCCCAAGACCGTTGCACCTGACCCGCATGCTGCTGCAACAACACCCGCAGCACAACAGGCGGCCGCTGTTGGCGCGTCGGTCATCGCGCACAACAGTGAGCGCGATGTCATACTTTCACATCTGAAACTTGTCACAGCTTTGCAACAGCCACACCTCCTTATGAAACCTAACCAAGTGGGGGGGGCATTTTCCACAGAAGACCGTAGCTGCATCCAAGAAATGACCGCACCAACGCTGCGTATTTGTTTGCACATATATATAAATATATAAATGGTGTTGTTTTTTTGCGCAGCGTTATTTTAAGTTAATCATAGTCACGGAGCGGAGCGGTCGGACACCGTTTACTTACTGTGGTGTGGATGTAGGTTAATGGGCGATGGCAGGAATTTTCCGGAGTGGAGGGGCGGCGCGTGGCCGTGGCCGGGCGAGGGAGGCATCCTCCCGGCCGCGGCTGCCGCTCCGAGTCGGGGAGACTCCATCGTGAGCCCCGGCAGCAACGGCGGCGGTACGTGGACGGATCGGGGAGGTCCAAAATCTCTGCCATCCATTATCCACAGTGGGGAAAGTTGTGAAAAGAAATAGTCCGTCTGGAGAGGCCCCTTATTCTGTAAAAGACGAATTTTTGGGGGGGGCGCTACGATACTGTCTTTAGTTCCCCTGGCGATTCGGGCTTCTTTTCAGCCATCCCGCCGACCTACGAAAATACAACAAGAAAACATTCGCTTGACACACGATCTGACGCACACTGATCACACTGTTATTGGGGGGGGGGGGGGGGGGGTTCTCCTCTTTGCGGCGGGCGGTCAGTGCGCGATGACGCAGTTCGGAAAAGCGCTCGAGAAGCTGAACGAGCTGGACGCGCTGCTCGACGGCACAAGGTCTCCTTCCAACTCCAACTTCCACCAGCAAGACGACGATCTCGCGTAATGTCAGCGAGCGCCGCAGCGGCAGCAGCAGCGGCGGCGGCGCTCCTCCACCCGCCTCCACCGAGCAGACAGCTCCGCTCCCCGGGAAAACAAGCACCAGGAGCGGCGGCGGCGGCCAGCCGCTCTGCCCCGGCCGTGGAAACCACACGCAGACCCCGCGAGGGGAAAAGAAGAAAAAAACACACACGGACGCTAACAAACCTGTTCGGTCCTCTTTTTCGTTTGTTTTAGTTCTGCTATTGCTACGATTGTGCAGCTGTTTCCCAGCGGCTCGCCCTGTAAGTCAATACGCCATAAATACTGGAGGCGCATCAAATATACATTTCAAACGGGTTAAAAATAAATGCGGGTTGCCAGAGTCTGCCGCGCTGATCGGCGGGGTTTTGTTGCCCGCGTATTGCGGCCGCGGTCCGGGCGGCTGCGCCTTCTGGACGCGGGTGCTGCTCCAGCGGGAGAGATCAACGAGCCCGACCCGTAAACACGGTCGGTCCACTGGCGTCCTCGTTCCGTATCAAAGCTCCAGCACCGGAGCTCCAGCTGGTGTTAAGATATAATAATGCGATTCACATGATGGATGCGCGGCCATTCGGATTAATCGGCTCGCGTCTCGAATCTTTGGTTAAAAAAAATAAAAAAATTTAATAATTTTGCTAAACTGACAGTCTCCGCGGACATGCGTATGCGATACATTAAAAAACACACAAATAGAATAAAAGTTACTTTAAGCAGAACAACAACAAGCATTTGCGACTTTACCCGAAGGCAGCGAGAATCGGGGGTTTCGTGTGTATTTTTTGTGCATTTTGCAGAATAATAATAAAATATAATAACCCAAACTATGTGACCAATGTGTATTTAAGTATGAAAAAAAAACAACAGCGAGGCGAAAGTCCAGTTGAACCTTCAAAAGGCTGCAAGCAAACAACCCAGCGAGGACTCGTGATATGCGGGCGGGATCGGAAGGACGGTTCAGAGATCACCATAAACCTGCTTTTACCCGGAGACAAACGCACCAGACGGGACACGAATGTCTCCTCGGAGCCCCCCAGGAACACGCACGGACAGACGGGGGGGGGTCGGAGGCTCCTCTGGTCCGCCGCGGTCGAGCGCGCGGAGCAGCGCTTTCAGCCACGTTTCAAACTTTTTCACGGTTCCTTTTCGCGACACGCAAAACTTTCTCGGCGGAAACGTCTCGAAAGTCGCACCGACCCGAAAAAAAAAAGCCCCCTAAAAAAAATCCCAAATGCCGTGTGGGGGAAATTATAAAAAGAAGAAGAAACACAGAACCTCCGCGCCCTTTTCGCTCACATTTACAGACCAAATTAGGGTTTGAAACACGCAGAACTCGGGACACTTTAGCTGGAGGAACCCAAAAAAATGCCGAGCGCTTACTTGAATGTGGAAAGTCCGGCGAAAGGAGCTAAAAAACGTTTCTCAAAACCCGTCCAGTTGCTGGGAGACTGGAGTAGTCCATTACAGGCTCGTACGAGGTAAACTGGGGATACTGTGTGTGTTGGGAGAGGAGGAAGTGGGGCCGATAGACCTGACGCGTCCGTAACTCCTCAGCATGAAAACCAGCATGTTTTGGCAGGTCTCGCCATCTCCCTCGCCACCACCCACCGCGGGACAGCCCCCCGTGCGTTGTGCAAACCTCCTGTCTGATTGGCTGTGCGAGGTGTCAATCAAATCCCCAGGGTTAAAAAAAAAGAAAGAAAGAAAAACACCCCCTGGCCGCTGGCCAGCAGTATAAAAGCAATTATGGAGCAAGGAGGTTGAGCCGTTTCAAGGTCCCCTCTCCTACAAGACCGACTGATCAGAACAAGCACTGGGTTTCTGTTTTTCTTTTTGGAGGTGGGGGTTAGTTCACCCCCCCCACCCCCACCACCATCACCACCACCACCACCACCACCACACACACACATTTTCATGCTAATTATAATAGACGCTAGAAGATTGGCAATCTGAAAGCCCGGGTACATTGTTACCCTGAAACGTATCGTAAGCGTTTTGCATGTAGTGTGAGAGGCAGTTTACTTCAACTCACTCGGAAGCAGCACTGCCGCATTCGTTTTATTACCGCCCCGTTTCACCTCTGCTCTCCTCCAAAAGAAAACAAGCGCTAACACATGAGATAACCATCTCACTTATTCTAACACCTCATTCCTTAAAAGCCACTCATATTCAAAGGTGTTTACCCGATAATTCTACAGCGTACGTATTAGCGGACTATGCAAACAATATGGTTCGTGGAAAAGATTCCCCGCAAATTGAATCCCTTAACATCTCGCCTCTAATTCATCAAATGCTATTTATTAATGTTAACCGGGCTCACTGACTGGTGGCCATCATTCGGCACATTGGAGGGTCTGCAAAGACACTACTTGTGACAGGTGAAAAGCACCCCGGATATATTTCACATGAGCCGGGAACGCACCAACATTTATCACTGTTGTCGCGCCCGTGGACCCTTTATTTACCGTTTCACACCACGGAATAAAGCCCGGGCTTTCGGCAGGTCTATCTATGCAAACCGCGCATAGCAGTCTGCAGGAGCAGCAACGCCGAGCGGCTCCCTGTGTATAATTTAACTAGACGGTTTCAAGATGCCCACGCCGCCCCTTCCCTTGCACTGGTCCGGCCCCTCCTCCTTTAATATGCGACGGTTTCAAGGTGGCCCCTGGGTTGGAGGGGCGGAGCTACGTCAGACGCTGGAGGGAGACGCCGCAGCGCTGCGGAGCCGCGGTCGGACGCGTCCTTAGCGGCGGCCGGAGGAGAAACGTTCTCCCGCCGTGTCGCGGCCCGGTAACGCGGTCACACCACGGCGGATTCTTTCTAACTAGCCGAACCACCGGGCCGCAAGAGGCCGCTCGGCGTCGGCCCCGAAGCTGTCCGCCCCCGCCCCCATCCCTTTCGGACGGGAACCGGGCGGAGATCAGAAGCGACGTCCCGTCCCGAGCCGTCCGAGGGGGACCGAGCCAGCCTTTGTTTTCCAAATGTCTCCGAGTGGCCATTCAGACAATGCCTCTAGATTAGGACCGGCCTCTCGCGGTTGTTTTGCCTCGTTCTCTCCACCTCGAGGTGGGTTCGGCTGCGGTTCGGCTCATGGTGGCATTCAGTCATGATTCCTCTATGCAGCCCTATTAATGCAGCACGTTTTCACACGGTTGTAATTGAACTGTATTCGACTCCAATTTAAATGTATAACCTTAATTTAATTAATGCTTTTTTTGGCGGTGTGACCATCCTTAAATAAAAATCACAATAACCCAATAAAGACTTATTCGCATTTTTTTTTTTATTGTAATCTAGGACAAGTAAGAAAGTGGGCTGTGTGTCTTTTCGTTGCACTGCAGCACCAGATAGGATCATCTGGTAGATCATGTCTTACGGTTTATACAGCCACTGGCTCTTTGAGCACGGTGCGGTTTCAAGTTGTTGTGGCAGCAATGGAAAAGTACTGAAACCATGATGTGGAGCCGGAAACGCTGCTGAGTCGACACCATTCTTCATCCCACTAACTGTGTTCTGTTTTATTGGGCCAACCAGACATTACAGAATGAGAACATGTGTTATCCCAGACTGCTGTGTATGATCACTATCTGTCACATCAGCATCCATGACCAAATATCAGAGTTTGGGTAATAATGTCCCATTAGTTGAGGGATAAGGTAAATCATTTTATTTTGGGGGGGGGGTAGACCATCTGATTTTCTCCAGGCGTGTGGCTGCATTAATCCACAGGGGAACGGAGCACACAGACAGCATTGATTATTTCAGGAGGGGGGAGTCAGTCCTCTCTGGAACGGCAATACATAAATAAATAAATACAGAAGGATGTCCTGCTGCATAAGCATCCACCCTTCAACAATACCACTTCAGTTTGCACGCCGAACTGGGGTGGGGGGAGGGCGGGGGCATTTCTAAGTTAAACATATTTCATACAATATTCCTTGACATCAGCACACACACACACACACCAACCCCCACTTAAAGAAAACACACACACACACATACAGCTCTCATGGGATACCTGCCAATCATCAGACAGCGGGCCCTGCAGGGTTTTATGGTGGACTACAGGATGGGGGGAGGGGGGGGGGGGGGGGGAAGAATTTTCTGCCGGGGGGAAAAAAGGCGAATGGAAAATCACGTCCCTGACTGAACTAGAACTCGACACCGTTGTGCCTTTGGAAAAAATATTGGGGCTCCCAAATGTTTTCCCACGATAATTTCCTCTCCGCGAATTTTCTCATTGGCCAGATAGCCCGATCTAAAGCCACCTGAGCCGCCTTGTGTGAAAATCCGTGATACTGACCTTCCCTGAGCTGGACCCTGAGTCCGCGGTTTATCTCCCTCGGGCCCTCGGGAGGGTAAGACAAGGCTAATTTCCACCCAGGCCCATAAAGCAACGACCCGGAAGGTTAGAAGCCATGAACCCAACCCCAAAATTATTGAGGGGGTGCTGGAACTCCTACAAAAACCGCTACGGCGCAGCTGAAAGCCTGCAGTTTGAATAAAATCCAGATAAACACTCTTATTTTCTGGGAAACGATACAGAGACAAGGACACACATGGGAATCAAAGCAAAGGGATTCCCATCTGCCACTGCTGCTTCAACCCAAGCTGGGGGGTGGGTGGGTGTGGGGATCGCTGCAGCTCTAAGAAATGGTGGGGGTTTTCGCCAAGAAGAAAAATACCCACCCATCATCGGTACAACCGTGAGGAAACATTGATGCAACATGACACATCTGGTGCTGAGTAAATGTGCAGCAGTGATGCGTCAGGGCCACTGATGCCTGCAGGGCTCCACTTCACCCCTCGTTTCAACCATTTTTCTCTCTTTCAGCTCTTTTAACATCTGCTAACAAATCTGCCCCGACTACAAATGTTTTATTCATTTTCAGAATAATTGAAGGCTAGATATGTTCGTCATATGAAAAATAAAAATATCATACGAAACATAGATCAGCTGTTATAAAACCAAACCAACCTAAAACAGTTGGATATAGCTCTGCAGAGGTGGGAGTGGCAGGGGGAGGGGGGGGGGGTGCACATGACTCCAAAGCATACGCAAAAAAACCCCAGAAGCTACTGTATTTCAATATGATCAATTATTCCCTGCTGGCCTGCTTCTGTCAACAGCAGTAACCTTCTAGTTGCTTCTCACCCAGTTTCTAGGCCAGTCAGGCTGAAGCGGCGCAGCGGCCCCCTCTGCTGGAGAGATGAAGAAATTGCGACCCCCCCCCCCCTCGTCCCCTCGTCCCCCATCCACTCACACCTGCGCACGCAACGCACCAGCACGCGTGACCGACAACCTCCACGAGCATTGGCGAGATGAAGTACGGGCCGCACTGACGCGCGCATGCCAACTTCTGTCTTCCCTGTGACTGGTGGAACGCGCTCTCTGAAGACATCAGGACCGCAGAGAGCCTTCACATCTTCCGCCGCAAACTAAAGACACACCTCTTCAGACTCTACCTCGACTAAAGACTAACAAATTGTAGCACTTAAATTGTACTTGTGACGTCACTCATCTATAGCAAATTGTAAATTCGCTTATTTGAGGAAATTGCACTTTCTTGTTTCTTGTTCTCCTGAGTTTGTACCCTATGGTTGAATGCACTTATTGTACGTCGCTTTGGATAAAAGCGTCAGCTAAATGACATGTAATGTAATGTAATGTAATGTAATGTTTCTAGTGCGGCACCAAAAGGCGGAGGAGGCGCTGTAGAGCACATTCCAACCCGTCCATCTCATCCTCTTTTCCTCTCTGTAACGTGCACATCTCTTCATGGTCAAAACAACCGGATTATACAATTTAATAAAATGGAATCTTACTTTATTTCCTCAGAAGGAAATTCACAATCATTACGTAAGCCAGCAAAAATAATATACATTTTTCCAAATATATACAATAAACAATCACACGGGCTCTCTGACATGAGCTGAGGTGTTGAGATCATCTTCGGTCTCTGGTGCAGAGAAACAGCAGCTCAAAGCAGTCACGCCTCATTTTTTAGATACAAGTAAAAATGGAGCTTCATCGCCATCTGCTGGCTGACCGGTGTAAGTACTGTGAATCCACAATGGCAGGTGGTTCATGGGAGCCTGAAGCAGATCAAAGTGTGGCTCCGTTGCAATCAGTGTGTGTGTTTGCTGACTGGAGCTCAATGTGTCCTCGGGGAGCATTAGTTTTCTACCAAGCCAACATCCAGTCACTCTTCCTCACGATGACTAAGGATAGAGGATATAAAGACAGTCATCCTTATTTTCACATGTGTGACTGATCTAGTTGGGCGGCTCATTGGATAGACGAGTCACGTTCACTGACAGGACTGAATGAGATACATTGCTTACATTTGTTCCACAGTGAATCAGGTGTGTGCAGCACATCTGAATAACCAGATCAGAGATGAGGCAGTGTGAATCTGATCAAACACCAGTCTGATTAATTGGCGCAACAGTAACAAGCACGAAGGATTCTAAAGTGATGCTGTTGAATTCATTTTTCTGC